CATGTATTTGATCTTTGTTATTTATATTTAACGAATTAAACATTGACAGACAACTTTTGTATATAGCAAAAAGTAGATGAGCATTTAGTTTTTTCATAATTTAATGTAAGTTTGTTTGGTGAAAAAGACAGCAAATATTTGAAGCTATGTTAATGTAAGTTTGTTTATTTGTAATCATGTTTTTATTTTGAAGTCTTGTTCTGTTGTAATTTTAAGATTTTCCCAATTTTCGATCTAATTATGTTTCCAACAATTTTTAGTTTGAGCATTTTAGGAATTTCTTTGTTTCGTTTAAATCAAATATTCTCGTGTATAAAACTCTCTATATATTTTTATTTCCTAAAAATACTATATTCGTGTTGTTGTCTGCGAGCGCTTTCACACCAGTAGGCCAACATCTGTTGATTTTTTGACCTGAGCCTTCGGAGACAATAAATTTAATGTGTGTTCCTAGTTCTCTGGTTTTTATTCTGAACTATCCCTTGGCACACCAAAATTTATTTTTTTATTGCTTCACTTAACGAGAGCTCGGGCGGACACGTCGGTGTCGGCTTACTCAAAGTCAAATTAATACTATTATGTAATAACTAATAATAATTACAAAGCAATAGTAATTACCTGTTATTATTCTTAGGAAATCTAAATAAACTTATTCCTTTTCCTGTCACAGATGAACATCCGCGAAACGCACAACAATAACCAGAAGACATTTTAAATACTTATAAATTAAACTTTTAACTTTAAACTATAACTATAAACTTATATATTTAACTTATATATTTTAACTATAACTATAAACTATAACTATAAACTTTTAACTACTAAGTAAATTAGATAAATGGTCAAATGCACTTGTATAGTCGAGAGTTTACCACAGAATACAAATGCCTACGGACTGTCGTAAGCAACTAAAGTTGAAGAAAACGCACGTGTTTTTAACAATAAAGCAACCTATTTGGGTCATGCGTATACAGAAAAGATACACGGATTTCGGACCTCGTGTCGCTTCTCTGTGTTCGTAGTTCTCTGATGACATTTGATTCCGAAATCAGGCTTCAGTCGGTCGACTGACTGAACGCTTATGCGGCAGGAGGACTGAGCGCTTTTACGAAAACCTTTTGTATCGACTAATGTCACCAAAATGTTATTTCCGCGTCTTCTTTTTGGAGGAAAAGCTTTTCCGCTTACGTAGGAGGAGCTTTTTGGAACTCCCAACAGCTTCAGCAACAGTATTCCAACATACATTCCAACAACAAAAATAATATGAAGCCAAATTAGGAATAAATATCCCTTATAAAAACTCGAACCCAAATACATGAATAAATAAAATTCATGTTGTTTCAGCAAACACATTTTCGATTTTTGACGTCAAAAAAAAAATAATAGTTAACATTTTATAACAAGGTATGTGAGTTTAAACATACACTTTGGAAACCAAAAGAGTTATGTAAATCGTATAGCTGTTTAAAGATTATCAGTTTTTTATTTTAATGATAAACGTTCATAATCTGAATATTGCACGTATTCGTTAAATAAATGTATTTTATATAATCTTTTAAGTAAAGCGTTTGACCACAATTTTTTTTGTTCAAAAATTTATTAGATATGTAGGTATTATATCCTTTTTTTATATAATCATTTCGCAGATAACACCACTAGATGCGGTTTAAATAGTACAGCATGTGGTTACTTACAATGTAGATAAACGTAGACCAGTTTACAACAAATTTATACTACATACTTACTACTTAAGAATATATAACTCCAAAGTATCTGTAGCTGTGACAAAAAACTTAGTTGGAGACCATTCATCCATAACATAGAAACATTTTATAAACGATTAAATTTTCCAAAACTTGGTGTGGAGCTGAAAACTGGAGCACAAAAACCTGTTTAATATTGTATAAAGCTTTTATCCGATCGGTAATATATTATGGGAGTATTTTTTATGGTCGACCAGTGATCAACTTGTGGTCTACCTCTATGAACCTTTGTGTGTGGAAGCTTTAGAACCTTCCTTAGATCTCCAAAGACAATTTTTATCTGAAAAATTTCTTCTGGAATCCTATATAAAAGATCCCATTGTATATCCCATGTACACTGCCAAATATACTAATCACCTACCAGTATATACCGATGCTTCAAAACAAAATGATGGGGTGGGCTGTTCCTTTTATATACCATCATTAGAATTTAAAAAAAATTTAAACTTGTTTCCAACACATCTATATTTTCAGCAGAAACTATAGCTATCATAAAAGCATGTCAATACGCATGTCAGCATTCAATACGCCGAAAATCAGAATCTCAAACAAATAAACATATCCAACTCATTATCCGTTCTAAAAAGTTTCTGTAGCCAACTAGACGAAAATTGGATTAAAAATTAGATTTTTCACGATATGATATTGTTACTTGTTATCCCGCACATTTGTATAAAAACAATTTAATACAGCCGGATTTGTGCGGAAATTGCACAGACTAAGTGACATGACATATATTATTCAGCTATTGCAAGAAAACCCTCGTATGATCTTATTAACTTACTAGCTCTGAACAAATCGTCAATTTTTAGGATTCTTCTAGGTTTTGTTAAGTCTTGTAAATTGCAAGTTTAGCTTAGGTTTAGCTAAGTTAACTTTGTTTTTTTTTTCACAGGCAATAATAAGGCCTTATCCCGTGGTCTTTCAACTCCATTTTAAAAAGACGTCGTGGCAAGCCTCGCGCACGGATTAAATTGAAATTAAATTTTTGTGGCAATGTCTGCCACATCATTTATAGTTAGTAATTTTGAACATATTAACAATGCAATAAAAAAACGGGAAGTCATCTTTAGCGAGGCACAAGTAGTCCAAGTTGCACAGCACATTAAGATGCAAAAACGGTATTTCTTAATTATTTTTCGCCGAACGTCGCGTGGTCACATTGCCTTAGAAGTCTGGAATATTTCGACCAGAGCGTCATATAACTGTTTCTGTCTATAAACAATTGATACACTTCTTCTTCTTTAAGTGCCGTCTCCCAATCGTAGGTTGGATATAATCATCACTATCTTTACTCTATCTACTGCTGCTCTGAAGTGTTCTATAGAACTGCATTTAAACCAGTCCCTTAAATTTTTAAATCATGACACTCTCCTTCTTCCTATACTCCGTCCCCTCTTATCTTTCCCTGTATTATCAGCCTTAGCAGTTCATATCGCTGTCCCCTCATTACGTGTCCCAGATATTGTAACTTTCTTATTTTTATTGTGTTAATTATTTCGCATTTTTTGCCCATTTCTCGCAATACTTCCGTGTTAGTGTTATTCTGTGTCCATGCTATTCTAAGCATCCTCCTGTAACACCACATTTCAAAGTACTGTAACTTATTTATGTGTTCTTGCTTCAATGTCCAGTTTCAAGTACATATTGCAGTATCGAAAACACGTAGCATCTCAGTGCTACATATCAATTGATACACTAGGATATTATAATTATATAATATCGCACTCTCAGTGCAAGACTGCAGTAAGTCAGAATAAGTAAGTTTCGAGATAAAGACGATTTTGTTTATTTTCGTGCTAATATCGGTCCAATAAGACACAAGTTAAAAAAAATATCATTTATTTATGATTTTGCATGCTTTTCAGCCTCTATTACATTAAGCAAAAAATAGAAATTAAAAAAATAATAATATTAATGCTAAAAAAAAATAGGAATTTCAAAGTTACAACACTTTTGCACGGAGAAAATTGTTAATCATCGGGTAAGTAAAGAATAAATAATCCCCAACATCAATCGGGGTTTAGTATGGTATTAAACTTTACCTTTAATAGATTCCACGAAATCAGATAGCTACCTAGAATAAATAGATACCTAATAAAACGGCTTATTGCTAGCGGCAATTTAATCTTTCTATGTTTGCACATGTTTTAGATAGCCACAATTCCTTGGCTTTGTAATGACGAGGTCATAATAGGGTAGAAAAATTATTTGTAAAACTTTCAATATTTTTATTTAAATTAAAAATAAAAGGACTAATAAAAACATGCAAATCGGGTTACCTTGAGTACCGTGAACAAAATGATAGAAATTCACTACCTTATTAAAAGTTACGGGGGGACAATATGATAAGACAATCGCCCCAAGAGGTTACAGTTACATGAAGATTTAATACAATTTGGGGTTTAGTTTTTATAGAACAAGTTTTCTGAGAATAGATATTTTTAACCTGTCAGTATTGTTAATACACAAGTTTTAAGATAACTGTTTTTCCTTTCATAAGAAAAAATACTTTTTGGCTGTAAATAATTAATCTTAATTCATGTGTTTTTAATCTAATCTAATAAATAAATGGTCAAACGACATCGCACATATTTTATGGGAAATATAATGTCACACAAAGGACATAAAACTTACATGAATAAATTGGTAAATCGTAAATCTTTGTTTATTGTCTCGACCGTTAATGGATTACGTAGACACGCTGTATATTAAAATTAAACACCACAGATATAGATATTAAAATACCAAATAATATCTTACTTTCTTCGTGCCTTTCATTGCTTGTTATCGAAACCGTTGCAGTGTTCCGTGCAAAACTGTTGTAACTCTGTTACATTAGAGTTAAAACAGTTTTGCACGGAACTTATGTACAAAAACGTAAAATAGTTAAACTATTGTTGTAATATTTAGCCGGTTAAGCATTTAAAAGTTAATAAAGTTTTACAGTGGCATATGCATATTTACAATCAAATTCCATGATTACTTCATTTTCATAAAATTTTGAGTTACTGCAGTCTTTTATTAGTACTCTTTCAAAAAGTATACAAGGTTACCTGGATAAATATTTTAATCTCTAATTAATTGAACAATTTTACGTGTCAGTAACCCAATAACGCATAGAAATTCTTTTAAATCATAAAGACATTTTTACTTCATTATTGAAGCACTTTTATATTTATGAATGGTTCTATTGTAATTATGTTTGCTAAATTTTGGAACTTATTTTTATTTCAGTGGGACTGTGAGGCCGAAGATTTAGCTAGACATGAGACGAAATTAGCTGCACTCGATTCTCTCGAAGCTGAATGGAGAATTGAAAGAGACGGTCAAGATTATAATTCCACTTATTATTCATCCAGTTATTCTTCATGGTACAGCTACGGAGCGGGCGTTATATCTGACATAATAGAAAATCTCGAGGTATGTATAATTATACAGGGTGAGTCATCACTAACGAGACGGAAGATTACAGCGAAACGGTAAAAGATTTTGAAATTTTTTTAAATGTATAGTAATAACATCATAACTAAATAATATATCTTCTTAACGTGCCCTATCAAGTCCCCTTGACGTTGGCGATTAACATGGCGAAACTGTCTCTGTCTCGAGCTATTCTAAATAGTTGCCCAGCTTTCTTTATTTCTGTCCACTCCCTGATATTCTTCAACCAAGAGGCCTGCTTTCTACAAATTCCTCTGCGTCCTTCGATTTTACCCATCATAATAAGTTGAAGAATATTATATCGGTCTCCCCTTACTACGTGTCCAAAATAGGCCATCTTTCTACATTTGATGTTATCAAGCAGCTCGCGAGCAGCATTTGCTCTTTCAAGGACTTCCACATTTGTCAGCATAGCTGTCCATGGAATTTTTAGTATACGTCTGTGCAGCCACATCTCAAAGGCCTCCAGACGATTAATCGTGGATATTTTTAATGTCCATGCTTCGACATCGTATAAGAGGACTGACCAAATGTAGCATTTAACCATGCGCTTTCGAAGTTGAAGTTGCAAGTTATCATTACAGAAGAATGACCTCATTTTTAAAAATGTCGTGCGGGCTATCTCGATTCTACATTTTATCTCTTGATCTGGATCTAGTTGTTCAGTAATATGGCAACCAAGATATTTAAAACTGGACACTTTTTGAATTATATGACCACCAACATATAATCGTGCATCTTGATGTGCTAAACGGCTAAATACCATGTGTTTTGTTTTTGAACAGTTTATGTTTAGGCCAAACTCTCTTCCCATTTTATTAATGGCATTTAAAAGGCATTGTAATCCATTCATGTCATCACTTAAAATAACTGTATCGTCTGCATATCTGATTGTATTTATCAGAATTCCATTAACTTTCACGCCCCATTCCAAATTATGCATCGCTTCTTTAAATATTCTATCTAAATATAAATTAAATAACAGTGGGGATAGTATACAACCCTGTCTGACACCTCTTTGTATTTTACATATTTCTGTTGTACAAATGCTTGTACAAATCTGTTTGTACAAATAATATATACGAAAAGGAATGTTCACTTCCCATCAAACCTGCAATTCTGTGATACGTGTTTCGCTGTTTTTAGCTCTTCAGACAGACCTGCTGGTAAGACGGAACGAAAAACATTTCCATTCGTATTTTCCTTTTGCTTTAAGTTAAACAGCATCACATCTAATTACATAATAAAATAGTGATTATTGTCTATATATTTTAGTTACGAGTTCAAGATGTGCATATCCGATACGAAGATTCCGTTAGTCTTCCAGATCAAACATTCGCTTGTGGAATAACATTAGGATCTTTAATAGCACAGAGTTGTGATCAGAATTGGCTACCAAAGTTTGTACATCCTAGTCCAAATGAGGATTCCTTTAAAATCCTCGAATTAAAAGAATTTGGCTTGTATTGGATGATGTTAAACGAATCGGAATCGTTGTCTTTATTGAATGTGGCAAAACTTGCAGTAAGTACAATAAATACAGTATTTTATATTTACTTTTAATTTTATTTTTTTTAATGTATATATGTATATACAGTGCGTTAAGTTTTTGATTAGGTATTGCATACTATACGGAGCGCTAAAATCGGCAACGTTGCAAATGTTCGTTCTCCGACCCGAGACTATCTGCACCGACAGAAAATCATTTTAGTTTAGTAACTCACAACAACGTTTGGGATGTACTTCTCTGTCGTCCGATCTCATGTTTCATTACGTACAGCCGATTTTAATAGTAGGAAATTCGATAAAAATACACTGACCTAATCGGTGCATTGTTATCGATTTTTATTAATGTGAAAATTTTTTTTGTGGTTAAATTAAAAATAAAAGCGTATTTATTTAAAAATATAAAATAAAAAATATACTCTCATTGAAAATTAAAATATTATTCCTTATAAAATAAAAAATAATTCTTTATAACCTACAGAAATGGTTCAAATAGTTGACCTTCTATGGCTGAACAGTATCCCAATCTGTCGTAAAATCTTCTACGAACAGATGAAAGAGTTTCTGCTGTAACAGAATTGGAGACTTCTCTTATTCGATTTTTTAATTCATCCAAATTTTGGGCTCTAACCTCAGGATGATCGTAGATAATGCTTTTTAAATGTCCCCAAAAAAGAAGTCCATGGGTGTAAGATCTGGAGATCGCGCAGGCCACTTAATATCGCCTGTTCCACTGATAACTCGATTCGGGAAAGTATTGTTTAAATACTCCCTAATAATTCGAGCGTTGTGAACTGAACAGCCGTCTTGATGAAACCAAACATTCTCCAGATTTACATCAGGAAGATTGAGAATAGCGGGAAGAACATGATTCTGTAACAAATCGAGGTATACTCTACTATTCAAGTTGCCCTCAATAAAAAATGGACCTATTATGTGGTCTACTAAGATGCCAGTCCAGACGTTAACTTTTTGAGGACGTTGAGTTTGGTAAACAACACTTCTGTGCTGGTTTTCCCGCGCCCAATACCTCGTAATGGAAGGATTGTGTCTCCCTACTAACGAAACAAAAGATTCATCAGTGAATAAAATGTTTTTTACCTTCGTTCTTTTTAAAACAAAATTTGTTTAATTTACTGTTTGTATTTTGAGAACGATTTCCGAAGTGGAAATTGAAACTTCAATAAACGTATTTTTATCTTTAATTGTGGCTTATTCCCAGTTAAATAGTAATTAATTCGTTATTAGAGTTTCACAAAACTCCATTCTTCGAAAGTAATCGTCTGAATACAGCTGCGTTTTCGAATATTTAAAATTCTTGTAACCGTGCTTTTTCTATACTTTCGTTACAGTAACATTGCTAACATCTAACTCTCTAGCAACGCTTCTACTTGAACGTGTTGAATCTACCTCGATTGAAATCGTAGGCTTCCACGGCCAGAGTCAGAATTATAGTTTATTCGTCTTCCGGGTTTGGACCGTGTCATTTGTGAGTGACCCAAAAGTGGGTTCATCTCGTGGGGAGATGAACCCACTTTTGGGTCACTCACAAATGACACGGTCCAAACCCGGAAGACGAATAAACTCTACCTCGATTGTTGCACAAATTTGTGTATCCCGGTATTCTCTTTCCTCAAATTTTTCTGGTAACACTTCTTGAGCGTGACATTTTCTGCAATTTTTGAGGCAATAACAACTCTCAAAATTTTTAACAATATTATAAATTGACTGTACACAAGGAATTGTTTTTATTCTGTACAAGGACTGTACACATTTTATTATTTGAGCTTTTTCCGCGGCCATATAAACAGACATGTTTACAAAAATAAATTAAAACTCTACGCTGTTATACCTTTAAACAACCACGGTATAATGACAATATGACAAATTTGCCGACGGGCGACGAGCAACGACGAGTCAACGAAGCAGATATGTAGTGGCAAGTCGACGACGCGCAGTGTTGCCATTTATAGAGTCTATACCTAATCCAAAACTTAACGCACTGTATAATATATTTTCTACAATATTTTATGTTACAGTTTAGCGAAGCAAATTATAATAATTATAATAATATATTTATAACATTTATAATTATTGAAATAATTATAAGTATTCATTGTATAGAATTTTATGCTGAATACAATTATAGATATATGTATTAGTATACGTCCCAAAACATAGTCGATTTACGAAAAATTAGAAAGTCTTACAAGGGTTGTTTAATAACAAATAAAAACTAAAAGTTATTTCACAAAAAACGATTTTTCCACGTAGTGTTTTGTTCGTTAAAAGAAAGTTTGTTTGTTATTGTGAATTTATTATATCAAATTTGAAAACATACGAGGGTCGTCCAGAAAGTAAAAAAAGATTGCCCATCACGCGCGACAGTTACCTCTGTCTGTCGCATCAGTTTGAGCTAAGTCTTGTTATCGTGTGGCTTTCTTCTATAAACCTTTGAACTGACGGCGCCTATTGAAAATCCCTCCAAATTTGAAGTGCGCAGTGTGATTCGGTTTTTGATTGCAAAATGTTCGCCCTATCGACATTTATAGCCAAATACCTAAAGGCTGTTTACCTTTAAAGGAACCTTCAGCGAGGAAATGCTGCATTATGTTCAACCAAGGAAGAACCAGTGGGCACAATGAAGAACGAAGTGGGAGGCCGTCTCTTGTAACGTAAGAGTTGAAGGAAAAAGTTGATAACAACATTCAGAAAAATCGGTTGCTTGGACAATCCATGGAGTGGCAATCGTACAAACTCACCCATAAAACTAAAAAAAGAAAATCCGAATCTAAACATAAAAACTGATTTCAACAGGTTTTTAGGACCGTGAGGATTTAATCCACGAAAGTTTATGCCTAGGGGTGAAACAATAAATTTATTACAATAATAATGAACAACGCTATACAGCATAATAAACGACGTGGTATGTTATCGACGAATGTGTTTCTGATTCATGACATTGCTCGGCCTATGCATCGGCAAGAACTTTAACATCTATAATGGTAAATTTTCGAGCATCCTCTCTACAGTCAAGACCTCACAGCTTCCGATTATCAAGTTTGGAAACCACGAAGAGCTCAAAAATGAAGTGGTATTCTGGCTCAGACGTTTGGCGGTGAAAGACTACAATATTGAAATCTAACAACCAAGGCAACTACATTGAAAAATAGCTTTAGGTACTATGACTTTGTAAATCAATTTTCTGTTGATATCTTTTGGTTTTAATTGTTTATGCCAGAATGTTTTTTACTTACTGGATGATCAATGTATTTCCGAATATAAAAAATGATATGAATAAATCATTAATATCAAACCCATTCATCAAATTGTACCATTGCAATCGAAGATATATACTTCGAATCGAAGATAATACCTTTCTTTCCAAATGGAATATATTTCTATTGGACTCTGACGCTAAGCTATTACGACCAAGTTACATTATAATCGCCAGTCTGTTTTTCTAATTACTGACCTATATCTATAAGTCCTCGTCTTCCTAAATACCACGGTAATGTCGTTCTTTCTACTACACTTCGAGGATGATGGTTTTGTGCCTTTTTGAGGCATATTCGTACTTTTCGATGAAGATTTCCTTCATCCATTTTAGTCCACGTGCAATACATATAGTCCAGCTAAGCTAACAAATGAATAACTGCTAGCTACTAACTCTGAAGTTAACTAGATTTTCATTTGCTTATGATTAATTTTCCGCGCTTACTTTTCACCGAGATATTTTTATTCATATTATTTTCACTTACGGCCTCGATATGTTCGCCATTTTGCATGTCGAATCCTCCGGACTGAAACTTTCCCCTGACTATATTTAAAATACGACATCTGTCTACTCCATACTATCATTAGAGACGGATTCAAGGAAAAGTCATGAATTTTAAATAATTCATATACAACAGATGGTTTAGCTTTCGCCACAACAGTATTGTTATTTTTAATTGTAAAACCCGAGTCAGTGGAGCTCGGTTACAGTTTACTTAACGAGTCACCTTGAAATAGGCCCAGGTTGATTACGCCTGATATTTTCAGTTTCGATATTGTTTTCTTCACCAGGTATTTGGAATTAAATTTTAGTCATCGAATCTAAAATTAAATATTCTTAATATATCTATAAGCTATTCATGCGGCACTGAGTCAATGGCTTTCTTTTAGTCAATCAATGTAGGAAAGGAGTTTTTTTGGTGTATGCTTGATTAGAAATGACTGAGACAATGATAAGTTGTTCTTTGCAGATCATGAAACCCTTAGTGAATCGTTTCTGTTGAGGGTTAATGATTTTGTTTATAGCACAATGTTGGTAGATACGTTGAGCTATACAGGATGTGACCAATTTATACAAATTTAAAAGACAAGTCATTTGGCGATACTTGGCTAGATCTTGAGTGTATTTTGAGTTGCTGTATGAGTTAGGAATGGTGGTATTTCCTATGTATTTAAAATATCATTATTTGATAAGCACCCATGAACCCTCCAAAATTTCTTTACCCAGATTTACTCTTTGATAATAGTTGAGACTTTATTACTGAAGGATTCGTGGGAGTAGTACTGTAGTTTTTCAGTTGTGCACCATATCTTCGATCCATCCAGCATTGGTGTTAAGAGCAGCTAATGTGAAACGTTGATTTCTCCAAAACTCATGAATTTCTTCTTGTTTTGGATGTGGTTTATTGTTATTTTTTACACTGAAATTAAGTTTTCGATAAAACGCCTTCTCGGCATGCTTAAATAGCCAATTCTTGTTGTTACTAATTTTGTATTCCCTTAGTCGGTCTGAAGAAACAAGAGTTTTTGTATTCGGACATTGTGTGTTGTTTTCTGCATTATTTCTCCAGATCTTTTGATTCCTTGTTTTTTCCTTATTACTCGAATATATTCCGTGATTTGACCAGTATCTCTACGCAACAACTTGTCTTCCTTTGCATTTTTCACAGGATACAACTCTGTTATCTATCCTTTCGACTTTTATATTTTATATTATATTATACAGCACATTTTATATTATTTTGTATACTTTTTCAGGAAGCTATGAGTAGAAATAAATTAGAAAAAACTACAAGAAATTATGTGTTACCTGCGGTAAGTGCTCAAGCTCATTTAAAAAGAAACAGAAGTGCGGAACCTTTGAGATCATCCATGCCTAGATATGTCTGTGATCTATTATTAGAAGAAGTACATTTATCTTTAGTTGACGTAAGTAGCATATTATGTAATATTTATGACATCTACTAAATGTACTGGCTCTTGTTGATAAAGTGTAGACATTAAAACTATACAAAGAAAGTTCGCGCCTGTAGTAGACGTCATTTGTAGAAATGTTGAGTGTTGGTAGGTTTTTCTGAAAATCAAAACAATTTGCTTCTTCATTGCTGCTTCCCCTGCTTCGTTTTATAGCATCTCGTTTTCTCGTATATTATAAAATGTGCCTGCTTTCAATTTATTGAGTTTATTTATATAACTGACAATGAATATTTCATTCTCCAACCTAAGAGCACCATCATTATCTTTTGAAATAATGTTACCCTTTTCAACTTCTAGGTTCTTTATTTTCACTTGGAACTCATCACATGTACTGCATGTGTCTTTCCTGCGATACCCAAATGACAAATTAAATTCGGTTGAGAAAATTTCGTAAAACACTTTTAAATTAGGATATTTTTCAATATACATTTTGTGCATTTTATTAATAGTTAGCTCTTCTGGTAAGTATATTTTGGAAGATTCTGCCAAGTTGTAATGGCCTTTTTTGCCTTTGAACGAACTAATGTGGTTCGTTACTGCTTCTCATTGTTCTTTGGAGAGTTTTAGAGTTTTCTAGGTCTTTAAAAATGCTTTCCTCTTTGATCTCTTGGAAACATGTCAAATTCTTTTAAAGATTTTTGAAGGACCTCTATATTTTTCTTGGTTACACCATGAATCGCCATAAAAGCTTTAAAGCAAACCTGAACTTCTTTTATTGTATTCTCATCCATTTATAAACCTTACTTATGACTATATACGGCATCTTTAAATTTAGCGTTCTCTTCCATTTGACGTGAACGTCGGTTTTGAATTTGTTGTGTGGTAATTAGACCACATATATATGAGTTTTGTTCATCAACAGCCAGAAACATTTGGAAAACATTGCAATCTTTTACAGTGACAGTCAAGCACCGGAACGTGGCTTTGTAATCTAATTTTTTGCTTACATCAGTCATGCGACCAAATGATTTTTTTTTCTTACTTAAGTTTACATTTGCTGAACTACTTACATCCATATCACTTATTTCTTCATCACTTGGCATAGTAAAATGATTTTGTATCAGTAACTTGAAGAAACTAACCTCAAATATTACACCTCAAATCAACGCACGAAAACAATGAGTAACAATAAAACATCGAGTTAGAATCTATGGAGAAGCTATGAGCATATTAACGTGTGTATTAAAAATGGCGTAGGTAGGCGTTCTGGAATCAGGGCCAGACTCAATAATATTAAAACTACTATACAAATATGACTAGTTATTCAGAAGATTTAATCATAATTTAAAATTAATGTGCAATACATTTTTAATAAACTATGATTTATTTATCCCGCGCTAAACACTAAAAACACGATATATTATACATAAAGATAAATTAATACAGTCAAATAGCAAGGTGTATCTGAAAGAGAAAATAATATTTTAAAGGGTAAATTGAATATACGGTATGAAATAAAAGAAATACGTTCGTTTTACAACTTATATATTTGATGACTACAAATTAACTGACACTTAAAAATTTAGTTCAATTAACAAAGTTAGAAAAGTTATTATTAAAAAAAAACAAAATTGAATATCTGCCGAATATCAGAATGGAAATACTGTGTAGAAATAAAAATAATGATGTAGTAGTTAATAAGAATATTATATTACCTGTGTTATATAAGCTATTGGAACAGCAGTGTGTTTCAAACGAATAGAAGAAAGTGAAGTTATATTATAACTATATATTTTACTATCTTTTTCTAAAAAATGTTTTGAACAAAAAAAAAACACTGTATTTATTTGGTTTCTTTTGGAAACCTAAACATGCAATTATTGCAAACATTGCATTAAAAATGCATCACCAAGTATTAATAACAAATTTATATTTTAAATAAAAAATATTATTATTGAACTAAAAAATGTTATAAACAACTTACAAATTATTTATTAGTATCTTTATATTCTGTATATTCATTACTTATATTTTATCGGAAGTGAATGTTTTAATTGCTGTTTTGGAAATTTTTAAAAATATTCAATAATGACTGAAAAATTAATCGAGAAACTTTTTTAAGTTACTGTAAGGTTTTTTTATGAATACTATTAATTTATTAAACAAAATGACGGTATTAGATTTTGATTTGATACAGAGCAGCAACAAGCCGCATATACGTATTTCGATCTCTTTAGATCTCCTCAGTACGGTATAGTTACTACTCCATATCAAACCAAAATATTTTCCCGTCGTAGTTTATAGTTATTAAAAATAACTATTTACGGACGTAACTACGCCATCTAACAACAAAAAGAGAAATCATGCGATTTCTACCTGGCGAAATCGAATTCAAATATAAGCCGCCGTGCTCCCTAAAACTTGCGAAGCAAACAGCTTGATGAATGAATCGTTATTTTGTTTTGTTTTGTTTGTTTTGTTTATTTACTTCATTTGGAGTACCAGAAATCGAATTCACTACGAATATAGGCCATAATGAACGGCATTTGGAGTGCAATTTTTAGACTCCCTTGCCGATTCATTCATCAAGCTGTTTGCTTCGCAAGTTTTAGGGAGCACGGCGGCTTATATTTGAATTCGATTTCGCCAGGTAGAAATCGTATGATTTCTCTTTTTATTAATTTATTCTCTGAAGTACGGGCCATTACTTTATTTACATATTTGTATACTGACCTGTGGAACGTTATTTCTGAAGATTTTTTATTAACATTGCTTCTGTTACTGCAACTACGTTGAGAACAAGAAACCATTATTATGCACTATCACAATATAATATTACAGTTTCTATAAACGTATTATAAAACTAAAAATATTCGAAAAACAACAAACGTTAACATTCATACACGATCTGTCAAAACGATCATAACAATATGGCCGAAGTGAGGTCGTTTTTAGTCACGTGATGCCCTATGCATTGACATTCGCCCTTCTTAACTGGTAAATTCTGACGTTCCCCTTTCTTTTCCTGTATAGGTATTTTATTATTCATGTTATCTCATGACAGGACCCACGTACAGTGAAGTACAGAATATAATCTATCTAATGAATTATTAAAATATGAAATGAAAATTTCTGACATTCTTCCTTTTTCCACTGTAACCTTCATATGTAATCTAATATGAATATAATTAAAGAAAAGAAAACTAAATTCAAGAGATTATAAGGGGAAAGCGGAAAATAAATAGAATAAATAAATTAAAACGTGGACGTATCTAACGCTTCCATTATTTTGTTTTGTAGCGAATGACGAAAGTTTCGCTTCTTCAATATTACTTCTGTGCTTGGCAATATATATTTCTGTGAATGGTAGTTCCTAGGAAGCCGGCACTAGAGATAATGCACGCGCATTCAATCTTGAAAGACAAACTTAAATTTGGCAGCCTTTAAATTTGGTACAATATCTATCTCTACATTTATTTCACTGAAATAAGAGTTATTATATAAATTTTTGATCATTTTAGTGGCAATACAACCAAATAGTGAACTGTATCCACGGTTTACAAGATATAAATCGACTTCGCAAATACCGTCGCTACAAACCTATGTTACCCGTTAAACACGACGCCAGAGCTTGGTGGTTTTACGCAATAAGTTGCTTTTATCCGACAGGGAAGCAGCCGTCTATTTGCAAACCTAAACCTACTTGGGAATCTTGTTTGAAAAAGGCCAGGGAGAACGTGAGGTATGTTCAGATATGTAAGAAAATTTTGGCTGCACCGAGTATGACGCTTTCCGCGGACGAGAAAAAGATCAAAGAGGAAGTTGAATGGGGTAGAGAATACGAAGATTTGAAGATTCTGAAAAAGGTAAGACATTAGTAATATTTAAATTAACTGTTAGCGAAATATTTCGCAAGTGTCCTGAGAATCACAAAGTTGTCGGCGATGTCGGTGCTTTTGAGATTTCAATCAGAAGACTACTTCAAATCGAAAGTTAAAGGGAGAAATTTTCCTAGTGTTCTTTTTGGTTGGAGTCGAAGTGTAAAAATATGTTTCATTTGCACAATTGTGTAACATACACGAATTAATATAATTCACATATTATTAAGGAGAAATGATCATTAAACATCCTAAATTGTATGTTATGCATACTTGGACATTCTTATGCAACAGAACAAGAAAAAGAGGATTTCTACGAATGCCTTGAAGCAACATTAGAACAAATTAAAAGATCCGATATAAAAATAATGATGGGAGACTTCAATGCCAAGGTTGGCACTGACAACACCAACCTAGGACACGTTATCGGAAAGCATGGCACTGGTCAGAGAAACAACAACGGCGAACGCTTCATTGAATTATGTGGTAACCATGACCTAATCATTGGAGGGACTTTGTTCCCACACAAAACAATCCACAAGGTATCATGGAAATCGCCAGATAACCGCACCTACAATCAAATCGACCACGTTGCAATCAGTAAGCAATGGAGAACATCTCTCTTAGATGTCAGATCATGGAGAGGCGCAGATGCGGCCAGTGATCACTACCTGATGATGGTCGAAATTAGATTCAAAATAGCTAGGAATAGAAAAGAACTGAACAAACCTATTCGAAAAAAGTTACCAAAAAGATACCAAAAAAGGGTGACAGAAGATATTGCGAAAACTGGAGAGGAATCACACTTCTGAATACTATAAATAAATTAACAGCAATAATTATAAACAACCGACTAACAAACAGTGTAGAACCAATGTTGAGGAAGGAACAAGCCGGTTTCAGACCAAACAGATCATGCGTGGACCAAATTAACACACTAAGAATAATTGTAGAACAGTCACAGGAATTCAACTCTCCTCTCTTTGTGTGCTTTGTGGACTTCAAGAGAGCTTTTGACACGCTCACACATACGGCCATATGGAAAGCACTGCAGGAAATAGGAATACCAGAAAAAATAGTAAATCTCATCAAAGAACTCTACAGTGATACAGAAAGCAAAATCCTACACAACGGCATAACATCTGACCCAATAGCTATGCTAAACGGAGTAAAGCAGGGCTGTGTTTTATCCCCCATACTATTTAACATTGTACTGGACTCCGTACTAACAAAGGTAAACTCTAATAGAGGAATTTACTGGGGATTAACAGACTGGAAGACCTAGATTACGCTGATGATATATGCCTCCTAGCACATACAAAACAGGACATGCAACTCCAAGTAAACAAAGTACAAGAAGAATCAAAGAAGGTTGGTCTAGAAATAAACATCAACAAAACCAAAGAAATGCGATTTGGTACCAGAAACAACCAACCTATTATGATCAACGAACAGAAAATTGAGAGAGTAGCGGAATTTGTATATCTGGGTAGCATAATTGACTGTAATGGGGGTACAGAGCGTGATGTACATGAAAGAATAAATAAGGCTCGCAACGCCTACAACATGCTTAACAACATATGGAAATCCAGGATTTACCCAACTAAAACGAAATTAAAAATCTTCAACACAAATGTAAAAGCTGTATTACTGTATGGCTGCGAAACGTGGAAGATATCAGCACCCATAGTACACCAATTATAAGTTTTCATCAATAGAGCGTTACGAAAAATCCTTCGTATATTTTGGCCTAACCGAATCTCCAATGAAAATTTATGGAACCAAAGCAACCAAGAAAATGTCATAAAGCAAATAAGGCGAAGAAAATGGAGATGGCTGGGCCACACACTCCGTAGACCGCCAAATGACATTGCCAGGACAGCGCTGGATTGGAATCCCCAAGGCCGACGGAAAGTAGGCAGACCTAAGGGAACTTGGAGAAGGACAGTACTGGACGAAGGGAGAAAAATGGGAAAATCCTGGCTTGAAATCAAAGCACTAGCCAGAAATAGAGTTCGCTGGAGACACTTTGTGGAAGCCCTATGTTCCTCTTAGGAATCTTGGGACTATATATATATATATATATATATATATATATATATATATATATATATATATATATATATATATATATGTATACATACTTGGACATAGGGGGCGCTTCTAATAAAATATATTACTAAAAAGAAAAAGACAGTAAAGATTTGATTTCACGTACAAAGCGTCTGTCTATCTGCTTATACGTATTTCGCCCTAATAGGGCTCATCAGAACAGCTTTTTATTCGGATATACTCTGTACGAGTACAAGAAACCAATTCGCTAAGGATTTTTGCTTAGTTGAGGAGATATGTCGTGGAATGCAAATTTTAGATTCTTTATGTCTCTATTAACATCTTTATCAACGTCTGTTTTGCCTTGCAATTCTTAGAAGGCATAGATTAAAGCAAAAATCTGAATTTGGTTTCAAAAATTAGTTTACGGATTCTAATATTACTAAAAATTAATATCCACCTTTGGGTAATTGTGACAATTAGTAACAAATTTAAGAATTTGTCAAAAGTATATAAAATATATCTTTTCTCTGCTAGTATTAATTTCTTTAAAAATGTTTATAATCTCAATCACTCTTAGGGCCGGTTCTACAATGCTAGTATATACTGAGAATAAAGTTATAGAATAACTTCATTAATGGTGTTCTACAAACAAAGAATAAACTAGGAATAAGATAATCGGAGTATATCTGTAGAATAACTTTATCCCTCCAAAGATTAGCAGATATACCGAGTATAAATTTATACTGCATTTCTATTGGTCGGTCAGAGGTTGTCAAATCTGTAATATTTTAACCTCACTTTATTCCATTCAATGAACTGTGGTTTTGTTTGTTTTTATATATAAAATAAAATTTTTGATATTACAGAAACATTTTAGATTGTAAATCCAAAGGAAAAAGAAAACATCTATTCTTTCAATTCTAAGATTTTAGGATCTGTATATAATGTAATAACCTCTACACATTTGACTAATATAATTATAGGTATAATCTTACCAAGGCAATATATTTTTTAATGTTTTGATAACAGAGACTAATTCTAGAATCTGTATTATATAAACATTTCTTTAACTAAAATTATATATTTTGTAATCCAATATTTATACTTGTTTAAAATGTGGAGTACCTATATAGATATATTTACATAATTTTGGTTATTATATTACAACACTAATCTCAGTTGATGATAATAAAAAATTTAAGAAGGAAATCTTACTAAGAGAAATGATTTTATATACAATATTCCAAAAATTTTACTACTTTGGCTTATAAATAAGTAGTAAAATATACAATGATGTACATGGTTGTTAAAATAGTATTACAAAAAGCCTGTCAAAATCCGGGTGTTGAAAGTAAGAGTGTAAATAAAGTCATATAAAGAGGGTAAAACCAAGGAGTTTATAAAAGGTTTTTGATTTTCACTACAGCACTGAAATAAAAATTGAGAAACCATGGGTTAGGAAATAACTTAAGTACAGAAACAGTTGCAATATATTTGAGATACAATAAAATGTTACAATATAATATCACTATTTTATTGATTCAATGCTAGAACCGCTTCCATGCAACTTATCTACTATCTACTTTAGTACAGCAGTTTGTGTATTTATTGAAGTAATCTTGTCTTCTCTGAAAATGTTTGCTGGAACAAACCTAATATAATATAATGTGAGTCATGAGGAACTATACATACTCCTACCTCGTATGGAAACCCCTATGGGAAATAACAAGTAACCAGTAAAAAGTGCAAGGGGAGTTGTTATTTTATAAAAACTTGATATTCCAGTTTGTCTAATTTGTAAAATTTTTGTTAAAGTTTTTAAAAACCATAGGTTGAGATTCTTTCATGAACAGAAGAAACTATTTTTTTTTTAACCGGACCTGACTTTATTTCTAGTTTAAATGTGATGTTTAGTGACATGTTTGACCAAAATATGAGACACATCAAATTTACAATTCAAAAGTTATGATGAATAGAAGTCAGTCAAAATTGACAACTCGCAGTGTATGTTATTAAACAATGAGAGCGAAACTTTTTAATGGTCATTTGTTATTCCCCATAGGGTTCTCCATACAAGGTTGGAGTATGTCCTGTATTAACTAAGTACTAAGTAAATATTTTACACTTTATTTCTCAACTCTTGTTTTAAAATGTGAACTTCAAACTGGCATATTGTCTCTTTGTGGTTTTCTTCAAAGACTCCCACTTGCTTCGAAGCATTTTAGCTGTCCTTCCTGTACCACAATTGGAATTAAATTTTATGGATAATTTTAACCACTCCTTATCTTTCATGGCACTTGTTGTTGTGTCAGTTTTCTTACATTCTAAAAGCAAAATTAAAATAAATACTTAACCCATAGATACATATTTTTTTACATACCTATTATTTCTTTATGTTCTTCAAGTAAACTCACAAGCATTCCAATTTCTGTATATGTAAAATTTTTACATCTTTTTTTATCCATTTTATATTAATTTTGTAAAGTATAATAATATAAACGTAGATAAAATACCAGATAAAGCGAATCAATTATTCAATTCCTTTCAATTGTAAACAAATTTTACAGTTATGACAAATGCCAAATGTCGCTCTCAATAACAATTTGAACTAATCTTGAAGATATCAGATCTACTATTTCGTTTTACCTTAGTGTTCTGTGGTTATACCCAGAATAACTATTCCGCTGTCGATTTCACAATGTAGAACGCTCGAAAGGTTATACTTGGAATAAACTCAAGTATAAGTTATACTCAGAATAACTATTCTCCAATTTATACCTGGATTGTAGAACCGGCCCTTAATATCATAATGTAGCAGTTTATTACTTAATTTTGTATTAATTACACATGTTATCCTCCTTTTACGAATTTGATCTTTTTTAGTTAGTGCTGGATTCTGTGAAACTGCCTCAGCTGAACTCTAACAACGAAAACGATTCATCCAAAGGTAGAAGCTTGTTGGTGAAGTGGTTTCCGACATGGATGGGTTGGTATTCAGGTTCCAGCGAAACTGCGCCTACACTACCTCCAGACGCCTCTAAGTTAGAGGGAGAAATTTTGCAGGTTTTAGCGGATACTGCTGAAGATAGTACAACCTTTAGAAAAGATGCGGTATTTGGAAAGTTCAATTTTTGTTTAAAGACGGGAACTCTGGGATTGTGTACGATGGATAAAACCACCAATGAAAGGTAAAATCGTTGTTTGTATTATGTTTATGTTTTCCTGTCACATATTTGTCAAGGCTAAATTATTCACTTATATTTAACAAATGTTAAATATGACATTTTAATTTTAATAAAAGAAACCACCAGAAGAAATTGAAAACCAACTTAAGGTTAAAATAAAAAATGTCAACTCAGAGCTACAGCCAGAAATAAGCAAATCAGAAATAAAGAAGGCATTGAAAGAAATGAAAAACAACAAATCTCCTGGAAAAGATGGAATAACTGCAGAGATGCTGAAATATGGTGGAAAAGTGGTAATTAATACTCTACATCCCCTTTTTAATAAAATATTAAAAGAAAAAAGAATCCCAAACAACTGGAAGGAATCAGTAACCATTATCCTACACAAGAAAGGGGATAAAGCAGATATAAAAAAACTACCGTCCTATAACACTCCTCAATGTAATGTATAAACCCCTAACAAAAATTTTAACCAATAGATTGACGACAAAATTCGATGGATACCAGTCGAAAGAACAAACTGGTTTTAGAAAGGGATTCAGCACAAGTGACCATTTACTAAGTATGAAAATACTTATAGAACGAGCAAATGAATACCACATTCCTCTATATATGGCGTTTATAGATTTCGAAAAGGCTTTCGACAGAGTCGAACATTGGGCAGTGAAAAGTTCTTTGATTAACAGCAGAATTGACCACAGATATACGGAACTAATAGCCAATATATATAAGGAAGCCAAAACAACAATTAAAGTATATGAAGGAACAAAATCAATACAAATAAATAGAGGCGTGAGACAGGGTGATACAATATCACCGAAACTTTTCAATCAGGCTCTTGAAGATACTTTTAAAAGATTAGAATAGGAAGACGAAGGTATAAAAATTTGTGGACAACGCTTGAACCATCTAAGGTACACTGATGATATCGTATTGATAACTGATAAAAAAGAAGAATTATTTGAAATGATGAAAGAACTGGACGTAGAAGCTGGAAAGATAGGCCTTAATATAAATTACAGCAAGACCAAAACCATAACAAATACAGATGAAGACATCACAATGAGAATCGGACAAGATGAAATAGAACAAGTTCAGGATTATATATATATATATATATATATATATATATATATATATATATATATATATATATATATATATATATATATATATATATATATATATATATATATATATATATCTTGGTCAAACTATAAAACTTAACAAAGAGAACCAAACAGCAGAAATAAAGAGACGACTTAGATTGGCATGGGCGGCATTTGGCAAACTAAGCTACATTCTTAAAAACAAAAGATATCCACAGCATCTTAAGACCAAAGTATACAATCAATGCGTACTCCCTGTTCTTACTTATGGTTCCCAAACGTGGCCATTTACAAAAGCAAACATGGACAAAATCATAAAAACCCAAAGAGCAATGGAAATGGACAAATGTTGCACATACGACTAATGGATAAAAAGAGAAACGAGTGGATAAGAGAGAAAACAAAAGTAAGGGATGTTAGACAAGAAGTTGCAAAATTGAAATGGAGATTTGCCGTACACAATATAAGACAAAAAGAAGACCGATGGAACAAAATTCTTATAAGTTGGAGACCGTGGGAATATAAACGAAGCAGAGGAAGGTCCCAAATGAGATGGGCAGATGATATCAAGAAGCACGTGGGCTCTAGATGGATGACTGTTGCGACAGACAGAGAAGAATGGAAAAGGATTGGGGAGGCCTATGTCCAAAGATGGACCGAAGAAGGCTAATTAGATAGATAGATAGATTTAACAAATGTGTTTAAGTATAGTATGGAAATGTTAGGCATTTTAGGTGAATAGACACTTATATTACGGCTTTTTGGTACCATATTCAGTTATGTATAATAATTTTGTAATCTTCAGATTTTGTGCAACGTCTGAACACCTCAATTTATTTTTCCAGCTTCCCATGTTGTTTGGAAAAGTATTAAAAGTATTCAGAATTTTATTATTCTATCATTTCATTAAAAATATGATCTTATTTAGATATATATATATATATATATATATATATATATATATATATATATATATATATATATATATATATATATATATATATATCTTTTAACTTATAATATATTATCTTATTATAATATGACTTTAGTTATATATTTAAATTACTTATTCTCGTTGTATATCTTCATTATGTTTTAAAATCTCGTGCTCAAATTGGCTGATTCATACTATTTTTATTATACTATTATATCATACTATTATTATAATATTTATTCTACCCCAGAATACTTCAGATAAAGTTTTTAAAATATCAGATTCCTTGAGGAAATGTACCAGTCCTTTTGTGCAGAAATTTTAAGATGGCAGTTTAAAGTACCTACAGCCTAATCTATTACTGTATGCGGAGGTCCTGAAACAGAAAGAATACAACCCTAGTTGATTTTCGATACCTAAATATGTATTCCTCCCGTACGGACGGGACATTCGGAAGCCAGAACTCGTCACACAATCAGACAAATCTGTCGAGTATATCTTTAATTCCCGGTGGAGGTCGATCTTCATACTACTGCACTGCGATGCCGAGGCTTTGACCACGTTGAGGTTGTTGTTTATCGGTGTCTAGTTGTTTTGAATGTTGCGATATTGTATTTATTTCCTATCCCTTCTTGTGGGCTTCGCTGCATTGCTTATGGTTTTATATTTTTCCTTTCTTAAACCTTGTGAAGTTCCTTATTTATAAATAACAATGGATTATTATTTTTTGTTAAAACTTTTGTTAGCAGTTTTTTTCTTCCTGAAATGCTTTTCCGTTATAGGTATGGTTATGATTTTGCAACTTTTCCTATATCATCTGTGATATATATCATTCCTATATCATTCAGCTTTGGGTTATTTTGTTTAACAGAATTTCACCTGCGTTACATGGTATCGTTCTCATGATTCATTCAAGAGCCAAGTTAAGTGACATAGTACATTTTCTTGCCTTAAATCGATTGTTATTTCTAACGATGTCGAGAGTTCTCTTCCTATTTAAACTCTACTGATTCAAGACTTATTTTGACCAGTTGTACTTATTTTTGTAGAACGCCAAATTCACTCAGTGTTATATACTCTATTTACACAATCGTATGCTTTTTTGTCTAAGTAGAGCTGGTATACAGCTACATTATGCTATAGTAATATTCGATGCTGTCTCTAACGGTGATAATTTGTCGATGATGACTATAGTATGTTAACAATACTCCATACGCTACAGATTTGGTATACGTGCTCATTGGTGCGAAAGGAAGCCAAACGGAGGCGGAGTGAGAGAGTTGAATAGTTACAAGCGCATGCATGGCATTCGAAGCGTCACGTCGCTACAACAGCACTATAGTCCCATTACATGTTTCACATCAATCATAACGTGCATGATAAATATATAATGTATGTTTGGGTTTAGGGACAATCATATAAAACATTTTGTCGTAAAAAATAACAATATTGAATTTTTGTATAATATATGTATATGTATAATACATAATATATGTGTATGAATTTTTGTATATGTATAATTATATAAATATAGCAGAAGTGTTACCACTTGATCAAATAATTATAAATACTTATTTTCTACTATTAATGACAGGTAATAACTATTAATTTTTAGCTCATCGTTGTTGGAAATGGAATTTAAAAATTTCGTGCTTGGTTTTCTAAGTAAACCCAGATCTCATTCCCACGTGATCGAATTATCTTTAGACGCTTTATTCTTAAAAGACAAAATAAGCTCAAACACGATGTTTCCCATTGTTATGGGTCCCTCAGGAATCGACAGAATATCATCTGCACAAATCAGAGGACCTAGAAGAACGGGTACAAATAAATCAGACTACGTTAAGGAACATTTATTTTATTTAATATACGAGAAAAGACCGCCAAACTCAGGAACTGATTTTAGGTAAGTTTTTAATATTAGTTTGTATAACAATTATGGTGAGGTGTATAAATTTACTTATTTTCGTCTAGAGTTAACGGAGTCATCATATCGACTAAACGATCGGAAGTTCGGCATTCACTCAGTGGGGTATCTGCAAAATATTAGATCTGCTAAGTTTTAATCTGCATTTTCAGACACATTTGCATCCGCCACTATTTTACTGTTACGATTTACTTAACTAATGCTTCTAAAATTACTCCTTTTGAAATGAAACTTCACTACAGAGAGAGAAAAAACATTTTAAAGTCAGAGGTAGAAAAAGCAATCAAAGTTAAAAAATAGTAAATCTCTTGGCGCAGACCAGATCACCGCAGAAGTTTTAAAAGAGACTGGAGATGTTGGAGTAAATGTTATGCATATAATCTGCAAAAAAATTTAGGAAACCGGAGAGTGGCTCAATGACTAGACAACATCCACTTTCATCCCTATATTCAAAAAAGGAACAAGAGGAATCAAGAAGAAATGAAAGATATAATGAGATGTCTGGAGGAGAAAAGCAAAACATATGGACTTAATAGGAGTAAGACAAAGATCATGATAGTAGACAGAGCTCGGAATAATCTTTAACACATTAAAGAAATTGGGGGCTTTGAAGTACTAATTTCATATACTTGGGGTCCCTAATAACAAATGACGGAGGTTGCGACAGACAGATACGTAGAAGGTTGAGTAAATCAGAAATTGACGGGCTAGATTTCGAAAACTTATACGAGTAATAGAGGATAGGGGGAATTTTGCCAGAGAAATCGCTAACCTCCAATAATGAAGATAATACTCGAATAATAAGAAGAAGGCAAGTTTATTGTATGTTGTTACGAAATGAAGAGACTTCAAAATAGTTCCCTAATATAAAACTTTTTGTTTTCGATATTATCTCCAACAGAAATTTATTGCAAGTTGTTGAAAGTATGTAAAGAGTTTGCACGTTTGTTATCAACACTAGGAAAGTCTGTTTAAACACAGTCTTAGATTAATTGAAGATAGTGCACATAAAGCATAAGTAGAAGCATTAGTTACTGTAGAAATATCAAAGAATAAAAAAAAATTGATCTGAAATAATGCCATAAACCCTTTTTTTAGGTTAAGTGTGAAGTCGGAAAGTTTAGATATAGTGTATCAACCAAATGTAGTTAGATGGCTTATAGAATTTATTTATTTACCTATTCAACGTGATATAGCACAAATTCAGTTAGAAGCTATGAAGTTAAAGACGAAGAAGGAACTCATGAAAAACTGGGAACAGATATTTTCTGGAGGATCGGTATGTTATTAATTTTAAGGTTTTTCCGCTAAATAATGTCAAGATTTTTAGGTTAATAGGTCTACTTGGGAACTTGAATTAGATATAACTGCTCCTCAGATTATATTTGTCGAACAGTTTAGCGATCAAAATTCCGCTATGGCTGTGATAGATTTTGGGAAATTACATTTGAAAAATAACGTAGAAAAAATGAATGAAAATAGTAAAACCGATGCTTTAGATAATAAAAATGATGAAGATGACGGTAAGTAAGCATATAGGTCATATTTTTTTTGTTTATTAAACCATCTAATTCTAAATTTTAAGTGTATAGACAGTCGTGTTGATTTCAGGTAGATGAAGGATTCCAATAATGGCTAACTCTGAAAATGTTTATGTTATATATGTTAAAGAGTTATACTTATATGTTAAATACTTCAAAAATGCATCTTTCCTTTACCTTACTCAACTCTTTGCAAGCATATACCGAATATATCAGTGATCAGTCGTCATTAATCATCATATTTTTATTATAGCTCTTAGAAGGCCACGATCTAGTCTGTTATTATGTTCTTTATTGCCTACTGTCTCAGTATACTGTTTATTAAGAAGCTTTTCGTAATGTCTTTTACTATCTTTCAATTTACTTACAAAAATAATTAGATTAACAGTAGCCAGGGGGTTACTACACTACACTTTTTAATATTCCTGATCTAATTTGTACACGTAGTCTGTTCAGGTACAAACAACTCGATTGGACGATAGAGATTTAAAAATAATTACAAATCTATAGTGACATTAAATGGCAAGAATAAAAGATTAACAAGAACTGTCGGTTGAAATATATACAGTGTAGGTAAAATTTTATGGTCGGTATGGTAAAACTTAACAGGATATCTAACACAGATATAAAATCATATTTTCAGCGAATAGACAAAGATAACAATCATATTCCCCCTTGGTTTCCCCTCCATAAATCTTCTTGATGCCCATTGCCTGTTAGTGAGACGATTAGTTCCGATCAGAGATATTTTACATATTCTGTGGTTCCGATCCTCATAAAGCTAAGAAACTAGAGGTGGGTCCTCTAGTTTTTTAAATTTTTATCGGAACCGTTTTTCGTAAACTGTAACTAGTTGATTGTTTACCAGTATTCAAATTAGCGAGTACACAAACATATTGGCTATTATCGTTTATGTGTATAAGTATTGAAGTGAAAGAAACTAACGAAGAATATGTTTATTATAACTTGAAAAATAAATTAAACAATACAAATAGTTTTTACATTTACATGGACTTAAGTCATCTTTATTAGTTTCTTTTTCTTGTACTATTAATTTTCAATAGTATAATCTTCTTTTTCTTTTTTTTTTATAGTAGTAACCAGCTTCAACCATCAACTAGTTGATTTTAACGAATTTAACCGAAAATTTAGAGTTTAAAACGGTTTTATTAGGCTGCTGCCATTTTTCTGGAAACCATAATTCAGAAAACATCGCTTTTAAAATTAGTGAAATTATTATTCGGTGGGGTCTAAAACAAAAAGTAAATTTTGCAGTAACTGATAATGCCTCAAATATGGTCATAGCTATTAAATATGTTTTGGAATGAAAACATTTAAATTGTTTTGCTCATACGTTAAATTTATTGATGGAGGACGCACTTAAGTGCTGTCGTGTACAAATAGATAAAATAAAAAGTCTTTTTTTCGACAATTCGGCAAAAAACACATTTCAAAAAAGTACCTTATCTTCAGAAACGCTTTTAAAGTATCAATTACAACATAACAAAGATTCCAAACGGCCAATCCAAGACGTGGAAACTAGGTAGAACTTCACCTATTACATGTTAGAAAGAATGACGGAGTTAGAAGAGGCAATCCGTTCCACATTGGTATCAGTTAATACAGACTTGGACTTAGACCAAATCTAAATAATGGATTATTTTTTCGTAATGGTCCCAAATTTTACGGCCTTTTAAAGAAATAACAAGTACAATGAGTGGCCAAAAATACTTGAATGATAGTTCAGTGATTGTTCTGGTACGCTGCCTGCAAAAATCTTGCAATAAAATTTTAGCAAACAGTAACCTTACATCCATAGTATCCGACGTAGAACGGGTTTTTATTACTAATTACGGGATAATTACTAATCTCGGGTTTAGCAAAAAGATTTAGAGGGATAGAATACAGTGGCATATTGTCATTATATACGTTTATGGATTCACGATTTAAAGTGCAGGGATTTTCTGATAAAAATGAAGCTAAAAAACAAAAGAAAGAGTTAAGAAGCTGGTTACTTCTATAATTAAAGAATAATAAGATTGTACTATTGAAAATCAACCAGTATAAGAAAAAGAAACCGATAAAGATGACTTAAGTCCATGGTGTATTTTTGATCAATTAATTGGACATGACTCATCTAAACGTACACCTGTAGCGAGAGTCCATTACAATGGTGGAAAAACCATCGCCATGTATCTCCTAACTTAACCAATATATTCATAAAGTATTGTAAATGTGAACACATGTTCAAAATCAGGTTTAATTTTAAATAAAAGAAAAACACGGTTAATAAGAAGTAAAGTAAAAAAACTTATGTTTTTAAATGTCAATTTAGACGATTAGTGATTTAATAATAAAGTGTAATGTAAACGTAGGTACGATTTACTATTTGTATTGTTTAGTTTAGTTTTCAAGTTATAATAAAATCTCTTATTAGTTTCCTTCACTTCAATAAATATACACATAAACGATAATAGCCATTATGTTTGTTTATGTAGGTACTTTCTTACTTGAAACTACTATTAAAAAAAAAATCATAGTTACTTGTTTACGAAAATCGGTTTTGCGACGTCAATGACCCACCTCTATTCGTAAATACCTGTGTACGCTTTGATTCGGTGATTTGACCACGCGACACGCCACGTTGGCAAATAGTTTTGTACGAAGCTTTTTTATTTATATGCAGTTTAATATTTTTATTGGATGTAAGGCATAATGTCACTTTAAAATAAGCTTATTTTGATGTTTAGATTTTTAATTCGGAAATCGTTTTTAAAATACCAAACATTAATAAATTTTATTTATATAAAATGATTTCCGAAGTATAAATCAAAATGTTATATTACACTTATTGTAAAGTAAAATTGTGGCATATTCCCAATAAAAAACAATAAGCTGCCATTTAAATCCATTTCGCCCAAATTTCATTATCTTGGAGCATTGTTCAAATGCGAAAAAGACAACAGGTCAAATAAAACCAATAAGTTTCGCAACGTTGAATTTCCCCTTTTTATTATATCCACTCATTTATGTTCGGTGATATAAAAGGCGGACACCTAATATATCTCTCTCTTTTTAAACAGTTGTTTCTCACTCCATCTCATGTAAGGTCCATACCGACCATAAACTTTTACCTATACTGTATATCAAAAGTGGAGTGAGACAAGACTTTATACCCTTCCGAACAATATTAAATATGCCGACGATAGCTTAGTGCTGGCTAATTGCAGTGAAGACCTTCTAATTGTAATTAACAAAATAAACCAAACCTGTGATCAGTATTAATTAAATCTTAACTTTAAGAAACTAAATATATGATAGTTAGCAAATAACATTACATTCAGTTGGGTCCTGAATGATCTCAATTCTCACAAATGATTTTTCCACTAAAAAAAAAACCTCATGATCCATTTTATCTAGCAAACGATTGGCCGAATTTATATAAAACTGCCAGAGCATTTGGCAGTTCGTAAACAGTCCCAAATTGTGTTTATCTTTAACAGCAATTCTTACAGAGAAAACTATTTAAAGAGGAGCAATTAAGACATACAAATAATCATTCATAATACGTCCGTCCGTTCGGGATACGTTTATGATAAACTAACGTTCGGATGTATAAGTGAAAGATACATAATTAAACCTTATACAGGGTCGCATATTATCACAGATTTCTGAAGTAAATTGAATTTGAACTACGTGAATTAAAATTTTTATAAACTTTCCTTTGAATCGTTACAATGGTATTATAATCCAGTTTAACTGCAGCCAGTTTGCTTCTTGTATATCTTCCATTCGTATAATTTTCTGGTTCAGGTTTTACTGCAAAAGGCTATTTACGTAACACGGTGGCGCCTCATTTAAATTAAAAAAAGAAAAATTTCTGGTGTCTGTACCGAGAATCGAACGTATGAGTAGACGGTATGTTGACTGGGCGGAAATAATTGAACTTCTGCAAAATCAAATTGTCCCAGCCCTTCGTAATTTACCAATTCCTTTCGATTTCATATGGTTTCAACACGATGGTTGTCCTGCACATAATTCTTGCATCGTCAGTGAATATCTCAGTGCGACTTCTCCTAGCCGATTGATTAGTGGCCACGGAGATATTTTTTGGCCTGCAAGATTACCTGATCTTGCACGTTGTGATTTTTTTTATGTGGGGATATATCAAGTCCAAACTATATGGAATTGAAGACGATAGGCCTAATTCTCTCCAAGAATTAAGAGAAAAGATCTCTCTGATTCAATGAGAGGTATTAGTCCAGAAGCATTAACTAATGTTAGACGAAACTTTTATAATAGATTGGGTTATTGTTCTGCTGCTAATGGAGGCTTATTCGAACATTTTTTGTAAATACATTTCATTAGAAAAAAAATACGTTTATTTAGAATATTTTTATAGAATTTCTACTTATTTAAACATTTTTTGTAAGTACATTTATTTAGAACGTTCTTTTATGTTTGAAGAATTTTTAATTTATTTTCGAAAGTACGACATTGTTTTTTCAATAAGATTTTCATGTTTTACTATAAGCACTTCTAATAAAGACTGAAATAAATGTTTTGTGATTTAAAGTAAAACGATATAATATCTTCATAATTTCAAATTTTTAAAAAAGTAAAAACTTCATGTTGTTACTTGTGGGATTTGAACCCTAACCGCCTGCATGAGTACATCGTGCCTTGAATTCTGATCCATCAGACTTTTATAATTCTTTAGTGACAGTTTGGGTTATTATTCTGCTGCTAATGAACGGGGTAATAAATATATTTTTTTATTTTTGTAAAATTTTTACTTATTTAAACATTTTTAAACGTTCTTTTAATTTTGAAGAATTTTTACTTTATTTTCGAAAGTACGACGACACTATTTTTTCTTCTAATACTAGTAACGACTGACATAAATGTTTAGTGATTCAAAGCAAAACGATCTCTGCATAATTTCAAATTATTGAAAAAAAAAAAGAAAACCACATGTAGGTTTTGAACTCTAATCATCTGCGTCGCAGTGTCGAATTGTTACCACTAGTCCACGAAGAATTGCTAATTATTCCGTGACAAGAGTGTATGAAACTCCGCAAATCATAGTAGAAATCATTCTTGGTTAATAATTTAAAACTTTTGAATAAATAATCACTATTAATTAAATTATTTTATTCACATTTTTGCTTTATTGTGGTCAATCAGTTTTTACTTTATGCGAAATTAAAAAATGGAAATACGTCACACATAATAATTATGACCGAGGTGATTTAGCTCGAAGCTAACGTCTAAAGGTGTGAGACTATCGATAGTGGTAATGTAATGTAATGTAAATTATAGGTTTCTATCGATTATTTCCCACCTCTACGAGTTTCATCTGCTTTTATTTCACAAGGTAACTGTGTTTTCTATCTCTTACGTTAAAAAGCCGGGTGGTAAGGCACTCATTACTATATATTTGTGATATATTTACATATAGCGACACTACATTTATTTAAATTATAAAGTTTATCTCAACATATTTCCTATATATTAACAAATTATTTAATATTTCAGAAACTTACTTGACACCATGCTCAACTCCCCCAGTTAGCGAAGGTAGCCTTTCCGCTGATCAAACGATCGAAGGTATATCAGAGGCTGAAGATGCTTCAAATATTCTGAACGAATCAAATTTACATAAGAAATTGTATGATTCCTATTGTTTAGATTTAACAGACTTGCAGATCCTCATAGGAAGGGCGAAAGATAATTGGAGATTTGCCTTAAATAAGGGATCGTCTAATTTACACGTACTGGACAGATTTAGTATATCCCTGCAGATAGAAAGACGAGTGGTAAGAAGTTGTTCTTTTCATTTAGTTTTTATTTTATCGAATGGAAAAATTAAATTTTAATCTCACCATTCTATTTCAATCTCACTAATTCTGGCAATTATAAATTTATTCCTGAATAGTTCCGTCGTGGATGTTGCAAATTTAGATCTTCAGCCAGGATATTCATCTTCTGCCAACGTCTTACCTTAAAGGTTTCCTTGTTGGATGTGTTAATAATATATATTTGGTTTCATTTCTCTTTCTGTGACTCAAATATTCTAATTTTCTTCGTTTTACTATGTACAGTTGCGGTCACGGAATAGTTTACACCTTACTTTTTATATTGTAATACTGTAAAATTGCAGTGTCGTACGGATTTGATAAATGTCAAAGTCAAAAAATTTCAAAACTTCAATGCTTTCGCGAGTGTTCAACAATAAAATAAAAGTATATTAAACTCTTCCAAAATGGTTAGAATACATTTGAATTATGCGCAAAAAGCAAGAGCAATTGCCAAACTCGAAGAAGGTTGGTCACTAAGGCAAGTTGCTGCTGATTTGAACGTGAGTCATATGTGCATATGGAAGATTAAACAAAGATGGGATAATTTTCACTCTATAGCACGGTTGGGCGGTTCAGGAGGGCAGAAGATTTCCACAGATCAACAGGATGAGATGTTAGTAGATTATTTGAGAGAATCTCCTTTTGCCACAGCTCAAAAGGCAAGAGAAGAGGCAGCGTTTCCAGGCAGTATTCGCACTGCACGTCGAAGAATTAAAGCAAGTGGACTGCTAAATTGTGTAGCTGCACGGAAACCTTTTTTGACTGAGGATCACAAGAGGAGACGAGTTGAATTTTGAAATGAATTTATAAACCGCGATGAGAATTTTTGGTCTAGGGTTGTATTTTCCGATGAAAAAGTATTTCAGTCGTATAATAATGGTTGAATAAGAGTTTATAGGCCAAGAAATCATAGGTATGATGAACAGTATACGCATCATTTAAGAAATAGTGGAGGATTCTCTGTCAACGTATGGGGATGGATAAGTGCCGAAGGCCCGGGCGTTTGTTATCATGTAGAGGAGAAGTTAACAGGATTATATTACAAACATATTATTGAGCACACAATGTTGCCATCGGTGATCCAGATTTTCCCCAACAACGACTTTATCTTCCAACATGACAATTGCCCGGTGCATACGAGTAGAATTGTTCGAGAATGGCTAGAAGAAACTGATGTTAATGTTCTTCCGTGGCCTTCCCGTAGTGCAGACTTTAACCCCGTCGAAAATGTGTGGGCAGAGTTAACAAAGAAACTAAATGAAAGAAACCTTAGACCACGGAATAGAATTGAATTATGGGAAGCAATTGAGCAGGCATGGGAAGAGCTTGTTAACTATAACATGAGGGGATTGGTGCTATCTATGAACAGAAGACTGCAAAATTGTATTGACAAGAATGGGGCTTCCACCAAATATTAATTATTATTTATCATTGTTTATCGTTATTTAATATAAAATAGATTTAAAATAAAATGCATATTAAAAAAAAGACTTCTTTATTTTCGTTATTAAGATCATAATCCATTTTATTCAAAAAACTGTTTTCTATATTTTTCATTTTGTAAAATATTTTGATATTTTAATTTTAATCTACCTATTCTAGCTAGTACACCACTGGCAACGTCACTTTGACGTAAAAGGTGCGTTTAAACGAAGTAAACATTTAAAAAATGGGCTCCTAGATACGTGAACCTGTAAACTATTCCGTGACCGCAACTGTACATACTATGTACAGTATTTCTCTTTCGTTAATAAGTTTTTGGAATACTCTTATGTTTGATATTTTGTCCAACCATATAATCATATGGTTTTTGAGTTTTTTAAAACTAAGAAACTTTAAAATACGATGTCTCAGCGATCAAAGAAGCTATCGGGGTAATCTCAACGTCATTTAAAAGAATGAGACCTATAATTTAAGATGTTTGTAACAGTTTTTGGAAAAAAAATTATATTCCGATTCTACATAACCTCAAAAACCGGTATTTTTGTACTTTTTGGTTAGGATATCTCAGAAACCATAGGCAATTTGGAGCTCAGATTCACATCCATCGCTCAAAAACCCTTTTGAAAAGTATATTCTGATCTCTGGGTCCAAATATTGGCCAAATTTTGATTATACTCATATAGCTTGTAGGTTTTTTAAACATAAGAAGTTTTAAAATGCAATATCTCAGCAAAAAAATACGACATCTGTATAAACTTAACGTTATTGAAAAGTTTGAGACATACTTTAAAATTGATACAACTGTTTCTGAGAGGAAAATTATATTACGATGCTACATAACCTTAAAAACTGCTGTTTTTGCACTTTTAGGGTGTGATATCACAAAGACCAGAGCCAATTTGGCTAGTTGGAGCTCAGATTAGGATTCAGCGCACAAAAAACCTGAAAAGTATATTCTGATCTCTAGGTGTGAATATTGGTCAAGTTTTGTCGGTGTGTGTAATTTGCTCATTTGGATGAAAGCAAATTTCAATCCTTGATCTTACTTTCTGGGAACGGTCTCGCTGTTCATTGAATACTGTACCCAGATATGTCTATGTTTACACTCGTTCTACCATTTTCGCATTGATGATAAATTGTACTTCTCCTAAACTCCATTAGAACCCTTCTTTTGGCGCTACCTGGGCCTCGAATATTCGGCATTAGCTGTACCAACGCGCCCAGACTAGGTTCGCCTTCTCCACCGTCTTTTGAACGTTTACTCCTAACCTCAGTCCTTCCGACAGCCAAACTTAAAGATACTTAACTAATTTAACCGGTGCAACCTCCAATATAAAGCAAAGAGAGGGTTTGTCCCGATTCCCTTTGAGAACTTCCACCTCAGTTTTCTGAGCTGCTAGCAGTAGATCATTTTCTATGATCCACCTGATAATACGACGCAGGGCTGTTTTAGCCGCATAAATATCCGTTTTCTGACTCGCCTTCGCAACCAATGCTAGATCATATGCTAGATGCTACAAGAATGCATCTCCTTGTCATCTGTAGTCTGAGCACCCCGTCGTACAGAACATTCCACAGGGTGAGACCTAGTACCGAACCTTGCGACAATCTGATGCTGACATCTTTTTCCATTATGGACCTGTCAGTAAAGTATCTGAACACGTTGACTAGGTACTCACTAACGCCCAATTCGACTAAAGAGCTCACTTCTGTGACTAAAGATATCAGAGAAAGTAAATATACTACAAATTTTTCGGAAATATCGTTTGTCGTTCAAAAATATAGTTTATTTATTTTATATAATAATCGATTTTCATAAATTAAAGCTTTCTCTCTCTCTCTCTCTCTCTCTCTCTCTCTATATATATATATATATATATATATATATATATATAATATATATATAATATATATATATATATATATATATATATATATATATGTATATATATATATATATATATATATATGTATATATATATATATATATATATATATATATATATATATATATATATATATGTATATATATATATATATATATATATATATATATAAATATATATATATATATATATATATATATATATATATAAATATATATATATATATATATATATATATATATATATATTATATATATATTATATATATATATATATATTATATATATATATATATATATATATATATATATATATATATATATATATTACCTTTATTTTTGTCTCATATCTTGACTATATTCTTATCGTCTTATGACTTTTAGCATTTGATTTTTTTCTTATTACCAGAATTTACTGCAACCACTTACTACGACCGTTAAAAAACAACTAAGAGCATGTCTTCGTTATATTTATTATTGTAAGAGGATTTACGTAATATGTATTATGGAACATTTGGTTTGAAAGTTTGGAAAAAAATATATTACTAGGAACAACAAGAGATATCATAAGATTTCTTACCTAGCAAAACTGAATTCAAATCTTTATCACTGTGCTTTCTACAACTTGCAAAGCAAACAGATTGATGAATTGCCCGGCAAGGGAATCTAAAATATGCATTCCACAAACCGTTCATCATGGTCAAAATTCGTAGTGTATTCCACTCTGATGATACCTAAAGAGGTTGAAATACATACATATAGTGGCTTGCCTCCGCCTTGCATCGAAATAAAAATCTAATACCGTCATTATGTTTTATTTCTTTACTTTGGAGTACCAGAAACTGAATTCACAATTTTGACCATGATGAACGGCTTGTGGAATGCATATTTTAGATTCCCTTGTTAAGCAATTCATCAATCTGTTTGCTTTGCAAGTTCTAGAAAGCACAGTGGTAAAGATTTGAATTCAGTTTCGCTAGGTAAGAAATCTTACGATTTCCCTTTCTACGACGGGATAGATTTTGTTTCGATTCAGAGCGGTGGCATATGCCGCTCTGATGATACCTATCGAATCGAAATAAAAACCTAATACCGTCATTATGTGATATATATTACTAGGAATTTGAATAAAATTTAAGAGCTGGTCAACAATTAAAGCATTTTACTTATATTTATATATAAATTTTTCAGATATATACTTCAGATCCACACTATCCAAGCGTCATATTAAACGCCCAGTTACCAAAATTGGTTACTCATTTAAACGAAAATAATATATCTTCAGCTAGGAATTTAATACAGATGTTGTCCATGACGCTGCTGCCACCATCGTTTAAGACATCTGCCAATACCAACATTAATTCTTCTGTAGATGTACCTGGTAATATACTTTATGATACATTATATATTTACTTATTGTTGTTTTCCTACGAAATCCGTTACACGTCACATTTAGCTGTTCAATGTGACAGTGAAAGCTGTCATTTATACATTATTTCACAGGTCGGGGTAATTTTATAAAAAAATGACATGATTTTTTTAAATTGTGCAGTATCAAATTATATTTTCCACTCTAGCGACAATAGACCTCTTAGGTCGAGTAGAAGGGTGGTTAAATGCCCATTCATATTAAACCTAACCTATAAATTTTATTTATTTTGTAGATACTGGTCAAAATTACGACAACAGCGAGCCAGAAAGTTTACACAGTGACATAGAACAAAATAATCTAATAACAATGCAGTTCACAATCGATCAAATGTCTTTGGAAATTCAAAGTAGAGGTCGTAGTATCGCAGAACTTCAAATAGCAGGCGTGAAACTAACGTTTTCACGACGGGGTGTTGAAATGAGTATTGCCTTAACAGTTCACAGTTTACTGCTCGTAGATGCTTTACAGACGTTTGGAGCAGATTTTGAGTTGTTGGTGGCGAGCCATAAACATGTTGGTATGGATTCGATGTCTGGTAGTATTAGAGATAGTGAGCCAACGTCGCCTGTTTCGCCCTCCAGTCCGGATTCTACTTCTTCCAGAAATGGAGCTACGTCTCCTTTGGCTCTTACTCAGGTAGCTATATTTTTTTGATATTTCTAGATGAGTTAAATAACATTTATTGTAATGGACAGTTCCTCTGTGGAGAAAAAAAAAACAGTGGACCAGTTAATTGGACATGTTGGTTGCTATTTATGTAAAACCCCGCCTAAGCCTAGAGATGATCATCAGTAAAAACAGGAAGCACCATGCGTTGAGTGATAAATAAAGCCTCAAGCTTTATGTAATATTTGATGTAAAGCCTAAAAAGTTCATAAAATTTCTTGGACGCCATTTTGTTTTCATTTATGACATATAAGGGACATACCCGATGACATACGAATAAATGAGAAAGTAAAGACAGGAATAAGTATTGATATAACTAATAGGCTCGGAAGAAATGTTTTCTTGGACTATATAATAGCATACCTAATTATATATACAAGGTGTCCACCAAGTAACTCAAGAAGACCCTGTCAAGGCCGTAGAAGGGTTACAACTCCTAATCAAGACCGGTTTTTGACACTTTGTACACTGAGACAAAGGTTTGTTACCAATACTTCTCTACAAAATAAACTTGCCGAAAACGACCTACACTCTGGAAGGGCACCAATTAGCCCATTATTGACCAGAGACCATAGAAGGCAAAGATTGCATTTTGCTCGTGAACATGTTGATTGGAATAATGACGATTGGGGAAGAATATTGTTCACCGATGAATCCAGGTACTGTCTTTCTGATGACAGGAAAAACCGACTGTATAGAAGGTCTGGGGAACGCTACGCACAGTGTAACACCATAGGGACTGTACAGTATGGCGGCAGCTCGGTAATGGTGTGAAGTGGTATTAATTTAGAGGCCCGTACGGAATTAGTTAAAATAGATCGCGGTCGGCTTACATCGCAGAGGTATATAACAGACATTTTAGAAGAGCATGTCGTGCCATTTGCATCATTTATTGGGGATAATTTTATGCTTATGCAAGATAATGACAGGCCACACACGGCAAGAATTATGCAGCAGTATCATCAGGAGGTTGGAATTTCTGTCACGGATTGGCCTGCGAGAAGGCCTGTATATAGAAATTAGTCGCATGAGAATACGATTATTCTCAGTAGGAGAGATCGTTGTCAAGCAGTAATAAATGCCAGAGGAGGCAATATTCGATACTACTACACGGTACTAGTATTTTCTTCAACTTTAAAAATTTCAATTTCGTCATTAATTTATAATGTTAGTTTGTTTAGATGTTTAGATTTATGATGTTATATTGTTAATTTTAATACATTTTTTGTAAAAAAAGGAAAGTTTTTTATTTAAGATGTTCTAAAACAACCATAAAGCAGAAAAGAACAAACAAAAAATTTTTCATTACAACTCAAAATAAGAATTTTAAAATTACAAGGTTTTATAAATTTTTAGGCGTTGAATACACTAGCAACCTCACCTAGAGAAGGACTTATGAAGAATATACTAGAAGTAGATGCAGAAGCCTTAATATCCATAGAAATACAATTAATCACTGGACCAAAACCCATGCAAATTGCCAATATACAGTTTAACAATTTGGATATAATAGGTAAAATAGTTATAAAATAATTAATAACTATATTCATTTGCATCAATTAAGTTGATTTATATTATTCGATTAAATTTTGAATTTATTAAGAAATAGGCATAGTCTTTATCAGACCCTTCTTTCAGTGCGTCATTAATTGTGACGTCATATAATCTATTGGATGTGTCGAGAATTATTTCATGTAATTATTGAAGAATCTGACAGATGCCAGTACCGTACTTACTTTTATTGCAAGGTGGTTCAAAAGTAGTAAACAATATTGTTTATTAAATTTATAAAAATGGAAACATTTAAAAAAGACAACATAACGATCCATTTATTGTTTATTTTATAATAGTATATAATATAAGCTGTCGGTCAGATAGCTCAGCGGGCTATGCGGCTGCCTCTCATTCGCTTCACTGTCGAATGGTTCAGTGGATGTGGGATCGAGCTCCAGCTCGGCGTACAGAAAACAAAAAGTCTAACGCAGCAGTTTAAAATTCTAGATGAATCTGCGGCTTAGACTAGGATATGCTGGGATCTAATCGGCCTATGGTGGAGCAGTACGGCAAGAGATAAGGGCTTGCGGCTCAGTGATACTCCTCCATAGACCGGACGGGCGTAACGCCTAAAAAACCGGATATATATATATATATATAATATATATATATATATATATAATATATATATATATATATATATATATATATATATATATATAATATAAGCATAGTTAGTTCGTTTTCTAGTTATACAATTAAATATTTGCCGCCATTTTTTGTAAATACAAAAAAATATTGTTTTCAAAGATGATTATTAGGTAACTTATAAATTAATTACAGAAATAGGATATAATTCTAATCATAAAACAATTTATTCACTGATGTCTGAATACTTTATTGAAGACATTGAAAAGTAGAATTTGAATATTAATGAAATATTAAAACCAGCATTAAGAATAATGTATCTTCTTCATTCTTCTTTCTGACTGCAGTAACACTGCCATTTTGCCAGCTCTTGCGGAATCCTCCTTTAAGGTAAGGAGGACTCTTAAATCTTTATTACAATACTTGGTACTTAGTAGTAATCTTTTTATAATCACTTTTCATTTCTATGTATTTTATATATGTAACTAGTTGTCAGTAACAATTTATTAAAAGAAATGTCATTGGAAATTAGTTTCTCATGTCTTTCTATCAGAAATATGGTAAAATATTTTAACTAAACTGTTGTAATGCTCATACATTTACTAAACATTCTGTATACACACATCCTGATGGTACGTTCGTATTTTATTTATTATTTATTTCGGTTTGAGACTCGTGGCTACTGATTGGCTCATAGTGATTGACTAATCAGAATCTTTTTGGACACCTTCATTTGCCAATCGTCTTATTGTTGGTAAAGAACATCCTAACGCCTCAGTAACACTCTGAAATAAACAGGAAGTTAAAAACAAAACAATTTTATTTTCGGTGTAATTTTAAATTTACTTCACGAACAGCAGAAATTGGTAATAAAGTTTGTCCAGCTTTTGTCCAGACTTTACACATACTTATAACCTATTATATGTGTTCAAAGAAATCGAAGATATATACAATAAATCTATAGAAAGTCTCTGAAGGAAGTTCTAATGAAAATAATACTCTCGTGTCCATTTTATTCCTAAAAGTTGACACGGATGGTTCTGCCAGCCCCGGTGGTACGCACATACCGTGCCAAGGCTATAATACTCAGAGTTCGTCTTTTGTATCACTACTTTACTTGTGCCATGCGTCAGATGAATATGATGTGCTGTTATACCTCGGTATAGGGAAGCGCAGTAATTGTAGGACAAATATTACCGTGTGATGAAATACACGATGTAAATACAAGAAAGCCAAAGGTACACAGTGACAAGATATTGATTCGGCAACCAGACCAACAGCTATCAAAATGACAAAATATTTAAGCACGTGGTACAGGGTTGTTGTTAAATAACTCTATACTGCAATGTACTTACTCCTATTTTTTGTAAAAATTTTATACAATATAAAATATTTTTAATGCTTTATTTTTTCAGCAAATCAGCAAACATTGGTGGAATTAATGGGCTTTTTCAGAAGAGTTTTTCCAGAAACACAAAAGTCTGGTAGCTTAAAGTCTCATAATCTTGCATTTAATGCCCAAAAATCAACAGAATCATTGTTAGAAGAGACAATTAGCCACATTGGAACTACTGAAATCATTTTCGATTTCCATAGGCTGAATGTTCTACTATTAAGAGGTAAATAAACGATTCATCCAAATTTTCCAAAAATTTGAAATTATTTTTTTTATATCTATTGATTTTACTTCATATTATCTCAAATATTTCCGTCCAGGAGACCATAAATAGTAATAAAACTTCATCACCCTTTGATCTTTGACCTTATTTTTTGGTGGACGCGCCATTTTTGTGGAGGCGTCATTTTTGGCGGATGCCCCATTTTTTGGTGGAAGTGTTTATTATGTCACATTTTTGTCGGAATGTCATTTTTATGTCAAATTTCAGGTTTGACGTCAGATTTTATGTCATAATACGTGATATTTGACATAATTCGTGGCACCAAACCTGAATTTGACAAAACGTGATAACGGTTTACGTCTCTACCTAAAAATGACACCTCCACCAAAAACTGGGTTAAAGGTTAAAATGTGGTGGATATTGATAAGTGGCTATCTATCTACTATAATAGTTTAAATTTTTAGGAATCGTTAAAGACGGAAATATATACGGAAAGAAGATAGGAACAGCAACAATGAGCGCAGCGAAGATCCAAGCTACAATAAGTTCAAAATTTGAACTGGAAGGATCTTTGGGTAGTCTGCAGGTATTAGATTTAACCCCGGAAGGCCAGATACACCAAAGCATATTAAGTGTCGGAAGTGATCCAAATTCAGACAACTCACATTTACTTTACACTATTTCAGATGAAGACAAAACTGCATTTAAGTTTAGATTAGTTAAGACTGAAGAGAAAGACGCTCTGGATGTAATGATTCGTATGGCTTCTGTATGGTACACGCATTCCCCGTATTTTATTTTGGAACTACATTCGTGCGCTTCTGAATTCAAGCAGTACCTGTCAAATTTAGCAAAAACCATAAGAACAGCCGCCACGGATATGGCTTTAGGGCTTGTGCACGTTAGAACCGAAGCATTAGCACAGTCTTTAAATCTGAGCAAAAATCTTCCTAATTCAGTGTATAGCAGCGCATTGTCGATAAGTGAAAACTTTACTCCAACGAGGAAAAGATCTACAAGTACTTCTGCCAAAGATTCGATGATTTCTACGCCAACTAGTCCTAATGACGATAGTGATTTAATATTAAATGTTAATTTAGATATTGAGTTGGACAGTCCTGTTATAGTTTTACCACGAAGCAATACCAGCACCGAAGTATTCGTAGCACATTTGGGTAAAATTACTATTAACAACAAGTATACAGATGAAGTTCGAATACATTCAGTTCATTACAGAATAGAGTCTTATAATATAGATGTTAAAGATATGAATATTTATTCTTTGGATATTAAAACAAGGAGAGCACTGGATTTTAAATGTATAAAGCCCGAAGTGTTTTATAATTGCAAATATGACGCGAAGCCAATTTTGCACGACACGATATTACAATTAAAGATTGAAAGAGAAGTGAACAAACCTATCAATACATACGATCAAGAATTTTCTTTGGATGAAGACATAGTTAAAACCAAGAAAACTATCCAAGTATCTGGAAGCATAGTAAATGGTCTGAAAGTATCTTTGACTAGATCACAATACAGACAGATCTTAGACACTTTAGAATTTTTATCTTCCATTAATAGCAATAGTTGTGAAGATTATTCTAGAATTCATGCCAGGCCCAATTTTGTTCTAGCTGACATAAAAGAAGAAGAATCTGGTATAAGTACTCTTAATATGGATCCTCACGTGAGAGCTAAAATGTTTCAAAATTTTCCTGCACTAAAGAAAAAACGTTCATCTTCGAGCGTAACTGAAGTTAAAATTTGTTTCGATATTTCTTTGTTCAAAATAGAACTAAAAGCAGCTGAACAGAGCCTCATTAACCTCTCATTTCTTGATTTTGCATTCCGCTATGACAAATGTCATGATTTTGAAACAAATATTCAAATATCTCTGAGATCTGTCCTCATGGAAGATCTTCAACAACCGGAAGATAGCAAACATAGAATTATTGTGACGTCATCTGCTAATAGTGATCCTTCTTCATCTGCGGCTTCCACAGCTTCTAGATCTTGTCCAGATGTGACTTATCCTCCTTATCTAAGAAGGGCTTCGCATAACTCGTTACCGGACCATCTAGAATCGAATGATATTTTTGGTTTACAAGACAATAGTGCTTTACACAAGACTGATAATACAAACTGGGAAGAATATCCTTGTACGCCTCCTCCTAGTCCAACAGGTAGTAGGTCTCGTGGTGAACGTAATTTGGTTATAGTAAGCATGCTTCTAGTAGATACTAATGCACCTAATTTCCATGACCACTACAACAGTGTGCATAACGCTACCTCTGTCGATTTTAATTGCTTGGACCTAATAATTACATCTAAATCTTGGGTCATAGTGTTAGATTTCTTTAGTCTACCTCCTGAACCGGTTAGTACAATTTCGGGTTCATACGAAGATATACGATATAAACCCAGAAAAGAAGTGAATGTGACTACTATCAACGTTAAGTCTCTGAATATTGTAATCGCAGAAAGAGATAGAGAGATTGCAAAAGCTAATATCTCTAATGTAGAACTTGAGATTAAAACTACAGGTAGTTCGAAAGAAGTAGATGGAAAACTGGGATCTTTGTCTTTGTTGGATTTGACGGTTGATGGACAGTTTTATCGGGATAAATTCTTGACCTCAGGAAAGCAAGCAGTGCTCTTCAAATACTCAAGGTAAGTTAATATTGTTCTGAAGCTATTTTCTTGTGGAATCTTAATACAAGTTACTATTTTTACTGGAAATAAGCCACAATTTTACTCTGAAATAAGTTTCTTTTGACAATTCGATTTCCATTCGGAATCGAATGGATAAAAATCGTTCTCAAAGTTCTTTTTTGAGAACGATTTCCAAAGCGAAAATGTTATAGTACTTTATTCCTTCTTCCACATTGCTTCGTCGTTTTTTAACACATTAAAAATTTTGAATAATAAGATGAGGTTGAATTGTATAAACAATTTGTATATGTGTATAGATGGTATCATCATTGATATTTATTTAATAGAAAGAAAACTCAAACTTATTTATACAAAAAGGAAATAAAAAACATTCACTGTAAGGGGATTATAAAATGGTTCCCATAAATCAGATTTTTTAATTTTCGTTTGAGGGCATTCATGTTTATTACCTTTACAATATACGGGATAAGGTTATAATACTTTATTGCTTTTACCACAATGCTTCGTCGCCCTGCAGTTGTATTCATTGCTGTTACTAGCTCTAAGATGGAATATATTTCTTATAGTTGTAAACTTAAGAGTGGCAGTTATTTCCATATTCATCATCATCATCATCAACTAGCCTCTAACGTCCACTGCTGAACATAGGCCTCTCGCATGCTTTTCCACTTAGTCCGATTTTGCGCCATTTGAATCCAATTTGTAGTCACTCTTTTTATGTCATCTGTCCATCTCGTTGGGGGATCTAATATTTCCATATTAGAGTGAAAATTTTCCATTTGATACTGGTGAAGGAACGTACATAATACTCGTATATTTTATTGATTGAATTGGGTATATATAGTTCTTTTGTCGGGAAGAGTCTTGAGTTCTTTTGTCGGGAAGAGTCTTGGAGTCTGAAAAATTTTTATAGCTATATTTTGAAGCTCACAAAGATCGTGAATATGGTTATATGTGGCTTTTCCCGAAATTTGAGTTAAATAGGTGATACGGCTATGTATTAAGGCTAGGTTCCTCCTAAAACAGTGTTTTTTAAAAGAAATTGTATTTATAGTACAAAAGATATTTGAAAGTCAAACTTTTTACAGGTGAAAGTACGTACATTAAGCTACGCGAAAACATTTTTTTCTTTTTTCAAAATGGCGGCTTTTTTCAACTGCTGTCACCCGACCTTCTTTAATGGCTGGATTAACTGTTTGGAGCGCTCCGCTTTTCCCTCTTTTCTATCTTTTCAAGGTAACGCGGAATTAATTCTATACTATTCCTAAAAATATTTTCGAGCAATTTTTGAAAAGAAGTTTTCGATTTTTTGAAAATTGTTTTGAGGTTTCTGGCATTAAACTTTTAAATTGAGATCTGAGGTTTTTTTGCATAAATGTTGATATTTAATACATTTCATTTTTTGTAAACTTCTTTATCCAAGAACTATCGTTAATTGTTGCCACTCTTCTTACCTTGTTGTTACCATATAACTTTATTTATCTGCATTAAGGGTAATTTTATGATGATCTAACCATGTCTTCACCATCTGTATGTCAAATTCATCATAGTTTTTTGCCTCGTTGGGGTTTATGCTAGAGTATATAATGCACGTGTCATCCGCGTACATTTGTAGTGTGCCTCTTAATGGCAACGTTGAAATTAAATTAACATAAATCTGGAACAGCGTTGGTCCAAGTATCTACCCTTGAGGAACTCCACACTCAATATTAGATAATTGACTATCCACCCTGTTAACACAGGTAAGTTGCGTTCTTCCTGATAGGTAATGATTAAATCACTTCAACACTATGACCCTTATGCCTAAAGTTTCCAATACAGATAATAACAGCATGTGATGTGTATCAAAGGCTTTCTTCAAGTCAAGCGATACAAATATACAAAATTAACCTTTATCAACTTTATCAATAATATTTGTTGTAAGGTCAGCTGTTGATGATATTGTGCTGATACCCTGTCTAAATCCATATTGGCCAATATATAGGAATTTATATTTTATATATTTTCATTGTCTAAATGGCGCATGATTCTATTATTTACACATGTTTTTGTATTACTTGTGACTCTATACATTGATTTACAGAAAAAAAGCGTTAACATTTAGCATCACTTCAAGGTCATTTCTTGGTTTGGTACTTGATATATAGTCCACATTAATATCCCCCATAATCCAACATTTCTTGTTCAGCTCCTTCAACACGACAAGTTTGTTTTCCAGAATATTCCAACAATTATATTCATTTTTTCAATATAAACAAAAACAGTTTTATCGATGACAATATTGAAAATGACGAGTTATCGTAGGACGTGTTATTACTGAAATATAAAGCGTTGAGTAGTATTTTTGGGTATATTTTATTCGATTTTGTTTTGATGTATGATATGTCATAAATTTAGAAGAAGAAGAAGAAAGTATGATAAGTGATGAGCAACTCAAAACGCTATATTAATTTTAACATTTTAGGTATCCTCCGGGGGCGAAAAAAGATTATGACGCTCAACTTGTCTTAGAAATGGCATCTGTAGTGTACGTCCATACAAAACGATTCACTGCTGAAATATTAGCATTCTTCAAAAATTTTGCGGAAAGACAGCAAATGCTGATAAAAAGTATTCAAGCAGCAACCAGCCGGCAGTTGGTAAGTGTTTATTCAAATTTTAAGTATTTTTGAAGTATGCAAAGTATTCATTGCATAACTAAATTCGGGCTTAACCATCATTCGATCTGTTGTAATAAAAATACAGTATAAGAAAGGTATGAAAATATATCATAGATGTATCACTGTTATATTAAAGTGTTTGTATAAAAGAGATTTAATTACTCACATTGTAACAATTTTTAATTTGCTTATTGTGGGTTGAATGGGGGGACTGAACAATCACTGGGCTTAGAGATAGGATAAGCAAATAAATTGAAACGTTTGCGAACGGCCACTCATGTTTTGGTTGGAGAGCTGAGTCGTGGATAAGGATTCCTTTATTTGATGGACTGGGAGAAACTAACTACGAAAAATAAATAAAAAAATACTTACAGAGATGTCCTGGGCAACACTATACAAGAAGATTCCTAAACTATTTAAAATAGAGCGCCGTTTAAACCCAAACCCAAACGTTTAAACAAGACCAAACCGATGATTATCTCACTTTATAAAGACTACCACATAGCATTTCCAGATTAAATCACCTCCTTCTAACCAAAACTCATCGAATTAAGCAAAAATTTGCCGGTTTTTAAAACTCTGCGTTTTTAAAATCGACTGCTCGTCCACCGAGTAGTGACCTCATCCTCAAAAATCAATATAAACATAAACGTAAAGATTCCTGATTATTTTTTTGATTCCTGATGCGCAAATATCTAGGTGGTATCAAGATCAAACGAAATAGAAATTGTAATTATTATAAATAGACTCGAAATGCTTATATTAATAATTTCAGAGACACAAAAAGATTAAGAATCTTTTTTCTGTGTTTTATTATATACGGGGTGAAACAAAAATGCTACAACATTAATTAAGAACTCTTTTTTATAACTTTTCTGCACTTCGATACATAAATGTACACAACAGTCAGTTACAGATGGCTCTTTTAGATAAAGGTTAAAGCTTATATATTTTGTTTTTAGAAACTTGTAGAACTGCTACCAGAAAAAAATGTAGACAGTCGAGGCATATGAGTATGGGTCGCTTGGGCCAACCCCCTCCACTCCCACTCTGACGTCACAAGATATCGACGCTGAAATGTCATCGTCATGTCAGCGTTGAGTCGGCGTCATGTCAGCGTCGATATCTTGTGAAGTCAGAGTGGGAGTGGAGGGGGGTGGCCCAAGCGACCCATACTCTGCTCGTATCATAATTAATCAGTATTGGAATCAAAGAACAACCTTCAAAAATGACAACTATGAAACAGAAAACATAAACATTAAAACAGACGTTCGACAGGGGTGTATGTTGTATCCATTGTTATTTAACTTTTATGACGAATATATTTTAATAACGCATAATTGGAACATAAACAACTTAACAGGCATAAATAACAGTGGCGATCTTTTGTATGCCGCAAAAGGCAGACGTCTGGCCTTAAGATAATTCGCCAATGCACTATAGGTGCACGGCACTATAAGAAGAAGAATAATTGGAGGAAGAGTACGGTATAGCAATAAATGGAAAAATCTTGTAGATGACACCGTCCTTTTAGCTAACAGTCTAGATACACTACAATGTTTAGTAAGATACACTACAATGTTTAGTAAACAGGACAATGTAGTATTCGGTACGGATAAGAAATCAACTTGAAGAAAACTAAGTTGATGATTATTTCAAAGCTACATATACAAGGGACGCTAGACATCGAAAAAAAAAACAGCTAGATAGGGTTAGCAACTACAAATATCTTGGAACTTGGATAAATGAAAACAACTAAGTAGAGATATAAGAACTCGCATTGAAATTGCGAGGCAAGCTTTTGTGAATATGCCAAAGATTCTTACTAATCGTGATCTTAACATAAAATTGATCATAAGCGCGTTAAAAGGGTATGTTTTATTTATTTTGTTGTATGGGATGGAAGGGTGGATTTAAAGAGGTCATAAAACCTAAGTGCTGAGACGATTACAAAAACAGTGCGAAGTCATTAAAACAGCTAAAGTGAGAAAACTGAATACTTGTGCCATATTACTAAACTAAACGGGGTGTGGCGTGATTGCCACATTACTATGACAAACAAGAAGAGACTCGTTTCAACTCTGGTCTTTTCCATATTTCACTATGCATGCGAGACATGAACCGTCAAAGAATCAGATAGGCGACGCCTAGACGCTTTTGAAATGTGGACAAAGAAACGACTGCTTCGAATTCCATAGACGGCTCGCTGCACGTATGTGTCGGTTCCAGATTAAACCCAATCAACTTGTCTCTAGAACTATTTACTCTATAATTTTAAAGTTCTTTGGTCATATTCATCGAAGTGATCATAAAATGGAGCGGTTGGTGGTTCAGGGAGAGCCGCCTCAGAGTCAACGCCAACGCGGCAGATATCCACAGCGATGGGCAGACATTACGAAAAAGCTTCTTAACAAACAGTATAGTGAGGCAGTACAGTAACAGATGACCGCGACCAGTGCAGAAATATCATTAACCAAACTATCCGAGCTGCTGAAGCTCAATGATGCACATGACTTTGATGATGATGATGGGCATTAGAGGCGAGGAGTATGAAATGCTAAGACTTATCATATAAGCAAAGATCAAGTAGAGACGCGTTGCAGCTCAGAAGACCTCTTTAGAGCAGCTGCAAATAATGTTCCGAGAGCTATCAAGTAAAAATCATTGATAAGAGAAGGAAGAAAACGAAGATTTCGTTTTCTCTCTTTCTTTCTCCTCTCCCGGTTTCTTTCTTCTCTCCGTCGTTCTCTAATATCGTTAAGTGTGAGATTAAAAAAATCTGATAACTTTTATAATGGAAAGTGTCGCTTAGCTCTCTTTCTTAGCTTAGTTGTGTTTCTCGTACTAGAAGTCTTAAATCTTAAATCTAAGCCTTAAAGCGACTAGCTGAAGATATACTAGATGTACTAGCTGCAATAATACTTTTTTTCAAGTGTTTTAAAATGTGTAACCTAAACTTACCTTTTCTATTTTAAATAAATTGATTTTTTTAGAGTAGAGATGAACCATTAAGATTATCTCTCATAATAGAGGCCAAATCTCCGATTATTCTACTCCCTGTCAGTCTAAAATCGCCGAATTTAATTGTTGTCGATCTTGGACAGTTGGTCGTAACAAATTCTTTCAAGTTTTCGGGCGATGAAGGCACCGTAAGCGTAGTTTCTGACAGCACTAGGAAGAAATGTTTGTTGGATGTTATGTCAGTCAGTTTAGAAAATACAGATTTGTATATGGGCGTGAAAACTACTCATGTTGGTCAAGAAAAGAAGTTTAAAACTACCTATTTTAACTTTGGAAATAGCTGCATCATGAAAGTGGGTATGTATAAATTATCAAAAATGAAATAAAACGTTATTGTAATCAATAGGAATATGCTTTGGATATACATACTTTATATAAACATTTATATAAATATTCGCCTATCTCTCCAAAGGTTTTTCCTAATTGTTTTTGCTTTTAATTCAACTAAAAGATGTATTAGAATATATTTCGTCAATTTTATTTTGTTCTTTATCAAGTGTATATTATTATATTAGGTGTCAAAATTTATTTTGTCTTTATAAACTATAAAAACTGACTACCCGCCAACAACATGACAGACGACAAAGTGACATGTGTCAAAAAAATCAAGGTTGGCATTTGTGAGTTTACTTTAGACAAAGAAAGAGATGGGAAGCGTAAACGTATGGACACAGAATAATAAACAATCAGAATGCCCACTCTCAGATACCGCCTTTGATTTGCCGCATATGATTTGTGAAGTTATGTAATTGTTTATATTTATGTTTAATTATATTATATTTAATTATATTTGCCGCTAATTTATATTTTATATTATTTTATAATATTTATATTTAATATTATTTCTGCCGTGTCACAATTAATGATACAACTCATCTTTTTTGACAGAAATTTTCTTGTATTATTCAATTCTTTTGCAGGCCCATCACTTCTTACGAAGAAGTTCCAGTTAAAGTTGCAAATCGAACAAAACCTCGACAAAAAAGAAAAAGCAAGTAGTACCTGACATGAGTATATACGGACAATTGTCTACTCTCGACGCTGCAATAGATTTAGATCAATATAAACAGATCAGAGGGCTTTTGGCGCATAATTTAGGAGAAGATACAGAACATATTAATCCTTCAGTGCCGCCCAACTTGAGAAATGAGGTAAGAACTTTTAAGTATAATATAAAATAATGTAGAATGGGAAATAATATCTTAACATAAATATGTTTTCGTGGATATACTAGATTCACCTGTTATTTTGGGTAAAATTCCTGAGAAAGTTAAATATTCGGTATCAAACAATCTGAGGAAACATTTAAATTATTTATTATAAGCAGATAATTGAAAAATTATGAATTTTGTTTTATAAGAGCTGTGTAGAGGCCATTCGTAAAATAAGGTTCACATGAATTTTAAAAGTAGCTTTATTTTTGTTCTTAGTGTTATAAATAATTTTAAAACTTACGCTATTATTCTATATAATCGCCGTTTCTATGCAAACAATTTTGCAGACAATGCTCCAACTTATCTATGCCATGTTATAGAATTCTATCGCCAATCCTTTGAGGAATCGAGTAACCTCTTCCTTGACTTCATCATCAGTACTGAAGCGTAAGCCACCCAAGTGTTCCATTAATTTTGGGAGTAAGTGATAATCACTTGATACTAGGTCCGGACTGTAGGGGGTGGTGGTACACAAAAGTCCAGCCAAAAACTCTCAGTAGTTGTTTAGTTTTATGTACTTGAGGTCGGACGTTGTCATGGAGAAGCCTCATACCACTGGACAATCGTCCTCGCCGACAGCTCTGGATCTCACGTCTCAGTCTTTTTAATGTCCCGCAATATTTGTCGGAGTTAACTGTTGTTCCATGAGGCAAAAAGTCGATTAACAGTAGGCCCTTCCTGTCCCAAAAGACGGTTGTCATGACTTTCCAAGCAAACTGCGTTTGTTTACATTTCTTCGGCTTCGGCGTAGTTTAGTGACGCCATTCACGTGATTGATGCTTGGGTACAGTGAAACATCCATATCCTATAACAATGGAATCCAAAAATTCTTCCTTGTTGTTTTCACATTGTTGCAAAAACTGCTTGACACACTGAACACGTTGCTGTTTGTGATTTCCTGTAACAGTCGCAGTACCGACCGCTCACACACTTTATGATGGCCTAATTTTTCTGATAATAATATCTTCTGAATTGTGGTGTGGGAAGTTTTAGGTATACGTAAAGCAAGGTCGGTAATGATGAACCTCGATCTTCAAACAATATCATTTGAACTTTTCGATAATTTCGTCTGAAACTGAAGGCCTTCCGCTTCGTAAATTTCCTTTCGGCCTTCATTGAATTCTCGACACCATTTGCGAACATGTTCAACAGTTTAAACTTCGATTAACTGAAGATGAATGTCAATAGGTGAAATCCGTTTTGCATTTAACATTTAAAAACGTATCACAGCAAGAATTTCGCATCTGATGCTAATAGCGATCGGGAGCTCCATCTTCGAAGGCTGCTAGGCCGGCACTCGGCGAGTGCGCAGGAGCAACGCAGCGTGGCGAGAGTGGTGGAGCGAGAGAGAGAGAGAGGGAGAGTTCATGCGTAAGGCAGCGTTGACAGATGTCTCCCAGCATGCCACATTTTTTTTTTCGGTGGCATTCTTGTGGACAAAACGACGTAGAACCGAAGGATCAATCCTCACAATGGAAGTCAAGAAGTAAGTTGGAATTGAACGCCCAAAGTCATGATCACTTTTTTTTACATCGGTTGTACTACAAATTTCCTCCACGTGATTACAAAATTTTGTATATTTGGCACATTATGGAAATGGTAAACAAAAAACCGCATGCACAAAAATGACTTAAGAGTAAACAGTCTTTAACCAGAACAGTTCTCGTAATCCTTTAAGCAGTGTTAAACAACAATGGGACAAGCATAAAGCTATCAATGGTAGTTCTTTGAATATGGATAATGTCGAATTATTAATATGTTCAATTTAAGCATTAGGCCAGAAACATTTTGATTAGCCCCGTGTGATAATTTAATTTTAAAAATAAACCATCATTTGAGTGTTCTTGTGTTTTTTCTTTATTCGTTAATAAATTTTATAGTTAACTAAATATGTTTATGCAATTATAATGTTTATGTTTAATTTAATTTAATTTAAAAAGCAAAGTTGTTTCCTAATAATTAAAAAAATACAATGATTTCTCTCTTTTATATTATTATCTGTTACAGAGCGATAGCGGCAGATACTGGACACTCTCGTTTATTAAGCTTGATCTACAAAACGTAACCTTATCTCTCTCAGAGTCACACTACGAAGACTCCCATTTAACTTGCATCAATTTTATCAAATCTCACCTCACCATCGAAACGTTCAGCAATTTTTGCCAGGATATCGATTTAGTTTCGAAAGAAATACTTATTAAAGATACTCGACAAAGTAAATCCGACGACAAGAAAAATGTTTTTAGCAGTATTTTACAACCGGTAAGTAATCCCACCAATAACGAGCAAGTTCAAGCCGAAATTCATAGCAGGAAGAAGTTAGATTTTATGAAAGTTACGATTATTTTCAATAATCTACGTTTGATGGGTATATTTGATTGGTGGGAGCGGTTTTTAAAATATATAGGACAAGATTTTGATCATGGTCCTAGTGCGGAGCACGAAATCCAAAAACATGCAAAAATGGAATCTTCACAGTTAGAGTTTGAATTAAAACTGAACATCACCGATTCTGAACTTGTTATTGTCGAAGATTCTTCACAATGGGATACAAATGCAGTCATTTTAAAGGTATGTAGATAATTAGTTTATAGTTACAACATTTTTGTGTGATTTGTATTTATTTTAGAGTACAACTGTTTTAAACTATCGTCCTTTCGATGTGTTTAAACCTCTTACCTGTAATTTGAACAACTGTGAAATGTTTTCTTGTATATTAGGACTGGAAGATGAGACTGCTCTGTCAATTATAGATCCAGTGATACTTAATATTGAAGTTAATCAAAATGGCATTCTAGAAGTAAGTTTAATTTTAATATTTTTCAGTTTAAATTTAGTTTTGTATTATATTATCTTATGATCACCCCAAGGTGAAAATAATCTGTCTATATCAAAATATTGGGAAATATTATCATTAATAATTTAAGGATGACCACGATAATACTTACTTCCTTTATTTATTACCTATTCTTTGTTTCAAGTTAAGAAAATAACATTACGCTTATGGAGATCAGTGTTGCCAAAACTCTCAGACACTCTCTTTTGCACAGATGTCCAAGATATTCCCTTTGCTTAATTTTTGAATTTTCATTTTCAATTAACATTTAACTGTAAAGTCAGAATAACTACAAAATAAAAGCCTTATTATCATTATGTAGTCAGAGGGTCAATTACGTTAAAAAACATTAATTTAATTCATGTCTGTGGAAACGAAAATACAAATTATACAACCCTAAATTGTGCTTGTGTGTGTCGTGGCAACGCCGCGTTTCTATCGTCCATAAGAAATACATGGCCCTATCTCCGCAATGATATTTTCTTAACGTGGAACATAGTATAGATAGTTGTCTTTTTAACTTAACACCTTCACTTAATAATAACTTAAGTTAATTAGTAAATTAGTTAATAAAGTTAAGTTAGGTTAAATACTTAATATACTAGTTATTGCGTCTCATACCCCCGGAGATACGTTATGGTCCAATGACAATGACCTTCTATGATACGCATATCTGGGTTCCTCAACTTCTAGAAATACTTTTTTACAGTTAGGCTGGCGTCGGTAATATTTATTTTTGGGTGTGAATCAGACAGATAATGTAACAGTAACACCTTCCTTGATCAATTTCTTAATTTCAATAAAACAAAATATAATTTTAACTTTAATTTTTAGGTTCAGTTACAATTTTTTATTGTAAGGCTTTCGTATAACGATATGTGCATGTTTATAAGGATACTAAATTCTTTGCCACAACAAATTCTTTTCAGTAAAGATGAAAAAGAAGAAAAAATAGGATCCTTAGCAAGTATGTTGAATCGATCAATAATTGAAATGTTTTACTTTAAGGTCAAGTTGATATTTTATTTTAAGGTCAAGTGGCTTTATTAAGTGGACTCGGTTTTAAACCTGAAGATTGTGCAGCTGCGTTAGAAAAGTGTGATAATAGGCTAGATGATGCAGCTCTGTGGTTAACTAATGCTGGCAAGAGCTTGGATACCAGAAAACCAGCGAAAAAAGCTTTAAATATTTCTGCTGTAGAGGTAGGTAGATATTTCTGTTAAATTTACTAAGATACACTCATGCTCTATAAGGAGTTTAAAAATCTGAGCTAACTGATCGTCTTCTGGATTTGCACGGTTTCTATTTTAATGGCCTATATGTGGATACATCTCAACGTTTAGTCACCTGTGTACATTTTTTTTTTCAGGAGTACAGTACTTAATCTCTAAATATTTTTTACTTATAATATAGAATAGAAACAAACATGTTGCGTTAGTAAAAAAATATATTTAATAATACTTAAACCATTCGAGGCCAATCATTGTATCTAATTATTGATAGTATGAAATAGGTATTTGCGACCCAAATAATGAACTAAACTTAATGTCAAACGGGAATATCAATATAGGGTCACCAAAACACGATGGATTACATTATTGTCGATACTGTGCATAATGCAAATAGTTTAAAAGAGTTAATTAAAATGTAAGAAATAAATTTCAAGTTATTTTTTCCTTCTTGTCGATATTGGAATGATATCGCCTAACATCATATTTAGTAATAAAAAATAGACGAAATATGTCATTATTCAACCGCGAAAAATACTAGGCAACGTGATATATTTAAAATACAGTGAAAATTGTTTACAGGTGAAAGCAAATCGTATTTCCCTATGCATTATCGACGACTGTGGAGATTCGGATGTACCTTTATTAGAATTGTCATTCACAGATGTACATTTCAACCAACTACTACCCGAATTCAATATTAAGGATCCTATAAATCCTCAAGGATATATTGACTGTGTTTTAGCCATTGATTATTATAATCGAGTTCTCTCGGGATGGGAGGCTATGTTGGAACCTTGGAAGTAAGTTTTACTATATTTGCCTATGTAAATGTCTTCTCGATTATAGAAATAATAGTATTTGTAAGTTTTAAAACGGTAACTATGCGAAGGTGGTGCAGAAATTAAAGAACCGATTGCGCATCATGCTCGGCGCCGATTCCCGACAGGTAATCGCGTGTGCGCGCCATTTACGTCTGTCTGTCGCATCAGTGTGAGCCACGTCTCATCAGTGTGTGGGCATGCGTCTATGTTCTAGAACGTTTTAAAATGGCGGCGTCCATTGAAAATTCCGCAAAATGTTCGCCCTATCGACATTTATAGGAAAGTAAAGGCTGTTTATGGTGAGAATGTAATAAACGAATCTTCAGTGAGGAAATGTATTATGTTCAACCAAGAAAGAACCAGTGTGCACACTGAAGAACGGAGTAGGAGACCATCTTTTGCGATCGAGGAGTTATTCTGATGAGCGCTTGGCTATAAAAGCAATGTGCGCTCGAAGGTATTGACAAAAGTCAATAAGACAAAACGAATGGGAGCAGCCCTTGATTTCTTGACTCGATATGACAGTGATGGCGACATTGTAACGTGAGACGAAACTTGGATTTCTTACAAAACTCCTGAAATAAAGCGACAATCCATGGAGTGGCGTCATACAAAACTCACCCTTAAAACACAGCTAATAAAAACTTAATGTGAACGCAAGAAAACTAATTGGACAACAGTTTTTGGGACCGTAAAGGTTTAGTACACGTGAAGTTTATGCTTAGGGTTGAAACAATCAATTTAGAAGCCTATTGCGAAACCCTTCAAAGACTAAAATGTGCAATATCGAATAAAAGACGTGCCATGTTATCGACGAAAGTGTTTCTGAGCGTTTCACGACAACGCTTGGATCCATGCATCGGCAAGAACGGAGCAAGAACGTACAACATATACAGGCTGTCTCGGATAGTAGTGCGTTCCTTAAAGGTATGGACTGAGTACACTATTTAAAACAAAAAAATTCTTATAATATTTTCAAAGTCAACTGTTTTCAGAAAAGCAAAATTATTAATTTTAATCCATTTGATTATTGTCCACATAAAAACAAATACAACGTTTCGCTCCTTATTATACTACGTAATTACTGCAAATCAGCTATCATGCATCATCGATCGTTAGGCATATATATTGATACTGGTAACAGTGATAGGAAGAGCACACCTATTTGTCTTTATTAAATAGCTAAAAATTCAGGTTTGTATACTGTTTTAATGACATGAAAAATTATTATTACAATAGATGTTCAAAGTGACCACCATCTGCACGGATACATGCATTTATTCGACGAATACAATTATTCTTAATATCACGTATGTAAATGTGTCGGATTATTCCAGCAGCATTAAAATTCGTTGTCGTAATTAAACTTCTGTTTCAATTTCATACCCATAACATTGCATTCGGAATACATGAAATTGCCGTTCTGGGTGGCCACAGAACGTGTCCATTTCTATCGATCCGACGACGAAGGTAAGTGATGTCGAGAATTTTTTTTTGCCTTAGGTTCAAGATTTTTTAAGCCGGACAATTGGTTGGATAAGTAAAAACAATTAACTTTTACACTTTCTTTACATTTTTATCAGACATTTTCATATTTCGATCATTCACTCAATTTTCTAACCTTCCCATTGAAAACACTATTTGTGACTGTACAAAAAGGATTGAACAAGTACACACGGTTCACGCTAAGATGCCTTTCATAGCTACTTTTGTTTAAACAAACAATAAAGATAAGAGTTAAAGTTACATGACATAAAAGAAAAGACAGTCGGAAATACTACAACTAAGGTCCTACCATATAGCATTCACACATCACTGCTTGAAAAAGGCAGTTTACATTTTCCGTTTGGTACCTTTGAAAAACTCCCATACAATAGAAAAAAATCAGATGACTTTAGAAAAAGAATTAAAAAGAAAGTTTTCTTTTGAATGGTGCATTACCCATACCTTTAAGGCAAGCACTATTTTTCGGGACGCCCTGTATAATGGGCAATTTTCGAGCACCCTCCCTATATCAATGCAACTACATTCAAAAATAGCCTATGGTACTATGACTTTCTACATAAAGTAGATATTGTAGTAGCTTTGTGTTGATATATTTTGTTTTAATATTTTATACCAAAACGTTCTTTACTTTCAATACCACCAATGTATTTAGACAACTTTTTTTATTTTAAGAAACTAAGAGAACAATAATTGTACATATTCGTTTTTATCTTTCAGATGCAAAGTTAATTGGGAACAGACGAACTCTCAAATGTTACTAAAATATCGCCTAAGTTTAAAAGTAGAATCTAACGAAATCTTCAATTTAAATATAACCTCAACCGTTATAGAACTGTTTGATCAAGTTAAAGTAAACTGGATTAGGGATTACCGCACAATAGCCCAATTGAAGAGTAACGCTTTAGCCGTTGATAATGCTGCGAACTACCGAAGAAGATCACCTTTTGTTCCTTTCGCTTTAAAAAATCTTACTGGATCAGCATTAACGTTTACGACGTTTGTATCGGAGTTAGATAATTATAGTTCTACACCAATTGGAACTCAAATGGAAAACTGGTTGAATGTAAATCCTGGAGAAATTGTTACATTTTCATTTACAACCAGAGGTATGATTATGTTTGCATATTTTTTTATTACATAAGAATTATATTACGTTTTCCTACTGTCTGCTTCACCCTTAATTAATTGAATCATATTAACAACAACTTGATTGTTTGTACCTTTAGTTTCTTATTTGAAACAAATTTCATATTGTATTTCACAATGTATTAACAACACCAGTGCCAAAATCACAACTACCGCTCTGCAAAATTTTAGCCACCTGGCTCTGTCTCAACTAGTAGCTTTGCCCGTACCGATCTACAGCGCATTTTGGATCTAAGTTTTCCGAAAACTCAGCCGCACAGATATAATGATTAACTTACAGTTATTTTAACCATTTTATTTGATTTCCGCGGCATTGCATTTCAGATATACAGTAATAAAGTGCATTTTATAAAGTGAGATTGTTTTATAAAAATGCAGGTCAACTTTTCAAAATAGCATCTTCCCACCACATTTTTATATAAGAATTCACCGCTTCATATCAACGTTAAATCTCCAAAATTTTTCCAGAACGTGGTTTGTGAATGGACACATAATTCCTTCATGAATTATCAAAACTTCACATGTAAACACCCAATGAACATAGTATAATAAATATGATACCAATCCACATCTTATATATCACAATAGGAACAGCTGTATTCATAAACAACCATACCAAATATTTATTTAAGCTACCCAGTTCATACAATGTCCTAAATGGAGAACTTATTGCCATTACAAGCGTTAAAATACATTTCCAGAGTACAAACCAAACACTCCTTAATAATATCTGACTCACTCAATTCACTGAGACTCATACAGCAAACCTTCACAAACAAAAATATAGCCATTATCAAATCAAAGCCAAAATCAAAGAAACATTACACAGCCTTTGTCAAATAGAATCAAAAATAGTTTTCTTGGTTTCAATCTCACTCTGGAATAGAGAGAAATAAAAACGCTGATCGTTGGGCTTACACAGCTGCGCAATTACCTTCATTGTCTGAAAAATCAATTCCAGCCTCAGACGTAATGCAACTGTTAAAATCGATTACTCTCAATTTATGGAAAGGAAAATGGAAGACATCTACAAGCAAACTAAGAAAAATAAAAGAAGACACTGGTCCATGGAATCCACTTTCAATCAATAGATGGCACCAAGTTATCCTATCTTGTCTTCGGTTAGGACACTGCAGACTTACTCATGATCATCTCATTACGCATACCCTAGCACCAGAATGCAGCAAGTTAATATACCAATAACAATAAAATGCAGCTGCAATAAGACGCTGACAAAAAATCGATACCTGGATATTCAAACAGTATGAAAGACATTCTTAACCTTCAAACCGACAGCAAACCTCTTTTCCAATTTCTTAACATATGTCACTTAGCAAGTAAGATATAATGTACCTAAATTTATATTTTGTACACATATTGTATTTTCTTTACCCCGCTAATGACCTTCGTAGTGAATGCGGTTATTTTCTAAATACAAAAAAATGCAGGTTTTGATACATTTATATTTCTAGATAAAATGAGGCATCAAAATTCACATAAGATGCGAATGCATCAAATAAAAGTGAAAGTGGACGGATGGAACTGTTTGGAACCTGTGACGGTCGATAGAGTTGGCGTATACTTTCGAGACACATGCGCTGAATTTCAGACTAGGGTAAGAACTACTATTTTTAATAATAAACAAAGTATTAAATTCCTTATAAATATATTAACACGTTCGCTTCCATACATATTTTTTAAACATTTGTCCAATACGGCAAACAAAAATTTTACATTGAGTACTAACTGGCCATCATATAAAAAAAATGTTAATCCCATCGGTTCATTGCAGCCCAGTGTGGTAAGTTAGTACTTTCATGCGCAGTATTCTTATACTTTTAGACTACGATCGATATAATAATAAATTTTTTATAATAGAACTTGATAGATGGCAAAGGTTTTTGCCATGCCACATACTAAATTCGTTGTTTTAAATGTCTGTATAAAAACATATAAACCATAAAAAATCATTATTATTTTGAAATTGGGAGATTAATTTTTTTTATTTAACATAGCATTTCTTTATTATATTTTTTCTTATTGAATGCGTCATTGCCTCAAGAGCAGATTTCTGTGCCATCTTGGTGGCAAAGTTAGCCAAAGCCATCTTTAAGTGCGCAGTTTTGATATTTCAATAGAAAAAAGTTTGGCAGTAAAAATAGATGTAACGTTGGTAGTCTAAACGAATTGCCCTTATCTAAATCAGTTACAATGTAAGCGTAAGATCTACACTCTTTTTGGAGGAAAACACCTTACATGATTTTTTTCGTTTGTGTAGATATGTTTGTAATAATTGTTAAATTGAGATTATTGTTTCATTGTTATGATATGCCAAGTTTTTGTACTCAAGGATTATGGTTTTTGTAGTGTTAATCCTAAAGTTATTGGTTTCGATGTAAGCTTATATAAGTGATGGATAAGTTTTAATTCTCTACTAGGAAGTTGTTGAATTATGTTCCGTTGAAACGTTAATCATATTTAATAGTTTATGTGTCGTAAACTCTGCTGCTAATGAAACTTCAAAGATTATTTAGTTAAAAAGCCAATTTGAAACATAGCTTAATTTTTTTGACGAAGGGCAGAATTTCATTGAAATTGAAATGCATCGTCGATGCTTGATATACATTTGTAGTGTACTATACTGTTTTACCTTATTATTTTGCAATATTTTAATAATATTTCGCCCGTTTCAGATGTCCGAATTACCTCATGCGCGTATTGTCTTCGATGTGACGTTAGAAGGCTCCGCTAGAAAATTAGTAACAGTCCGTTCAGCTTTACAACTCGTTAACAACCTCCCTCAAGCAGTCGACATCAAATTGGAAAGCAAATTACCCAGTGATGATATAATGAACATGTTCTGGGTTGCTAGTCAGTTATTCACGATACAAACCAACGAAACTTTAGCCATTCCATTAACTCATGCGCATTCACAAATTAATGTTAGACCGTCGCTATCACCACAGCTGTATACGTTTTCAGTACCTGGTATATCATGGACTCAAGTACCTAATGGAGTGGACAGAATATTCCAGTTGGCCACTTGTCATTCCCATAAAGGACACAATTATAGGTAACACTTGTTGTTCATGTATAAAGTGATATAAGGTTGAATGTTCAAATAAATGAACTTTAATCAAATGAAAGGCAGATAAAACGAGCACAGATTATTTATTAAATCTTGCCAAAGTACTTTCGCTCTTACAGCATATTCAGGGGCATTTTGTCTAATTTGGCCTATCCAACAATCTATTGAGAATGTCATAAACATAATAATTATACAATTAACACTACATAACACAAGGATAAATAGTTTAAAATTAAAAAAAACAGCGGAGCAACATATTGGTTGGCATCAGGAGAGAGAATGCTCTTGTTTACTTGCACAGTCTTGTTTACTGTGTAACCCTTTCATTACCATTTGTTTACAATATGTGTTCCTTATTTTTATATAACATATTAACCTCAAATTTAAATATTCAGAAAAAGTACTACCACATTATGCAAATGTCAGCGGTCCTAATATGGTTTAGAACCAGATTACATCATGGTCGCCAACAACTAGTGCTGGCGAATCGCCTTGTAGCGAAGCCATAAAAAACAGAAAAAGAAAACTTGAGATCTTGTTTTTTGATATTTATTTTTTCCCTTACATTTTCCCCAAAATTCACTGGTATTTGTAGCTCTTTCTATTTTTTTTTGTCATCATTTGTATTCATTTTGAATCCCAAGATTATTATGTTTTCTTCGTACCGTATTTTTCTATGTATTCCAGTGTTTGTTTTACTTGCTGTAGTTCTGATTATCTTGCTAAGTTTGCATAATTGCTTACTGATCTCGTTTTCTACTTACTTTATCTGTTTTATATCCATAATCATTTCTTCATTTTTTCTCTAAGAGTTCTTGTCATATTCTGATCCTAACCATAAAAGTTGTGATTTTATCGATATATTTCAATAAATATAAATTTATAATATATTTCAATAGTTGTGATTTGTATCATAATGTTTGTTTTAGATTTTATACGGAAATTATCAAACAAGAAGTATTAATACCGAATAGGATTAGGCACGAACCGGCTCACACTATATTCCTCTTACCAGTCGTAGCAATTGAAAATCTGTTACCGGTGGATATGCGTTACACTCTATCTGGTCAACAAGGCATCATTAAAACAAACGCCAGCACAACAGTTCATAACGTAAGTATATGGGATTTAGTTTTTTTTTCAGGTACCTATTATTAATCTGTGTTTATAATTTTTTTTATTTTAAACCATAAGGATAGACCTAATCTACGATATTAATCAACATGTTTTCTTTAACCTAATTTTCCTAAGATTCTTTCTAAGCTAGATGTCACCCGGTCCAACTTAGCTTTTTTTGACATGAAATTCCCACTGCTCTGTTGGGACTACACAGCACGGCACTAACTCTGCTTTTCACTAACTGCTCACGTCCTTGTTATGGCTACAATACACAACACTAACAGTGACTTAATAGTCACAACTGTAGTTGGTAGTTTTAGAAAACATAACCTTAAAAATGGGATATGTCTCTGTCAACACACGAGTGTTCTGGATCGAGCCATAGCAACTTTTTCGGCTACAAAATATTATCTAGTATATTACTTTTATCTGCTGTTATTTTTTTTGTGTATTAAGCTACTGAGACTTGTGATAAACTAAAATTACATTAGTGTTTTGGAGGCTCAGAAAAGTCGTTTTTTCATAACATGTGATATAAGATCTATTTGCACTAATGCGTAAAATACATGCTGTTAAACTTAAATACTTACATTTATTTTTACTATAGCCTTCTTTGGACTACCCGGTTATGGGCCCGTCTCTATATTTCAGTACATTTGTACGTAACTTCTCCAGAGGAAAGAGGCATACAGATAATTATATTATCTTTCAGCTACGTAGAAAGAGGCTACCTTAACAGTAATCATTTATTTATTGTAGGTTGACCCTGATTCAGTGGAATTGAAAGTGGAACTAGATAATTTTCGAACATGTAACAACGTCATCGTACCTGTTGGCTGTACAACTACTTTCACTTGTCGTGTAAAACTTGAAGATAGTCAACAGCGCAAATTACATCTACAAGTAATGGTATCTTTTAACAAAGGTGCAAAATTGAAGGTAATAGTGATGTGTGTAAATTATATCTCGGTAGATATTGATAAGTATGCCAATAAAAATATTTTTTTTTGTGTTTTAGTTTACTGTATCTGCGTTTTACTGGATAATAAACAAAACTGGATTACCACTTGTTTTTCGACAATCGGGAACGTCACTGGAAAGTGCAGGGCAGTATGATGAACATGAGCAAGCTCGTATGTTATCGCCGTTTATGTTCAGTTTTTCAGATCAAGACGGAAGTCCTACTATGAATGCCAGAGTAGGCAAAAAAGTAATCTGGGATGGGACTCCACAAGTAAGTACAATAAAAATATAAATTTCCTATTTTAGAAACCAGATATATCCACACACGTAGGAAAAATTTGACTATCCTGAGGAATTTTAAATACAATAAAATTCAATAAAATACAATCATATGCAATAATGTACAATAAAATACAATAAAATGCAATACAGTGCAATAAAATGCAATAAAATAAATTAAAATGAAATTAAATGCAATTAAATAAAATAAATTACAGTAGGATACAATAGAATAAAATACAAAAAAATACATTAAAATGCAATAAACTACCGTAAAATGTATTCAAATACAATCAAATACCATAGAATACAATAAAATACAACAAAAGTGCAATAAAATACAATAGAATAGAATAAAGTACAATAAAATTAAATAAAATGCAATAAAATACAATCAAATACAATAAAATGCAATAAAATACAATAAAATGCAATAAAATACCATAAAATACAATAAATAAAAAAACACTTAAAAAATCCTCAGGAAGTCAAGGTATACCCACAAAACTTATCAAATGAGGAGGTAAGTCTTGTTAAATGCCCAAGACAGTCAAAACAATTAAATTGGATGACCAGAGCAGTCCAATGTTTGGAAGGAAAGAGCTCTATTTTTTTCTTGTGTAAAAAAGTGAAAGAAGAAACTGTTAGTGACCTATTAACATGCTATAAACTAAAACCTAAACGGTAGAACATAGCTTATAGAAAAATTATAATGACTCACCTGACGAACATTTTCGGGAACATCAACACAAGTGATTCACTCTGTGGTCTGAAATGGAATGACGCGCTCTTTTTCACCAAGCTAGCTTATCCCTGTCGAAATCAAGCTAAAGCCGACTTATACGATTAAATCCAACCAATAGAAAAAGGATGTTGTATAAGACGCTTGCGTCATCTCTCAATAATCGTCAACAATAACAATTTTAATTACCAGAACATTATTTTAAGACGAAATAAGTTATACAGCATGAAAATTACTGCGATCTGAATTAAATAAAATAAAACAAATTATAAGTTCCTTGGATCGTTATACTGTATAAATAAAATTAGAGGTGGGCTAAATATCTCTATCCTGTGATTTAACAGCTGTTATTAGAAAATAACAATCACGACCTGTGAAGAACAACAAAAATATACTGTGACTGTGATTTCGGTCGCCGCAAGTTGTGAAATGAGAGACGTGTAACAGGATAATAAAAAACGAGGTTAGAGGTAGTTGGCGCTGTTGGTGGTATTGTGAAGTCTCTTTCGAATGAGGATTGCAAAGGCAAAGATAATTTTATATCGTTTTTGGAGGAATATGAATTAATTTAGTAATATTAATATGTAAACAAATATTTGAAAATTATGAAAAGGATATTTAGAGTTTCAGTTTATTGATTTTGTGTAACTCGTTGTATCGATATTCAGTCATTTTTATTTTCGTACATTTTAAAAATGCCACCAGTGCCAAATAAAAAAAGCAAAATTAGTAAGTTATGGAATTTTTAAATAAAAGTCGATGATAATTATGCCATATTTGTAAGGCAAAGTTGTAATATAAAGGACATGCAAGTAAAAACTGATCATATCGGATATACCAAAATAGTAACGTGTAGAATTTTATGATGAGTCATAATACTCAAATTTTTATTCTGAGTTTAACATACAACTATTTCGTTGCTCTGTTAAATCACAATCACACTTAACAATCACAATGAATAAAAAATAACGATCACAGTTATACCTGTGATTGTAGAATCACATTGCAGAGTCACACTAAATAAAATTAATGAGCTAATATTTTCAGATCGTTTATTCAACCATTCCTGCCTTAATTTTTACAAACTCAGTTTTTGTGTAAAGATACAAGAATTAAGCTAATGAATGAAAATTAAGGTTATCACGTTTGTTGGATGTAAGAATATTATATTGTTTTTTTTTTATTTTAGTGGTGTGCAAATTTCCACGTACACAAAGGCACTCAATATCGAAAACTCCATGTAACTTTGCGAGATGGACGTCCCGATGTTGTGTTCATAATCGGTTTAGAAGTACGCGTGGGCAGAGGAAAGTATCGAAGTACCAATATCATAACTATATCACCCAGATACCAATTACATAATAGAACATCGTATAAACTGCTGTTTTCACAACTTTGTTATACCCAAGGAAAGCAACAGCAATTACCGAAGTCTTGTTTAAAAGCCATGTCGCATTCTCACATGCCTTTTCACTGGCCAAATTTGGAAAAGGAGCAATTGCTGTGCGTGTCTATAGAGGAAGTGCAGGAATGTTGTTGGTCTGGAGGACTTAAAATTGATACTAATAACTCGATGCATGTTAACATCAGGTAAAATTATCAGGCTTGTTTTGTTTATATTTTTAATAATATATTATAGAGAAAAATCAGTCATCTAATATCGGGTACTTTTTTGAAACCTATACATTAACCTTGAACCATTTTATTGAAATCCTAACTATATTTTTATCGACTATACACTTCATCTAATTTATATAACGATGCACGTCATCGGCGTCATAGCCTGTGACGTTACATGATACCAACACAAAATATTTAGGGTGTAGGTGTGTTCTTTTTTAGAATCAGTTTACCGAGTACACTGGCATTACAGCCACTAGACATATTTTATTATATACGCGTAGAAATAATATTTAAAAATTTCTATTAATGTTAACTTAAAGAAATACACAATAATATGTTTCATTTAATTTGTATAAATGCATTATAAAGCGTTTTTTGATACAAGAGTATGAAGCATAAAATTGGTAACACTTATTTGACAGTTGCGGTGTTGACACTTTTTGTACTTCATTATTTTGAATTTTAAAGTGAATATCTCTTGTTTTATATTTTAACTATTTAATAAAATCTGTTCTTTTTAGACAAAATAGTGTGTTATTTCAAAAATGTCACGTAAGAATTTAAATAGTCGTTGTAAAGAGATGGGAATACTTTTGCAATAATTATGTAATATATTTGATTTAAAATGGAGTCAGGATTTTTTTATACTTTGGCAACTATGTGAACTTCGATCTCTGACGTAGATAATGACGTAAGTCGTTATCTAAATTAGATGAAGTATATGTACATTTGATTGAAATTATTATCTGAAACAAACTGTATACGCATATTTTTTTTGCAGGGATGCTTTAGGCGGTGTATATTTCCTCCGTATGGAAGTAGTGTTAAAAGGAGCAACCTTCTTTGTAGTGTTTACTGATGCCGATACACTGCCGCCTCCAATGAGAGTGGACAATTTTTCAGAAGTCTCGATAATGTTTGGACAAAGCTGTTACATCGATATCATGCACAGCACAGCTAGAGCACATTCCAGTGTTCCTTATGCTTGGGATGAACCGACTAAAGCTAGCACTATCAAAGTTATAGGTCCAGGGGGAGTGTCTAATACTTACAATATGTCTACTTTAGGTGCAGTACCTGGACTGACTTATGAGAATTTTATTTATATTGCTTTTACTGGAACGTTTAAGAAGTAAGTTATTTCTCTTCTCTCTTTTCCTCTCAAAAATACTGGGTGTCTCATAATGGAATTAAGGTTTTAAAGGAATAAAGCAAACATTCAAACATTATAGAACAATTTTAATATATTTGTTATAAACGTTAAAAATGCGGATTTATTGTTGAAACACATTGTTTAATTGCTGGCCGTCTTCTTCGTAGCAGGTTGTTAGTCTAGAGTGCAAGCTGCGGAAAACTCGCTGGCACATCTAAATGGGTATGTCACGTATAGCATCGGTAATGCGGTCTTTCAGTTACTGGATCATTTCTGGTACTGAATCGGTGTGGATGATACCCTTTAGGAACCCTCATAAAAAATCTAAGGTGGTCAGGTCTGGGGACCATGGAGGAAACGGAATATCTCCATTAATGGAAATAACCGTGCCAAGAAACAGTTCTGTAAGGAATGATTGGTAAATAGCAACGATTGGCGTAAAAAATTATGAATCATAGTGAAGTAGCAAGCGCTGTTCACAGTAACCGTACGTCCTGCATCATCATCAAAAAAGTACGGCCCGATTATGCCCCAGGCGGACCTGGCACACCATACGGTCACTGTTTTGGAGTGTAATTGTCGTTGATGTTTTTGCCGCGGATTATCTTGAGCCTAATATCGGCAATTGTGCCTGTTCACATATTCGTCACTAAAACTAATGTTTTTGATGCCACCTTCGTTCCAAAAATTGTTCATGATTGTCTCAGCAAAAGTTTTCCATTTTAAATGGTCGTCCGGCCTCAAAAACTGACAAAGCTGAATTTTATAGGGGTGAAAGTTTAAGTCCTTCCGCAATAATTCGTTGAACACTAGCGCGCGTCAATTGCGATGATTGCGCATGTTTACGAACTGATCGCCTGGAATGGTGATTTACAGCGCGCCGTACCTTGTCAATATTGTATGGCGTTCTCGTGGTTCTGGGTCTATCAGCTGGTGTGTGATTTATGACAGAAGATGTGGCTCGGAATCTTTTCACCCATGGTACAATGAACACAAGGTATGATACATAATGTTCCAAAATCGGTTCGCTTCGCGCATGACGTAGTCAAGAATGCTTCTTCACGCAACATTTGAATGTAGTTGTGTAGGAAAGACTTTTAATTTTAGGTTATTTTATATAATTTGGTTAATTTAATTATAGTAATTATAAAGAGATGATAAAATTATGTTATTATAATATTTAGTGATAATAATAATATTTTGAAGTTAATTTAATTTTATTCATTTTTGGTACAGTTATTTTGTTCACATAGATATCCTTTATAAAACAAGTTTTAATTATCTTTTATTACACATAGGTACAGGTTGATCAACTTATACTCCAGAGTTCGATATTTCAGATGTTTAAAAAGATAGAACAGTGGTATCTACATAAAAATGAGTCGAGTACAGCTAAAAATTTTAAAATTATTTTCAAATATAAAAGGTATTGTAATGTAGGTACCCAAAATTTGTACGTATATACTGAACTAAACACAAAATCAAAATAAATAATCATAAAGTCAACTTTATTTAGATCGGATGACCTAGCTGGCCATCCAATATGAGTGTAGTGAGGTCACACAATATTGCACAATGTTTTAAATGGCATCTTTTGTAATACTATTCTTTGTCACTCCCTTTTCTTTCCCAGTTCGTTACGTTAAGTCTTCTTATATCTTTCTCTTTGCCTATTGCCTGCAAATGCACTAGGTAGTATCATTCTGGGAATTCTAACCTTAATTACCGCTAATATGTTGCCACAAGATTTTGCGCTCCCAAACTAATAAAAACTCCTGGTGTTTTTTGTTGTGACCCATTTTTCAGAAGAATACATCACTATTAGCCTTATTAGAGTCTTGTATGTCCTTAGATTTGCTCTTCGAGATATATTTTTGCTTCTTAACAACCATTGAGAGCATATACAGCGCAGTTGCCAGACAATTCTTTTCGATATTTCTTCTTCACAGTTAGGTTCTCTTGTTATGACAAGTACTTAAATCTTTTAACTTCTTCGAATTTATATTGTGTTACCTTTGCTGTTATCATTGTTATGTACTGCCCCCGAACGAATTTCTTTTTTGGGCATTCCATATACTTCGTTTTTCGTCAATATCACAAAATAAAAGATAATCTCTCTCTCTTCAATCCTGACCCCCCAGGGGGAGTGTAGTGGTCGACGTGATGTCGTGTATTGTCCTTCTCCAGAGATCTCTGTCTCTGGTCATTTCTTTTAACTCATGCATAGGTCTTTGGCATATTCCTGTAATTTGATCTATCCATCTTGTTGGGGATCTTCCTCGTGATCTTCGGCCTTCTACCTTTCCTTGTATTATGAGTCTTTCCATGTTTTCTGTGTTTGCTCTCATAACATGCCCAAAATATTTTAATTATTGGACATGGACTTTACTAGAGAGTCGTTGGCTAACTTTTAGCTCTCTTAAAATTGAATTATTGGTTCTACGGTCGGTCCAAGGAATTCGTAACATTCGTCTCCAACAGAACATTTCAGTGGCGTCTATCTTTTTTCTCTCCGATTGTCTCAGAGTCCAAGATTCACATCCGTAGGTCAGTATTGGGAATATTAAGTAGTTGATCAACCTCATCTTTATCGCTCTTGAAATTTGACAGTCCTTCCATATTTTGGTCATTTTTGCTGTGGCAACTTTTGCTAGATCACATCTACGTTTAATCTCTTCTTGTAATGACCCTGTGTTTGTGATTAATGATCCCAGATATAAGTATGAGCTCACAACCTCGAACCGGTCAATTGTGGTTATATGTGGATGATTGTTGTGTAGTCTATCCACTATCATGATCTTTGTCTTTGATATGTTTAATTGCAGACCAAATATTTGACTTTCGTTTTCGATCAGTCGTATAAGTTCTATCAGCTCTGCTTGACTATTTGCAAGAAGGGCTGTGTCATCTGCGAAACGTAGGTTGTTTAGTTTATGACCATTTATTGAGATGCCCTTTTCCCATCCTTCAAGTGCCCTTCGCATAATATACTCTCCATATATGTTTTAATAATTGTGGAGATAGTATACATCCTTGTCTGACACCCCGTTCTGGATGAAATTCGTTTGAAAGTGTGTCAAGTACTTTAACTGATCCAGTAGTGTGTTCATATAGTTCGGTTATAAGCGTAATTAGATGTTGTGGTACGCCTACTTCTTTTAGTATTCGCCATAAGTGTCTCCACTTGACCCTGTCGAACGCTTTACGGTAATCTATAAAACAGATGTATAGTGGGATGTTGAATTTCCTAGATTTCTCTATTATCTGTCTTATATTCAGCAGGTGTTCTCGAGTGCCTCTACCTTTGGTAAATCCAGTTTGCTCTTGTGGAATTTCTCTTTGAAGGAAATGTTTTCAGTCTCTCATTGATTATATGTAGCATTATCTTGCTGGCATGGGATATAAGAGAGATAGTTCTATAATTGTCGCATTTATGGAAGCTGCCTTTTTATGTATGGTCGTTATTGTAGATTTTGTCCAGTCTTCAGGCCATTGTTTGGAATGCCATATTTGGTTACAGAGTAGATGAAGTAACTTTATGCCGGTTTCTTCTGTGGCTTTGAGCATTTCTGCTGTTATCATATCTGGACCTGGTGCTTTGTTATATTTGAGCTTGTTGATAGCCTGTCTTACTTCATTTTCGAGTATATCAGGTTCTTCTTCCACCTCGTCAGAGATTTGGCTAACAAGCTCTTGGCGTTGATCATCTTTATATAGGTCCTGCAATACGATCTCCATGTCTCTGCTATGTCTTCTCTGTTTGTTCTTAGGGTTCCAGTGTTATCTTCAATGGCCCAAGTTCTGGCTCTGAAGTCTCTTGTCAGGTAGTGTATTTTTCTAAATAGATCTCTCGGCTGATTATTCTGACCATGTCTCTCAATTTTTTGCATATACTTTGATAGTACTGTTTTTTTGTCGGCCTTACATCTTCGTTTTATTTCTTTATTGAGGTTTCTTAAACTAGCTTTTTTCCCTTTCACTATGTACACCACTTTTACAAAGATGTCTTCTATTCTCAATTATTTTAAGAGTTTCATCTGTTATCCAGTGTTTCCGTTTCACCGGATTATTTTTTCTTTGAGCGATCCACTGGTGTTGTTACGCAATGTTTAACAGTCTCCCATATTTCTTGGGAGATAATAAAATACACAATTAATTGCAAAATTTAAATACATTGCAAATTGCATAATAAAACATTACGAACTAATAAGTTGAAGTTGCTGCGGATGATACCCAAATATATATATATATATATATATATATATATTATATATATATATATATATATATATATATATATATATATATATATATAAATACTTAAGTTCTTGTACATAAAGGTACTGTAATTTCTTAGTTATTCGTTAAGAAACTCTTCCACTGAATATGGTCATTTCAGATGATAGCATCATTTTTAGCATGATCACTTGTATATGACGAATTCTTACTACCAGGCCAAGAATATGATTTATTTGCAATTGAGACAAAGCTCACCTTCTCGCTAACTTTAAAATATTATCACAGACTCTTTTAGAAATTAGATTTGAATCTGTTAACATATTCTGTATCATAGAAATACTCAAACTCTTTTTATGCATATCACAAGGGTCATGTTCTACAATACTATCTTCAGAAGATTCAATTAATGGAACTGGTTCTCTTGTTGTATTCATTGTACCATGGGTTCCTGACTACGTCACATGCCTGAGTTAGCTGTCAAATGTCATGCGCAATATCATACCTTGTGTTCATTGTACCATGATTTTTACCCAATTGTTCACCAAAGCTGTCGACGGTGTATCGGCTAAATGTCTGATATTGAAATGTACACAAAAACGTCGAAGCGCTACGGTATAAGAATCTTTCGACTTAAAGAACGATACAAGCATAAACACCCGTTGCTCTGCTGGCCACGGTGCCATCGTAACTGAAATCCGCATGCTCGCGCAACCTATCTATACAGAGAAGCGACACTCCTTTGATCTTGCGTGGGCAAGCCGCCAACGAGTGAAAATGACAGGAAAGCACCTTATTTACTAATAGTCAGTGGGCATATTACACAATATAAATTCTTAAATAAAATTGAGCGTTTATGTTGACTTTCAATAAATATGAAATATTGCACTGAAAAAATAATTACACGCAGGAACAAATTTTAAGCAAAGAATTTTTTGTATTTATAAATAAACTTCATTACTTACAACTATAAGAGTATTAGTATATTCTAAGTATATTGTAAGTAATGAAGTATTTAACTTTTGTCAATATCTCATCTTAATAAATTTACAGTTTTCTCCTAATTAAGTCTCAAAATTGTCACTAAATATTGAGATATACAATAAATAAAGTTTTAATATTTTTTATTTGTAATTCCCATTTAAATATTTATTCCCTAAATATGTTGTGTACTCCGATCCATATATTTGATCTTTGTTATTTATATTTAACGAATTAAACATTGACAGACAACTTTTGTATATAGCAAAAAGTAGATGAGCATTTAGTTTTTTCATAATTTAATGTAAGTTTGTTTGGTGAAAAAGACAGCAAATATTTGAAGTTATGTTAATGTAAGTTTGTTTATTTGCAATCATGTTTTTATTTTGAAGTCTTGTTCTGTTGTAATTTTAAGATTTTCCCAATTTTCGATCTAATTATGTTTCCAACAATTTTTAGTTTGAGCATTTTAGGAATTTCTTTGTTTCGTTTAAATCAAATATTCTCGTGTATAAAACCCTGTATATATTTTTATTTCCTAAAAATACTATATTCGTATTGTTGTCTGCGAGCGCTTTCACACCAGTAGGCCAACATCTGTTGATTTTTTGACCTGAGCCTTCGGAGACAATAAATTTAATGTGTGTTCGTAGTTCTCTGGTTTTTATTCTGAACTATCCCTTGTCAGACCAAAATTTATTTTTTTATTGCTCCACTTAACGAGAGCTTGGGCGGACACGTCGGTGTCGGCTTACTGATCGAAAGTCAAATTAATATTATTATGTAATAACTAATAATAATTACAAAGCAATAGTAATACCTGTTATTATTCTTAGGAAATCTAAATAAACTTATTCCTTTTCCTGTCACAGATGAACATCCGCGAAACGCACAACAATAACCAGAAGACATTTTAAATACTTATAAATTAAACTTTTAACTATAAACTATAACTATAAACTTTTAACTACTAAGTAAATTAGATAAATGGTCAAATGCACTTGTATAGTCGAGAGTTTACCACAGATGCCTACGGACTATCGTAAGCAACTAAAGTTGAAGAAAACGCACGTGTTTTTGACAGTAAAGCACCCGTTCCTTCCTTCTTAGAGCAGGGCCGGTGCCAGAATAATTTCAAAATCTTAAATACATTACGAGACACCCTGTAGTACGTTAATTATTGGATTATATTGGGCCTGATATGACTGCGTTTCTGCTGATTAAAACATATTAACATGAATAATATATTTTGAATATTGTATTTTATTTCGTAGGATCATGTAGGTATCTGCTTGCTCGAGATTTTTGTTGGTGTAACATATTCTTTCATAGATATATTCTGTAGTGTAACAATAGAAAATGGAAGTGTAATATCGCCTAAGATCTTGTTAAGGAGGGTTATTGTGGATGCGGCAAGACTCACCCCGACTTGTAAAGTCAGGCAAGAAGAAGAATACAAGTTAAAGATTATAGACAAGAGTACACAGCCTTGTCTCACTCCCCTTTTTATGTTTATTTCATCCGACAGTTTTTGTTCAACTGTAATTATTCGTAAATCTTTATCGTCCAATCCAGATTTTTTCAATATATTTAGCATTTTCTTACAGCGGAACTTGTCAAAGGCTTTTTCAAAATCAATTGCGCAGATGTATAGGCTATTCCACGAATATACGACTGTTTTGGTTTACTGCGACAACGAATATTTTACTGTGCAAGTAGAAGTATGAAGGTCAATTGGTCTAATCATTATTCCAATAAAAAGGGTCTACTAGTATGACATCTAAACTAAAATTATTTCAGTTAAAATCTACAAATAAATACAATGACGTCTATGAAGCCAAATGTGTTCATCAGACATTTGGGTAAGCTTTCCGTGAAATGTAAACACCAAAGAGGCGTGCCGGGTTTCTTTGATATAACACATTTTATTACTTTATTAGGTATTACAACTGTAATAAAAAGAAATATACTATTTTTAATATAAATGAAAAGAAATTGGCAGAACGATGGTTCACAAACCAGAAAAAGGATCTAATATTTCACTTTGTTAGTTTTAAATATTTGTTTGCTTTGAGTTTATGTACTCTTAAAAGTTCCGAAAGTAACGGGTATAACATACCGGCTATTGATAGTTAAAGTACCGAGTCGTTACAGATATTAAAAAGTAACGAAAATTTATATACAGTTTCATATATCGCCGACTGATTATGGCTGTGAATCTGATCGTTGATGATAGTTTTAGAAGATTAAGAGAATAAGTGAATAAGTAAGTTTTTTTGTTTTTTTAATATTAATTGAATATTCGACTAAAAAATTTACACTATTTGATCACTTAAGTATTGTTACATTTCGTTTAAATCACATAATTCAAAAACCAACTTGTTTACAATGAAATAATTGAAATGAAAAAATAAACTCCATGATAGTAATTATATACTTCAAAATCTGAATTACAACTGTTTTATAAACTATTAACTTTATATTTATATCATGACTTCATATTTAAATCTAAGGTTTATATCTGTCGTAACAGTATTTTAAAAATGGGGAGAATTTACTATTGTACAATTCAGTACATTGGACCATTTAAATCGACACCTTAAAGCGAATTTAAAACAGTCGTATATTCGTGGAATGGAGTATATACATTTTCATGTACATCTCAACATTCTGTAGGACAATATTCGGACCTGGAGCTCTCCTATCTTCGAATTTATTTCCTGTTATCAGTTTTACGAGTTTGTATTTATCATTTCTTCTTCTCTTCTTTATGCTTCCCTTCTATCGGAGATTGGATATCATGTAGGCTATATATTTTTAGAGCTGCTCTAAACAGTTTGTTTGTTTTACTTCTAGTCCTGAGAGAACTTGAAAATCTCATTTGATCGTAAACTATTAATAATTTATAAATAATGATTAATAATTATAGAAAGCTAATATTTTTTGCCCTTTTAATTTTTTCCTTATACTAGTCTTTCTTTCTGTAATATTTTCAGGTTTATTGCAATAAAAATGTCTCACGGTCCTAATGTCTTTTGTATTTTATAGATCAAGGGGTGTTTATGACCCCAACACCGACATGGAAAGTCAAGAACTGGTTCTTAGTGTAGGAAAAAACACTCGAGTGCTTCTTTCCAGGAAAATGGCAAGTGATAGATCTCAGTTATGGAGAATGACGTCTGAGGGTTATTTGGAGCACGAGGGTAGCAGTCCACCATTACATCCTGGTCAGACTAGGAATCAAGATAGCATTTTAGTGCTTGATATTGAAAACACCGCTCCTCAACCCAACACCTATTCACGACTTATGCTAAGAAGGATCGATCCAAGAAGGCAATCGACGCAAAAATGGAGATTTACTGAAGATGGGAGGCTATGTTGTGACCATTATAATATGTGTGTGCAAGCTATGGATGGATCTTATGGTTTGCGTAGTGGTAAGTTAATCTAGAAATAAGTGCTATATTTAAGTAGGTGTAGTGTATTCAATTATATTCACTCTAGATCGCTTCCAGCAGGAGTCAAGGGAATAAGTAAGGCCAAACCGCAAGATCGATCCGATACATCAGCGTATTCTAGTATAAGTCGCAAATTCCAATTTGGGTTAGAGTTTTTGTTTTCTGGCTAGGTTTTGAACCATCAATCCACTAGATCAGTCACAGTGAAGTGAGTACGATTCGTCCGCCTGGCGCGCTTGGCTATCCCACCGATATTCCGATGAGCTTTCTATAATTTTTGAAAAACACTTAAATATCAAAATATTTTTTTAAATTCTGTTGTTTCAGTTATTTCTATTCTTCCCTTACAATCTGATATTTTTATGTCCACATTATGTTGCCTCATTCATACTTTCTAGGATTCAGATCTGGGTTGAACCAGCTCTGAATCATGAACCTGGGCTGATCTAACATGCTGACCAATTCGTTGTTATGATTTAAATCTCAATTAAATAATCCCTGGTCACATTCGTGGAAATTTGAAACTTAACGATGAAGCTTACCAAATTTTTGGGTAGTAGTGTAATTATATTGCCTCATATTAGTATTATAATATTTTTAATTTTTTCCAGGAAATGCAGTGGTATTAGGTTTACCTCAGGCAGTAAGCTACATGTTTGTAAATAACGGTTTACCGATCGAACAAGCCATAGAAAGACAGTACCTACGCCCTGGATCTGGTTTACTTTCGGTAAATATTTACATGGACGGGCCAACCCAAGTTATTTGCGTAAAAGATTTAAAAGAAAGTAAATATTATGCCACTTCGGATGATAAAGAATGGGGTACGATATCTAAGGATCAGAGACCAAATTTGACCAGAACAGAGAGTAAAGACAAGGAGGAAAACCGGGAACTTCAGTTTAATATTACTCTGAATGGTATTGGAATTAGTTTGGTCAGTAGAAAGATGCAAGAGGAATTGTTGTATGTGCTTTTTTCTCATATCGTTGGAGAGACTGTCATTACAAACCAAGCTAATCAAATCTGTTTTAGTATTAAAGATATTCAAATCGACAATCAGGTAAGCCTTTACTGAATAATATGTATCGATCCTTTTCCTAATCGATTTTATAATTTTTGTTAAAACATAAAAAGCATATATATAATTAATTATATCTGATGGACTTAAAGCCAATATTTGTGTTCGCGTAATTATTTAAAAACAATGATGTTTATTGTGCGAAGACTATGCAAGTGCATCTGGTGAGCTGTTTTGTCAAAAACAGCACGATTTACATTTCACAAGTAAATAATATGGTTCTAATTAGAGAAAACTCTTTTGTTTAATGTTATTTGTAAATGGATACGGGACTATTGTTGGGAAGGGGCTTTGTCATATTGTCCGGTGGCTTTGTTCTGACATTAACACGAATCAAACAGAAGAATTGACATGACAGATGCCCGAAAAGAAGACGTTAAAGCTGACCGAAAATAAGAAAATTGAGAGTTGACAAATGGTTCCGGTCTTAGCTAAGCTTCATGTTCGGGCGGTAATGCAGATTCAACGCTTACCGACAGTGATCTCTATCTGATCCTCTACTGCAATAGTATAAAACCTAATGTTACACATGTACGGTACAAAAATTGCAGCTTAAATCCGGCTCGAAGGACCATACAAATGGAGGTGTCACATTGGACTGCCAAATCACTGTAGGAGTAAAGGTAGGATTGTACTAAATAGCTGAACTAAATTCAGACTGTTCGATATATCTCCAGTTCGCTAATTCACTAAATACAATAATAAGTTCGCACAAATAAAAGTTATTAAAACGTTTAAAACTTAATAAATTAAAATGCACATACTAAATTTACACCCTTGCTAGCTTAAGTTCGACTGATATTTTTAAGGTGGAAAGGCCCAGAAAAACTCAACAATCACAAAATGCATATTGTTATTCGACATTAAATTTTGCTGAATTACATTTTTAAAATTTTTGACGGTGTAAAATATGTCGGCAAAGATAATATTTTATTAAAGATAAATTAAATGTCTGATAATGCCTGTCGCCAAAGCTAAAATTTCTTAAAAGTTAATTAAATATAGAAGTATATTTCTAGCTAGTAACTAGTTTGGCATATGGCGACATTTTCCTTAATTTTCTACCGATAATATTATTTTTGTTAATTCGTGACCATTCTAAATATACCATAGTTTATAGTATGGAGATATATGTTTTTGAAGTATTCAAAGATTCCAGATCGACTTATTCTAAAGAAAAAATACCTTGAGTATAACCAAGGGTGTGTAGTTAGCGGTGTAAAGACAGATTATTAATTATAAAATTATCCAGATTTAGCCATACGGTTCACACTCCCTCTAAATGGAAAATTCACAGATACCCATACCCAGATACCTACGGTATCAAAATGATTGAGCTCTGGTGGGACTCTTTCCGTGTTATCGAGCCCTAGGTGACTTGGTATGCTGGAGTATCTCCCAAAAATTTTCGTACACGTCTGGACGTTGAGAGCAGTACAGCTTTCTGCATGGTCTTGTAGAGATGTTCATTCACACCTAGCTTTTTTATGTTTTCTAGGAGGTTCTTCGAAATGACTCCAGTAGTAGAAAGAATAATAGGTATTGTCTGGGTACTTTCCATTCTCCACTGTCTTCGCATTTGAATTTCCAGATCCCTGTACTTGGCGATCTTTTCGTTCTGTTTAACACGAAGATTATTGTTGTTGGGTATCGCCGCATCAATTAGTGTTGTTTGTTTTTTTAGTTTATTAACTAGTATGAGATCTAGTATTCTAGTCTATTATGTGCCACTGTTTGGTCTGTGAGCACAGTGCGGTCCCAGTACAGCTTGTAGTTAACATTTCTCAAGTATACTTTCAGAAACGTATTGATAATATGGGAGATTGTTTGTTTGGAGAAGTCCCTGTTTGATGGCTATCTCTTGATGAAGGATCTTTCCTACTGAGTCGTGCCGTTCCTTATATTCAGTTGCAGCAAATGCCTGGCGGCCCCCGGTAAGGTGTTAATATATTTCAGGTAATTTTTGGTTGGTATAACCTGATCCTGAATGGCGAGTAATGAACGTTTTGTTTCAGGGAACATCTTTCCTGATGTCAACCAATAGTTCGACGCTATATTGTTGACATATCATTAGTAATGTGATTTTCTAGTTACTTATATCCATAAGTCCTCGTCCTCCTAAATACCGCGGTAATGTCGTTCTTTCTACTGCACTTCGAGGATGGCGTTTTTGTGCCTTTGTGAGATGTGTTCGTACTTTTCGCTGAAGATTTTCTATATGCGTTTTTGTCCACTTAACAATACCAAATAAGTAGCTAAGCGCGGAACATGCATAGGTGTTTAGTGCCTTAAACAAATTTTTACTATTAAGATGTAAACGAAGCAATAATTATTATATTATTATAATATTATTAAATATCAAATTCTACATAATTCTTCCTACGTTTGATACTTAATATCAGTTTGTGAAGAATGTTTGTATAAGATTTGTAAAAGTGACAATAGTAATTTGTGTGTTTTTTTCTCTAAATTATAGGATAAAATTAAATTGAATAATTCTTTTAGCTCATAGATACATCAGTTCCAGTGGTGGCGTATATAACCCCTCCTAGTTCTAGAAATAACGATCAAGCTTATAATCACTTGTCAGCACTCGATTTTAGCGCCGAACTACAGCCTCAGAATAATGCTCGTGCAGTTATATTTAAGGTAAATACTTTTATTACAAATCTAATCGCTTTAAACGTTTTTAATATTAATTTGCAAACTTGCGCAATATTAACCTCAATATAGAAGTAGGGATACGACAAGGCTATAGCTTGTTTACGACACATGGTATTGATATTGGTACGACAAACAATCAGACATCAACTGGATGACCATACAGCTTCCCACACAATCACTAGGAAGGTGAATCTAGATTAAAACGCTTTTTTCATGCATTTAAGTTGTGTACATATCAGAAAATAAAAAAAATTAAATAGATGGTAGCAATAGTCTACAATTTAAAAAGAAAGCACTAAAATAGAACAATTATCTCATTCTGTGGAACATCTTGGAAATAACTAAACTGTCTATTAAAAGTTATCAACGCAAACAAAAAAAAAAAAACTGAAATCAAAATATACAAGGCCGAAATTAGGTCTGTTATAAAATATATTGTCGGCCTACCGCCAATACCAGCCAACTCTATTTTTTGTCGATCTTGAGTTAATTACTCATTTGAATTTAAAAATTCTCAAAGAATGTACTGACAAACCCAGATAAGTCCAAACAGATTTTAAATGTGGGAAACAGAAGGGGTTAAAAAACTAACTCTAAAAATGACACTTTTATTCAGAGAAAAACAGATATGTGCAGTTGTATATTAAAATAAAATAATATTTTGTTATTTACAATCTTATAGTTCTGCCAAAACAGGACAAGTGCCAGTTAGGTGATTTTCGCTTTAGTATTTCGGTATAGATGCACAAATTTCATGTGATAACTGTACTTAGTTCTCAACGTAGTACGATATTGTGCATAGATAATAATTTGTAGATATGTACATTATCCTTTAGTAGATGTCTGGACTTGTCGGCATCATTTTCAATTTTAAACAGAGACGTATTTGATGCTAGCGTTGGTGAACTTTTTATTTATTTATCTTCTTACCATCTCATAATAACTATTTTGACTCTAGAGATGGCTGCTCTGAAAAATTCATTTGATGTACATTCATATTATTCTCTCTGGTTGCGCAGCCATAATATTCTACGTCTCTCTATACTTCTTTTTCTTTCGATCATTCCCTGCATAATCTATGTGAGGGTAGATTCATATTGCTGTTCAAGGACCGAGCTTAATGGAAAAAGAGAAAGCTTGGAAATCGGTACATGTCTATTAAGATATATCGATAAACTATCCACAGCTGTAGATACACTACCTTGCTTATGTATTTAGTGCAAACGAATTGTAACTTATCTGTGATAGAACAGAAATTTCTCTTAAGTGTACATGGAGGTCGATATCGCGCTATTGAAAAGGCGCAAAAGTATGGCAATGGCAAGGACGTAAAGATCTAGTAAGAAACCTTACATTGTAGAAGAACTCAAGGATAAGGAGTTTTTTGATAATATATTGGAAAATAAAATGCATTTATTAAAATTGAAATATTTAAAATACAAACCAGGCATTCTGTTGTAAAGGTACGATCACAGTTCTGTCTTTAAAAAGGTTTCTGTTTGGTAAAGGTGCCCTGTTGACCTGAGCGAAATAGACTTAAAAAGGCATACCCAAACATCGGCTTCAGTTAAAAAAGAAACGGTGAGTTTCATCAGTATTATAAATCGTTACCGACCTTGAAGGACATCGAGGACAGTATACCTGAACCTGATATTTAGGACAGTGATGTTTACAGTGACTTGAAAGATGACCTAACTTTGTACAGCCAAAACCAGACAAGTGCCGCAAAAAAATGTTTTTCATACTTTTTTTAATTTACACTTCATTTTAACATTTTTTACAGTTTTTCGTTTGCAATGTTATTTACTTAAATACTTTAAAGTTAATTAAATTAAAAAATGAATTTTTATTTCACATTAAAGTTTAAAACGTAGATTTCTAAAAAGGTTTGAAAGTTGGAGTTAGCTGGTTTTGGCAGTAAGCCGAAGATTATATGCCCATTAAGAAGAGACGAATATAACTAAGAACCCAAAAACAAGTGTCCTTGAAAGTATACGAGTATTACATGAGCATGAACTAGAACAAACGACGGGTATTCTTGGGATTACATGAGCACAAAGTAAGCTAGTGAAAGAAACAGATATTGCAAACAAATTGCAGTCATCCTCGCTATAAAGGACACTAAGAGGAGCTATTATATTGATATTGATAATGATATAAACACCATAAAATAAAAATATTAATAACTGCCTGGAGATAAATCCTTTTATAAAACTTTTATTTGGTGGAGGAGATTGTTTCTTTATTGTATTGTTATCGTTTAACTTAAATGTACTTATTTGGTTATAGTATCTAATCATCAGGTTAAAAAAGATAACATTAATTATTGAGGAAGTTCTACTTTTAAAATTTTGTGAATTTCTGGGAATTCACTCTCAGACTGAAGAAATTGTGAGTAAAGATCAAGATGATGGTGAAATCCAGACTTTGCTGTCTGAAACATCTGCTGCTAATGCTAAAAGGTAATTCAATTTTGTTATACTTTTTGACATACATTTTTTTTATTATTTTGACAATTGGACAATCATAAAACCTTCTCTTTCTTCTTCTTTCAGTACCCTGTCCGATTATCGAATGTTGGTGATCATATTGGCAATAATATCTTTGTTTACGGCGGCCCTAAATAAATTATTAGGTTATACCTCTCTGGATGTCTCATTACATGACTGAAATATTGTAACTTTCGAATTTTTATCGTTTTTGTTATTTCTGTGCTCTTTTTCATTCCTCCAAGGCCTCCAATTTTTTCATTAATGTCTCTGCAAGGGTCCAGCTCTCCATACCATACAGCAATGAGAATATGTAGCAGCGTATTAATCTGATTTTAAGATTTAACGTAATATCAGAGTAGATATTAAAAAGTAGAGGCGATAGAATACATCCTTGCCGCACTTCACGTCGTATTTCCACTGCTTCCGTCGTGTGTCCAATTCGTATGTTTGCACATTGATGCCTATACAAATTTGTGATAATACGGAGGTATCGGTCATCAATTCCCACCTGTTGCAAGACACCTACCAGTTTGTCATGGTTTACTCGGTCAAAGGCCTTTTCGAAGTCGATGAAACACATATATACCAATTGTTCGATATCCCTACATCTTTTAACCATGACCTGCAAACTGAAGAGTGCTTCTCTGGTTCCAAGGTTGTTTCTTAAACCAAATTGTGTTTCACTTAGTTGTACTTCTATTTTGTTGTAAATTCTCGAGAGTAGTATTCTTAGGAAAATTTTCAGTACATGACTCATCAGACTGATAGTGCGATGATCGCTACACTGTTTGGCATTTATTTTTTTCGGCATCATTACACATGTTGGCAGTAGCCAGTCGGTTGGTATATGTCCTGTTTACAATGTTTACTCTTATCATACAGTAGTTTGATTATTTCGCTTGGAATTTCATCTGAACCGGTTGCATTCCTATTCTTTGATAGCTTTATAGCTCTTTCTATTTCTTACAGTTCTTATCTTTCAAGACATTTGTTGCTGTACCATTTTTCTTTTGCATCCCGTATTTTCCTTTTGATTTATTTATTGATTTTCTTGTTTTCTTCAGTGTTTTTTTTTCTGTTTCTGTTTTCGTCTGCTTTCCATTATTCCCAATACTTCATCAGTCATCTATTGTTGTTTGCGCTTATTAATAGATTTATACTTTTTAGTTGTTTCTTGTATAATGGTTTTGACATGATTCCAGTGATCTTCGACCACTGTTGTGTTTCCATTTTCGGACTTCTTTTTTTATCTCGTGTGTAATTTCATGACTATTATTTCAAATACTTATTTGGTTAGTCGGTTGTTGGCGTTTTACTTTTTTAAGTTTGAGTTTTAAGTTGTGATCTGAGGGGACATCGGCTCCAGGTAGTGTTTTAGATATTTTGATTGAATTTCGGTACCTTTCGGTAATTGTTATATAATCGATCTGATTTCTTATGATCTTCTCTTTAGTATCTGCCGGTGACTTAGAACCTTATCAAAGTAAAATTAAATCAACTGATTATATAGTAAATATCTATAAACAAATAAAATCTCTTATACAATAAAGGCTACTCGTATTTTAGGTACTACTTTGGAATCATAAAGTTGATACCGGATCAGATAAGACTGAGCGTTACGACTGCTAGTAAGCTTCCCAAGCAGTTACAACGCATAAAAAGAAAACTGGGATTAACATTAATTAAATTTGAAGATGCTGCTGTAGAGTTGGAAGCTTTTGAGAGGAAGCATCCGTTCGAAACTAGTCAGTTTTTAATACAGACCATAATTAAGCATTTTAATACAGTAAGTTTTAAATTCTTTATTTTATATCATATAGTTATTTCTACATTCTTTTATATTTTATTTTTAATTTTACTTTTTTTATATTGGACTAATTGATTGGATATTGAGTTCAAGTATATTGTCTGTTTCACCCTTTTTAGCTGATTGAAAATCACTTAAGTAAGATGAAACCAATCAAATTACCAATGGCAATATATGTTCGTTCGTTTTTTCTGTATTTTTGCAAAATGCATTGTAAAAATGTATTGCTGTCCATTTTACTATAAGTTCGATCTTCTGAACCCCCAATAGTATTTTTATTTGGCAAGCAGAAGGTTATAATAACCTTTTTGTTTGCTTTTAGACTAGAATATTTGCCCAGTAGGCTACGCTATTAGCTACAATGTGGTTGCTTCATACCGACAGTGATTAATTGATTAATCTTGCAAGATCAGACTTTTAAACATGATAAATTTTATATATATATATTTGTACTTATAACATAATTATGTTATTTTTGTAGGGGCTCATGTGGCAAGCTGGTATTATAATCGGATCAGTGGACTTTATAGGAAATCCTCTAGGTTTGGTGAAGGACTTCTCAGAAGGAATATCGGGGGTACTTTATGAGGGAAACGTGGGATCCTTAGTGAAAAACGTCACACACGGTATGTCCAATTCAGCAGCTAAAATAACTGAATCCCTATCGGATGGACTCGGAAGAGTAGCCATGGATGACTCCCATGAAGAAATGAGGCAAAAAATTAGAATGGTTCACGGTGGTAAAAGCTCAGATCATATTTTAGCAGGTGAGACTTTTTATTTAATATACTTCTGTTATACCGTTTTATATATTCGTTTTGTGTTATATATCTCCTGGGAGTTATCTCATGAGATTTAAAGCAAAATTGAGCAAGTCAGAACATTATTTAAGAAGAAAACAGTTTCAGAGTATATCTGTTGCGTTCTGCACATACGATGAACAATTGGGATCATCCTGAAGGGGGGAGAAGATATTCTGTTCAATCTAGAACTCGCTGGTTTCCCCCTTTCGAATTGGTTATGTATATTATACTAAATAAAAGAAATCAAAGCCAGTGGACTATATAAAACTCTATTTTTAAAAAGCAATGAAATAAAAACATAAATATACATAACCAAATATACCATTATAATTAAAGAAGAATATATTACTTACAAGAAAAAGAATATATTACAAACGTAACTATTAGCTACTATGAAACACACCAACAGACACACCAAAAGACAAACATAAACAAACCAACACAAAAATGTCGATTCTATAAAAAAAAACCACTGACAAAACACAAGACAAAACCTATACCATAGCCGCAACATGCTATTACATAAAAGATAAAAAAACAACATTAATAATATGTACAAAAAAATTACATAAAAAAATATGGATAATTAAAAAGTCTGTTAATACGTTTACAAATGTTTTATATACAGTTGCGAAACTGCAACATTATCACTTAAGAAGATGCAAAAGGTATTAACAAAAGAGTGCTAAGAATTCATTTAACAATGTGGTTATTACGCTGTTATGTCTTCCACTCTAGAGCAGGAATGTGGATTGTGGTTGGTTTTAAATTTAAACTTGTTGATTACAAAAGAAATAGAACGTTAAAACTTACTTTTGTTCTTACTTTACTTCTTTTGCTTCTTTTACTTTACTTTAACTTAAACCTTAATGCCATTAGACAATAGACAAGATAGAAAAAACTGCATAAAACATGTATTATATATTTACTTTCATCAGTTAAACATTCAATTTTCAGGATTCAAAGGATTAGGCTTTGGAATTTTGGGAGGTGCTACCGGAATATTTAAACAAGTCTATGAAGGCGCTTCAAATGATGGGATTCAAGGTGTCATTTCTGGCTTGGGAAAAGGCGTAGTAGGAGCAGTAACAAAACCTATAGTAGGAGTGTTAGATTTTGCCTCAGAAACTGCAAGGGCTGTAAGAGATTCAAGTAGAAGGTAAGTAGTATGATCGTTAGATTCATATCAAGATACTCTACTATCATAAATATCTTAGATTGAGTTGTTTAGATCACAGCAATGCTTGATATAAACTATAAACGTAAATCTTCTATTAAGTGAAGACAATATAAAAATCTTTAAAATAATTATGATATTTCTTGTAAAAATCAAATTAGAGGTATGAGTGTAAAATTGATCGTATGCTTGAACATTTCCTTTGTATGTTTACCATATATGTTGCCCACCTACCTAACCGTGGTTTATGTCTTGTTTGTTACAATAAAGCCGCTCTGATGAATCCCTGAGCGTGAAAAGTGTCCTCCTTGTATAATCCTGTATGAACGAATACTAATATTTATATGTAATTACGTGGCTAAAGGTTTCAAGCCAAAGCCAAAAAAAAATATACCTCCCTGGACTATTAATTTTCCCACTACTGATCTATCCTCACGGCCTATCCAAAGAGTACCACAAATCCCTTAATCATTAACAAATTATATCAAGAACGAATATTAGAATACACTGGCCATAACAAGATTTTTACTGATGCGTCAAGAACTGAAAACGGACACGCAGCGGCCTTTGTTCTAGGAAAGTCTGAATATGCAGTTCGCATCCTCAATTCTGCAGCATTTTCACGGGAGAAGCAATCGCCATTTTAAAGGCTTTAGACATGTGTAAGAGTCATGCAAGCTCAGATTTTCTTATCATTACTGACTCTTTATCTGTTCTTCAGAGCTTAAGGCAAATATATCCAGTACATGCTATCCTGCAACAAATACAATTAGCACATTATCACCTACAAAACAGACACGTGAACGTTACATTTCTCTGGGTACCATCACATACAGGTATCGCAGGAAATGAAAAAGTAGATGAATTAGCAAAGAAAGCTGCTACTGACGAGCAAACTGAAATTATGACTACAATTCTATTCAGTGATATCCAGCTCAATATTAAACAGCACTGTGTGTAAAAAATTGGCAACAAATGTGGAATTCTAATAAGGCTAACCTTAAAAACGTGAAAACTAGGATTGGCACTAAACTACAATTTCCAGAAAACTAGAAGGCAACAAGTGATTATAAACCGACTAAGAATTGGACATACAGCGTTAACTCACCAGCATCTCATAACAAAAGAACTACCACCTGAATGTTCCTATTGTGAATGTCCAATAACTGTTCAACATGTATTGATTGAATGTCCTCTTTATTCCTACGAAAGAGCCATCAACAACGTACCAGAAGAAGCAAAGAAACTTAAAGATATTTTAAACAGTAATATATCAAATACAATCAAATTCCTTAAGGACATACGTTTACTACACAAAATTTAAGTTATATTATATGTATCTTTTTGTAATTTGTAATTTATTATTTGTAACTTAATACGCAATTTTTAATTAGTATATTTAATAACAACTGTAAAATCTGTAAAACCCGCTAATAACCTTTAATGGTTGATGCGGAAATTCTAAATAAAAAAAAAAAGTTTTATAATGAGATAGTTGCTCAAAAAAAAATTATTTTTAGGTTACATATATTTTGTTTTGTTCGATTTGTTTGATACTAAATACACATTTTTGATTTGTAATTATTAATTGCAGTAAGCTTATGCCTAGAAGGAACCGACTACCAAGATGCGTTTTTGGGCCGGGAGAACTATTGCCAAAATTCAATTCCAAGCAAAGCCAAGGCCAAGAATATCTTTATAGGGTAAATAATAAGTAAGTAATTTGATAGAACTTGCCACGAATTATTGATTATAAAATTTTTTTTTGTAGGAATTATAACGAGCAGCTGGTTGCATATGAGATTTTAGGAAGTGCGTCTGAAGATTTGATGTGTATAGTATCAAATAAAATTTTAAGGATAGTGACGAGTACCAAAACTCCTGAGCTTACGTCTGTGATAGAATGCCACTTAAGGTAAAATAATTAAAATACACAAGGAAAAGTTAATTTCCTCGATCACAAAACATTAGTAAAAAATCTTCTATAAAAGGTATATTTATTAAAAAACAACCTTTTGGGGTTAAATCACAGAACGTTTTCTGAATAAATATTCCATCTTTAGTGCTGCTACAAAGGTATAGGTGTTTAAAGCCACTAAATACATGAGCGAACACCCTTTAAATGTTATTACTTTGATATTAAATTTCATGATTACTGCAAATTTTATAGGATGTTCAAAATTTAAGCAGATTCACTTCATGAAACGTACAGTTGCCTACGTCTCCGGCACAGCAACTCATTTGGGAGTTTACGTTATGAATAAATTATGTAATTTCCTATTAATTTAATATCATCTAAAGCAGTGTTTCCCAAAGTGGGGGTCGCGACCCCCTGGTGGGTCGCCATGAGGTACTAGGGGGTCGCCGAACATTTCCAAAATAAGACAAAAGCACCACTTTGTTAGATCATGTATTTTTATTTTAACAACGCCGTAAATAGAAATTAACAATTAATTATCAGACGAAATATAAAACTAAATATTTAAAGTCCGTAAAAATAAAAGAGTAAAACAAAGTCAAATATTATAATCTTAATGAGAGCTATGCGCCTGTTTCTGTGAAACTAATCTTTCAAATCTAGGCTGTGTACTTGAGACACACACAATTATATCATTTTCAAGTACGAGACGATTTCTAACTCTTGTTTTAATGGCAGTCATAGACGAGAAACTTAACTCACACAAATATGATGTTACAAATGGAACCAAACATTTTACAGCTTCACTCGCCAACTCCTGCATCTTTTCGGTCCAAAATTGGTCCGAGTTCTGGGAAAAAAATGGGAGCTTCAACATTCCATCACTTGATATTTCAATAAGTTTTTCTTTCATGTTTATTGGTATTTCAACATACTGAAAGGAATCGGCTAAAAAACGGATTTAGTATCCATCTGCAACTGTCGTAACTGTTTTGAATTTCTTCGGGGAAATAATCACAGAGCTGTTGTTTTAAATTGAGCAAAGTAACATGCATGTCAGCAAAAACTTGTTCAAAATTTGTAGTACTGTAATTGGATACATTTTCCATCATTTCCTGAAGGCACTGGAATGAATCGAGTTGTTTTTTGCCAAGTGAGGTCGACCATAAATCGATTTTTCTTAGAAACGCCTTCATTTTATTTGTGGCTGTAATTATATTAATGTCGCGACCTTGTAAATTACTGTTCAAAATATTTAATTGCTCGAAAATATCAGCAAGGAAACCTAGTTTCAGAAGCTAAATAGGATCGGAAAATTTATTTTCATATGGGGACTTCTCATCTCTCAAATACATTAAAAGCTCTGCTCTTAAGTGAAATACTCTTTTTAAGACGTTGCCCCTTGAAAGCCACCTTACTTCGGTCTGATAGAGAAGATTTTCTAATAAAGCACCCATGTCTTCGCAAATTTTTCTAAAAAATACGGGTCTGCAAAGCTTTTCCTTTAATGAAATTTACAACTTTAATGATGGTTTTCATAACACAGTCCATTTCAGGAGGTAAAGCTTTGGACGCAAGAGCTTCTCGACGTAAAAAACAATGTCTCCATTTGGCATTAGGCATTATTTCTTGTAATTTGACGACAAGACCAGATTTATGTCCTGTCATAGCTTTAGCGCCATCTGTGCATTAGCCATACATTTACCCCAGTCAATATCATATTTACTTTGTACGTTTCACAAAAGTGTCGAGTAAACATTTTACAGTGGTATTGGTCTCCAATGGGGAACAAAAAAAAATATCTTCTTGAATGCCATTATTTGTATCATATCTTACAAACGTAATGAATTGGGCACAGTTGGATATATCTGTGGATTCGTCCATTTGAAGAGAGAAGTACGTGCATTATAAGATTTCCACAACTTGCGCTTGAATATCTTTGCCATATCACTAATTCTTCTTTGGATAGTATTATTTGACAGAGGTATTGTATTTAATTTTGCAGCCTCTCCTTCCCCACGCATTATATGTACCATTTCAACAGCTGCTGGAAAAATCAGATTTTCAGCAATTGTGTGCGGATTACTAGTTTTGGCAACACTATAAGCAACTTTATAACTTGCTAATAATGCTTTTTCATTAGTAGTGGTTGCCAAGGGAAAACTGTCTTGCTGTTTGTGAAGGACGTTCAGCTTTCTTTCAAAGAATTCTATGGGCTTGTCTTTTTTATCTGGATGTTTGCTATTTAAATGTCGAAGTAACTTTGATGGCTTTCATGCTTTCGTTTTCAAGTTTTGACAAGACCTGTCCACAAATAACACATTGTGGTTTATTGGAAATACGGTAAAACATATTAGATATTCATCAATGTAGAATCTGTTTTTCTTTTTATTGCTGCTACTGCCACTTTCAGAGTAGATGTTCTGCACTTCTTTTTAAAAACTATCCATAATTTATAATTTATCGTAGACGTAAATACGTAAACGGGAATACGTAAGTCGTAAAATATTTACTCATTACTCAACACCGCGTTCGCCACCATAGGCTGTTTGGATTCGAACTGATGTTTCGTTGCGCATCGCCGCTTATATAAAGCCAAAACAAGGCCACGAGAACGTTCCAGAGTGCCATCTAGTAGCGAGCGCTTTCGCATTATCATAGAAGAGTTTTGCGACGTAGACACAAGCTATATGTCGCGGTGTACAATGTGCAGTCGACTTCTTATTATTTATTTTATTGTAAATGCTATTCTGGCAGAAGTACCTATCTAATTACTAGTGGGACAGATCGCAATCATTAAAATAATTGTATTAAAATAAAATAAATGTTTTTGATTTAAACTTAAACAGTAAAGTAAAATTAAATTTGAGAAACATCAGATAATTGTAAATTAGGCACGCTATTTCTGTCAAATAATATTGAATAATGAGTGGGGGAAATAGGGGGGTCGCGAACAAATTTTTTTAGCAAAAAGGGTCGCGGTTTAGATAAGTTTGGGAAACTCTGATCTAAAGGGTTTTCCCAGGTATTTATTAGCTTTAAACATGTATACCTTTGTAGCAGCACTGAAGATGGAATATTTATTCCGAAAACGAAATTCTTCTGTGCCTTAGCCGAAAGGGTTTTGTAAATAATGCAGTAGACTCCCGTAAGTTCGTCCTCGGTTAGTTTGGTCACCGACTTAGTCCGGCCGGCTCTCTGAGCATAAGTCACACACTTGGCGAGTGCCAGCCAGAAACGAGCAGGTAAGCGCTCATCATTTACGGTAGGATAGGCCTACAGTCCTATGGCAAGCAGTTCCTGTTTGGCAAACAATTGACGGAGCTTATCAATTTACTTCATGAAGAAAATATTAAGATATAGTGGAGAATACGGACGTGCCAACTTCGTGAAAATAAAAAAGATTTTATGCAGCAAAGATCTGACATTTGCCCTCAGGACAAGGATAATTAAATGCTATATGTACACAATATACTCTACTTTAGAGCTGAATCATGGACATTAAACCGAAATAAAATAAATCGACTTAACGCGTTTGAAATGTGAACATTTAGAAGATTGTTAAGGATTCCATGGGTAGATACGAGTCACGAATACAGAAGTGTTAAACAGAATAGGCAGAGAGAGGGAAATGGAAAATACAATAAAAGGAAATTACAATATCTCGGACATGTGATGAGAGGCGAAAGATACATCTTTAGACTCATAATTTAAGGAAAAATAGAGGGTAGGAGAAGCGTAGAAGAAGACGCGTTTCTTAGTTGAAGAACCTGATAGAGTGGTTGGCTTGCAGCTCAAGGCAATTGTTCAGAGCAGCTGCCTCGAAGGTCAGAATAGCCATGATGATTACCTGCGACGCGGAGATGACACTAAAAGAAGAAGATCAATTTACTAATTACAATATCAATCACTTCTGTCAAGCTTATTGACGGATCGAATATATATTTTAAATAAGGTCGGAGATGGACAACATCCTTGTTTAAGCCCTTTGTTATTGGAAATGATTCAGATATAAAGTATCCTTCTTTAACGATACTTCTTGCATTTTTGTATATATTTGCGATAGCACCACATACTCTCTACCGAGACTACTTTCGTCAATGTTTGAAACAGTTTTTTTCAAAGGTACCGTATCGTATGCTTTCTTAAATCTACAAACAATAGGTGGGTAGATAGATTCCTTGCCTTCTGTTTTTCGAGTACGAATATACCATCAGTGCACGATCTTCCTGCACGAAATCCATTTGGTCTTCTATGTCTTACGTATTCTGATTTATTCTTTCTTTTATTATTCGACCGTACAACCTCCCACGACTGATAACAGTTATGCGATATAATTAGGCACTTGCGTTATCCCTTTCTTGAATATTGAGCTCATGTATCCAACATTCCAATCATCAGGGATATTTTGTCCTTTTAAGCATTTGTTAAATAGTTGAACAACATCTCATGTAATATTTTTGGTCCATACTTTACCAACTCACTTGGGATGTCTCCAGGTCCTGCTGCTTTACCGTTTTTTCGATTCTTTTGAGGGCATCGTTTAACTCTCCGGTTGTTATCTCAATTATTTTTGTATGTTCGAATATTTCCTTCATTTCGATCTCTTGGAATTTACATCTATCCTCTGTCAGTAAGACCTCATAATGGTGTTTCCACTGTTTTAGATCTTTAACTGTAAGTTAAATTTTTCCTTTCCTTCTCTCCGGAGAGACTTTATCACCTTCCACGCTTGCCCAACTCTTGTTGCAGCCATATACAGTTATATTAAAAAAAAGGGTACAAGTATTAGAAAGAGAAGTTAACGTCATCCTATTTGTGTAAAACCGGCTGGGATTTTTGGAGGTTATCAAATGTCACAGGTTATTAAAAATATAAATCATTGGCGTTGAGCATTAATTAGACGAAACCATTTATTCAACAATTATATAAAGAATAATTTTAATGACTGTTACAAATAGAATTTAGTATTTGGTGATAGAACCGTCTGCTTCTATAACTTTATTTAGTCTATTTGGCATACTTTGAATTATATTAGATATCATATTTGGATCAAGATCTTCCCAGCACTCTAAGATTGTATCCCACAATTGATCTGAATTTTGTGGCATAAAATTTCTTTTATATATTTTTTTAACAATTATGCCCCAAATGTTTTCAATTGGATTTATATCTGGACTGTGCGCAGGCCATGGCAATACTTCCAGGTTTTGCGTTTGAAACCAATTCCTTACGGCATGGGCAGTGTGGACTGAACAATTATCTTGTTGATATATAAAAGTATTATTAGGATACAATTGCTCAATAGAAGGGAGCATTACGTGTTCCAAAACGTTAATGTAATTGTCGGCAGTAAATCTTCCCTCTAATCGCCAACAAACACCAGGTCCATGTATACTAATCCAACCCCATACATTTACAGAAAAACGTCCAGATTTATTATGAGAGTGAATATATCGTTCTTCAAACCTAGTATTGGCTGGACGATAAACACGGATTTGACCGTTATAGGTCGACTGAAAAGTCTTTTCATCAGTAAAAATGACGTTGTTCCAAAATTGTGGGTTGCGGTAAATATAGTTTAGTGCAAATATTACTCTTGCTTGCCGATGTTCAACAGTTACTAATGGTTTTTTAGCAGCTGGTCGGTTTTTTAATTCAGATTCATTGATCCTTCTGCTTACAGTAGGTTGGGCACCAGGAAATCCCGTATGAATCCTTGAATCCTTCGACGTCGCAAATGGATTATCTCTTAAGAATTGAACTAAAGCAGCATCTTGTTGAGGAGTGGATACTTTGGAACGCCCTGAACCAACTTTTCTTTTTAATGATTGTTGTTGGACCCATCGTTGCTTAATTCTGAAGATTGTTTTCAAATTTCTATTATAGAAATTTGCTAGCGCACGAATTGACCATCCTTCTTCCATTTTCGTAATTATTTGAGCCTTTTCAATCTCACTTAAATGACGAGGCATATTAATTTTTTATTGTACGTAACGTTAAACCTTCTATCAAATTAAACGTCTTTGACGTCTATGAGTTGCATTTTTGATCACTTATGACATTTGATAACCTCCAAAAATCCCAGCCGGTTTTACACAAATAGGATGACGTTAACTTCCCTTTCTAATACTTGTACCCTTTTTTTTTAATATAACTGTACCAATCCACCTCCGCACTTCCTCCTTTCTCGGTGACATCCATTTCTGATAAGAAATTTTCTTCTTGTTTACTAACGTTTGCATATTCTAAGACCACCATTCTTGATAACTATCACGTTGGCCATAAATGAACGATGGTCGGATCCACGGTATACCCTTACGTCAGTTATTTTTTTGGCTGGGAAGTTTGACGATGGATTACATAGTCGATTATCGAGCGCAGATTCCTAGTAGGTTGTATCCATGTAAATTTGTGGATGTCTTTATGTTAGATAATATAAAAAAATTTGATGATTTTTTCTGTTAAAATCTTTTGATTGCATATTCTATTACTTCGTAGGATTTTGGGGACGTCTTCACAGGGTTCTGGTATCTTCAAAATGCTATCTAATATAATCTTTCTAAATTGCCATTTTTTTAAATAAAAATCAAATGTGAAAACTGAAGTATTATACCACTGGTTCAGTCAAACTTGCAGTCAATAGGAAAACTATAAAATTTTAATGTTCAAGCATTTTATAGTAAAAAAAAACATACATTGAAATATATATTTTCAATTTTATAGTTTTCCCATTCACTGTAATAACTGAACTGAATGGTATAATGTTTCAGTTTTCACACTTTGATTTTTATTTCAAAGTATTTCAATGTCTTCTTTTATATAGTATTCGTAGTGCGTGGTGGACCTTGGTAAACTCAAAAGATAGACTTTTGTAATATAATCTGTCATCCATTTCTTTTTTTCTATTTGTGTTACTATTAACAAACACCTTGATTTTCTACTACACGGTCAATACATCATTTAAATATTTGACAATTACAATTATCACTTTTATTGATTATTTCCATGGCCAATTAGGTATAGTTGTACAAATTACAATTTTTATTTTTATTTAGTAGCTAAATATAAATTTAATTTATCAAATAATGTCCAATACAATTTTACTAATAAAATTATGTTTTCAGTGATTTAGAAGTATGCAATGTAATAAAAGAAAAGGAGCACAGCGAAATCCGATACTACATAGAGATTGTAATGCGATATGCCGGTACCAGCGCTGCGCTTTTAGTGAATACAGATCCAGTGAAAAAACCGAGGGTTAGATGCAGAACTTTAGAGTTGGCGGATACAATATCCAAGCAAATTAATTACGCAAAAAGAATGTACAACGAGCATTTGTATACACTTGTAACTGATAATAGTTCCATGCTGGAAGAATAAATAAATATGCCAAACTTATTTTGAATAATTAAATAAAGAGGGAGAAGATCATATTTCCCAAAAGAAACAAAAATAATAATGCATTGAAATAGTTTCTAATACTTAATATTACAATTAAAGGAAAAACCAGTTGTCAGAAAACAAATAAGTTAATTTCTGATTCGTTTTACTATTTTATATCCATCTGTACATCATTTATTACTTTCTAATTGTGTTATTTACTTTATTCACTGAGAAATAACCACAGTTTTAGTTAATTAATGTTTATTTTGATGTTTCTTTCTTCGATTTGGTCTTTTAAATTAATTGTCGTTAAGTGTCATTAATATAGTAGATAAATTAAAAAGGCCACAAGAACAGTTTTAAAACCATATTTTTAATTGTGTTTTAAAAGCTAGACTTTTGGAAATCATTAGACGGGATAATTTACTCATTTAACTATTTTGTGGTTAATCCCGTTTTGTTTACTCTCGTTGATCCATACTCTCTACTATTCTACCTGACTGAGAATGCTTTAGTTTCGTTTATTGGCAACAATTAATCGGCAAACGTTTTGGAAAAGTGGTCTGAATGTATTTCTAAGGGAACACCAAAACGGTTGAAGAATTCTTTAATCAGTCAATCTGCAACTGTAGAAATAGTAGAATCGATAGTAAAAACTTATAAGTCGCAATCACGGATAAAGTTTTTTCTTCTTTTGTCCAATGGTTAACCATCATAATAGCCGAGTGTCTGACATATATGAGCCTATGCTCCATTTTTCAAATTTCTGACTACTGTTCAGAATGAAAGTGGCTTTAGTCATTAGTACATGAATTCGCCACTAGGAGCAGCACTAGTTTCCTTTCACTAGAGAATGAAGGTGAAGTAAGTCACTGTTTGTTTTTGTGTAAACCCCAGTTAAGTGCAGTTTCGATCACTAATGACTGAAAAACTTAATATCATTTTATTCAGTGGACAAAGGTTAACGAGTGTAATTAGTGAATTCAAAGACTTTCTAGTAAGTTATTATTATTGACAATTGTGTGAGTGCTTTCACAACTACCTTATTAAAAGTCGAGGTTATATCAGTGGATTGAATATTGTATATTTTGGGAGTTTTCATATAACAGTGAATATAAACAACCAATTCACCTGCATTTGTTGATAATGTAGGCAGAGATCCTGACTTCGATCCTGACCAACCCAGGTCTAATCCTAATAATTTAGAATATTTTCTCAATCCTTCTGCAGTAAACATGCTTGTAAATTATTCTTCTAGTTCATAAGACGAAGATGAAAATCTGCTTTTATTTTTTGATGATGTACCAACAGAAATGGGGCCTTCTAACAAGTATAAAAATGAGAAAGGACTTCGAATTCCTTTAGCAAACTATAGCGAAGCAAGTCCGAAATTCTTGAGACAGCCGATATATGTCAAAGAAGGGAAACATTCTCGAAGGTAAAACATTTCAACATACTCCTTATTCCTGTAAAATGAAATGTAATGACAAAATCATACTAGAATGCAAGATTTCAAGAGACAAGATACATTTTTTACATAAAAATGCAGCAAAGCAAAGAACACCAAGAAAGGACGGAATAACTCGGAGATCTTCGAATAAATATTATTTGAAACCAAACAATGAATTATCCGTGAGGGTTTGTAAGATGTATTTGGTACGTTCAACACGTCCGAGGAAAGAGTTTCTCACGCTTTAAGAAAAAGACGGTAGGTCTCCAGGAGAATATTTGAGATAATTAAAATGCATTACACGAGGAAACATAATTTTAACAGTAAATATATATTCGAATCATTGAACCTACGAAAAATATATTTACTTTGTTAAAAAAATTTTCTGAAGATCAGAGGTGTCCAGTTAAGGAACACTTTTATAGATATACATTCAATAAAAAATTGAACTTTAATTTTAACATTCGTAAGAAAGTTACATGCAAATGTTGCGATAAATACAAAATTAAAATATCTAACACTGATTTAAGCCAGGAATATAAGAGAATATTTGAAAGAGATTATTAGCTTCACCTAAGGAAGGCTGAATTAGCCAGCGATTGCATCAATGTTGATGAAAACAATTTCCAAAAACAATCAAGAAAGTTATGCTTGCAGTATGGATTTTCAAAAAGCTGAACCTTCTGAGAATTAACAGTTTCAGATGCCTACTACAAAAGAAACTTCTTATTATTCTAGGCTTTAAAGTTTTACATGGTGTGGAGGCCATCATCATCATCGTCGTCAACTAGCCTCTAACGTCCACTGCTGAACATAGGCCTCTTGCATGCTTTTTCACTTAGTTCGATTTTGCGCCATTTGAATCTAATTTTTAGTCACTCTTTTTATGTCATCTGTTCATCTCGTTGGGGAACGACCTCTATTTCTGTTAACTTGTATTCAGGGTCTCTATTTCAAAATTCTTTTTGTTCACCGGTCATCAACTGATCTTGCTACATGACCTGACCAGTTCCACTGTTCTTCTTTCTTCTGTGTGGAGGCCATCCACAAGTATAACTCATCAAGAAGTTCAACGTTTTATATCTAAATTCCTAGTTTATCTTCTTTGAGAAGATCATAGTTCACCATGTTTTTTCCTTTGCTTATGTTTCTTATTCTCGTATTCCTAGTTCTTTAAAATCCTGGTTAATACCTTAATCCATCTCTTTTTGGGCCTACCTCTTGGTCTCTTCCCGTTAATTTCTTTTCTAAGTACTGTTTTTGTATTTCTCTTATCATCCATCCTTTCTACGTGTCCCAACCAACTGGTCGTTTTTCTTCGTATTTCTTTTGTGATAGTTGGTCTACTAAATATTCTATTTATTTCGTGGTTCATTCTTATACGCCATTCCCCATTCCACTGTATAGGTCCATATAACGAAACCTGTACTGCCACAATTTTGGAGTACATGATTTTGTAGAAGATTCTGATTTTTTCTTATGTGTAGAATGAAACCACAGCCGGAAAAGACTCACAAGACATTTCTTCATGTCTAATAAATTGAATCTTAATATAAACAATAAAAAGCATGTGACTATTTACAGTTGACAACTGTGAAGGTCAAAATCTCAACATGATTATGTGTTTGGTTTTAATGAGGTTTATTCAGAGTCATCGATGTCATATCGTTTTTGGTTCCAGGCCATTTATATTTGCCAAACGACGCTGATTTTGGCAGTGTATAATCAGCAGCAAAAGGAAAAGTCAACTATGTTCCACAAGACTGGCGTGATATCATGGCAAAGTGTAGAAATAAAAAGTTCATTAAAAATAAAATGACAAATGAAAATTTTTTCTTTCAACTAATAATTTAGAGAGAAACTATTAGCAAAAGAAAGAAAAATACTGAGTAACGAACTGGTTAAAAATTCAATGGATCAGACTACTATGAAATCAGAACTATCTTTTTCTGTCGCAGTTGAATTTTTCGTTGGGATTAGTTATCATAATTTCCATTTGTTTTATTATTTTTTAATTTGTTCTCTAAACGATTTAATTTTGTCTCTGTTTTAATTAATGTTCGAGAAACTTTTTTGAATTTTCATGGTTTTTTCGGGAAACAGTCTTCCTAGAAACTACTTCTAATTTGTCGTCAGTTTTTTCTTGGCGTGTTTTTGTTGACGACAGCTAGGAAAAGAGATGCAGATGATCTACTAAACCATTCCCCTTAGAGTTCTTAGCCATGTCGTTATTCTTCGACTTGGTCCGTTTCTTTCGTCTATCTTGCCTTGCATTATTAGATAAAGTATTATATCTTTCTGGATGACGAATCATTCGAACTCTATCTACACAACTTATTCGTAGAATTCTCCGATACACTCAGATTTCAAAGGTTTCAAGTTTTCTTAGAAGTGTATCCGTTAAAGTCTAACCTTCGACATGACATAAAAGAATAGAGAACACATAACGTCTTACCAATCTAATTTTCATCCTCAAAGTAATATTCTTTCCACATAAGATATTTTTCATCTTTAAAAATGCAGCTCAGCTTTCTCTATACGTATTCCAATTTCTTTGCTCATGGCCCTGTTCTTATTTGAATTATAATCATGATAAGTGATACTATTGTCACTTTTCAGTTGTTCTCTCGATAAAATTGTCAAAATTGTGGGTTAATTCTCATTAAATAAAGTAGGTAACACTGAAATAAAGCATATAATTTCTGGTGGTAAAAATTTTACCACTAGACATACCTACTTAAACGTTATTTGAGAACGGCAATAACTTTATGTTTTAATATGTCTAATAAATTATTTATTATTATTTTTAATATATTTCAGATTAGCTTAAGTATTGATACAATGCAGTATTTTTGACTTTAAGTTTTCCTTTTATTTTAAATTATTTTATATATGAGCTAAATTTAGAGGAATAATTTAAGGTTTTTTTTGCAAACGAATACTTTGTTTTTATTTCATAAAATTTTACGTTTTATTTAAGGTTTATTTATATTAGCTACTATGAGACAACTTTGTATAGTGTATATGTTTTGGTGCATAGTGTTTAAGGTATTTCACGTTTTTTCACAATTTACTACTATACATTGGTCGCTATAATGCTCAGAAATATCTATTTGTACCCAATTGAAAATTGTTTAGTCTGTTTTGATATTAGAGGATTAAAGTTGAGAACGGGTATTCATTTTATATTGTCTTTTTAATGTAATATTGAAACATTTATTATTCGTAAGAATTTGGAATTCACCCATTCTTTGTAGTGGTACAAACTCGTATCAAATCAGCTCTCTTCAGCGTCGATTGGTGCCTTACCTAGATTTCCTTTCTTTCTTTTTTGTCAATTCACTGATATAGCTGAATATATTTATTTTTCTATATAATCTTTCAGCTGTGTACACTTTTCACAGTGATCTTAAATAAGTTCCATACCCTTTTTTTAATAAGAACTGTTTTGGTCCTCAAAATAGCTATTAACTGCCGATATCACTTCTTTATGGTCGAAAAATCTTTGACCACTGAGCCATTTTTTCAAGTTTTCAAACAGAAAATAATCCAAGTGGACTAAAT